AAAAAACATTTTTATTGAGTCCTCAGTCATACTGGATTTGAAGATGTGTTTGAATGAATAGTAGCGTGTATATATGATAATGGGTTGGTTTGGTGATCAGGCGGACTCCAGGTCCTAGTTTGTAAACTCGTGCAGATATTGGATATTATAAGTTTACTAGTTTACATAATCTGGAGACTGCTTTTCAATATAAATAGAGCAGGAGAAATTAGTATCTTATACAATTCTGTTATTATCTCATCTATATTTAGAACTATAGTATCAGAATTAGGACTTGAAATGTAAACACTGTTTTATGATAACTTCTGGAAGAAAAGTCTGGAGTTTTGTGCAATCATGTTTCAACCTTTTACATTAGTTTATTTTTTCTTATACAGCAGGACTCACAGGAAAGAATCTTGTTTAAACTACAGGGTTTAATGATATAAACTCGTCTAGGGTTCAATGATATTATACAGGATACTGTACACTGCATATAAACTTGTCTAGGTATATAAGGGTTCAATGATATACAGGATACTGTAAACTGTATATAAACTTGTCTAGGTATATATGGGTTAAATGATATACATGATACTGTAAACTGTATATAACTTGTCTAGGTATATATGGGTTCAATGATATACAGGATACTGTAAACTGTATATAAACTTGTCTAGGTATATATGGGTTAAATGATATACATGATACTGTAAACTGTATATAACTTGTCTAGGTATATATGGGTTCAATGATATACATGATACTGTACACTGTATATACACTTGTCTAGGTATATAAGGGTTCAATGATATACAGGATACTGTGCACTGTATATACACTTGTCTAGGTATATAAGGGTTCAATGATATACAGGATACTGTGCACTGTATATGACAGGATACTGCTCACTTAACGCTATACAAAAATATCAACAGAAAAAATAAATTTAAGATTTATATGCAGATATGTTCATTTGTATAAATTTATAAATATATATTTTTATATCAATATTTTACTCTCCCAATTTTAGTTGAATACTCAGTGCTTCTGGGTTGAAGTGTGAATGAGTGCTGAGTGCTGGAAGATTACTCTGAGTGTTGGCTGATTCATAACCCGGAGTTGCCTCAGATCATTGTAAACACTACCGAATGACTCAGACAATGAACTGTAATTTTCACTCCGTATGAAATCCTCTGTGTTTGGTCTGATATGAAGTTCAAGGCCCTAGGAATATGAAAATATAACACTTGATATATCTCATGTTCTATGAATATTAAATATCGAATATCTGTTAAACATCTTTAAGATCGTGCAACAACTTAACCAAACAATTCTATCCATTTCAAGCTTAAATGACTATTTAAGATTTTCCGATTAGAGATATGGGTTTGAATAAAATACACTGAAGGTAATAGTTTTCATGTACAAAAAAACAATGACCGGAGGTTTATCATTTCATGGAACGTCAAGAATTGGCTTAGAGAGCACTTTGATAAATAAACAAATCTACTAAACTATCTAAAAAAGCTAACTTAATCAATTTAACCGTTCTTATAAAGGTAACCAGAAAACATAAAATTGGATGTCGTCTTTTTATTGCTTCAATCATTCCATAGTTTTCTGGGAAACACTGTATGTAATTTTAAATTAAGCACATTATTTCTACAGCCCTCTCTCTCTCTTCTGATGTCGCCCACCGCATGTTATATTTTACACTATTTATTATATTAAAGTGCTCCCCCTAAATACTTTACGTTCTTTGCATGCTTCTTGAGTAACGTGTATGCTAAAATACAATCATAATAACATGAAACTCTCAAGGTTCTCATTCTTTACACCCTTTCTATAATACATGCTCTAGTTCTCTCCCCTTCCCTGATTAAAGTGACCTTTCTCCCACCAACTAGACGGTTTAGATTTAAAAAATAATATTTCTTGCATCGTAAATATCAAAATACCACTCTTCTTTCTAGTTCTAAAATATACTTGTCTAGAGCTGCAAAAACATATGGGTGAGTTAGTGAGGAAAAATTAAAAGCCGAGAAATTGCGACACTTTAAAGTTGACCCAGTCTTAAAAATTTATGCAAATTTTCAGAACAGTCTGGATGTATGGTTTTTTTTCATACTATTTATCTTAAATTTTTCATGTATATAAAAGAAAATTATCTTAATCACTCAATTAGTGTTTTTTTGTTAAAAAGTATACATTTAAGGGGATAATACTTAAGTTTGTATTTTTTGAAAATGTATCTATGATGTCTATATTCTGTGTGCATGATTTTGCATTTTTATGCACATTTGCAAATACTCCTAAGTACTCCTCCCCTTTTAACATACGACGGCCACACCCCTACAGTTGATCGTCTCGTCACAGTTTCTCATTCTACGTTTGACATGCTCAATCCTTCCCAACCAGACAACAGACAAATAGAATTCAAACCAGACTTTGACAGTGGTGAAAATATAAATAAAGATTTAACAAGAGATAGAAAAAAGATTTGCAAAAAACGTTGAGCCGGAACGAACGAGAAAGACAGTTTAGACAAGTTTTGAAAGGAAAGGTAGAATGTTAGGGAGACAGTGATTGAATGAAGTGGCTAGGGACGGAGAAGAGAATTGCTGTCAACAGAAAATCTGACTGGCTTTAACGAATATTTGCTCAAAAACAATTTAAATGTTTTGCAGGGTTGTCATAACCCCCTACCCATCCGCTCTAAAATCTCTGCAAATTAATTTATAAAATCTAAAAGTACCCTTTTAACTTATGAAGCCCCTGAAAAAGCGTAGGAGTGAACATTAGCGCAAAGTGCGTAGAATGATTTTAAATACAATGAAATTTGAAAATCACAGAATCTTGCAAAATTGTAATGCAAAACCTTAATGTTGAAGATTCTTCGCAAATTCAAGACTGTGTTAAAAGTTGGATTCAAAGTGATATTTTAGGAGATTCCATTTTAAGACTCAAAATATTTTTAATTCAAATCATAAATAGATGTTACTTTTTTTGCTCAAGAAGGCGAATAAATGTGTGAAAGCTTTTTATCTCAGGGTCAATATTTTGGTTTCCCTCCTCCCTATTTGTTGAACTCTGAGTTAAACAAATTGGTTATTGGGTGCAAATTAAATCTTAATTCACAGGTTTAAAACAAATATATTAAAATTGTTTTTCTAGGTTACTAGCTGTTTTGTCATAAAACCTCCATTAAAAAGGGGGTGAAACATCTTTGTGGTGCAAAGCCACCTTTCATATTTTTATGCTTTTTCACATTCTTTCATTTTTTTTTTACACATATATATATTATATTTAGTCATATAGAGTACATGAGAGAAGATTAAAGTGTGGTCTGAAAATCTGTTCAGGAATCCACAGGGGGTTAGAACTCTAAAATCACGCATAAGACAAGTACATATACAAATAATAAGTTTATATCCTTCAAAATTTTAATTCAATTCATTTCACCTGTATTAGACTTTAATACTTTCACTGAATATAATTTAGATGGAGTTACTTCTTTTATTTATCGAGCTAATACACACAAACCCTGAAAGAAAACCAAAGACTGTATTGTTCCCAAGGTTGGGACACATGAAAACGTGATAAAGATACAAGCAATAGATCTCTGAGAAACTGGGGTTGACAGATCAGCCATTATGTTAGATAAAATCATGGGTATGTATACAAATAAAAACAATATATATGATTTAAAATATCATGAAAACAATGTGTTATTATAAATTAATATTTTTCCTGAATAAGTGATGAAAAAGAAAGTTTTGTTTGGTGAAAAGGCTCAATTTATTTTACTAAAATCCGGGAAACAAAATTAAAAAATCTTCTAGAACATTCAGGAAAGTTGCCAGTCTACAATTGGAACAATGAATTCATCCAACCTGATCGTGATTTCAAATCGGCTTCCCTTTACTTTGAAGCGTGGGCCTGACGGTTCTCTTTGTCGAGTACCTGCTGCCGGAGGCCTGGTTACAGCGGTGGCTCCAGTAGTCATAGAAACCAACGGTAGTCATGTCTAATGCTTGTTAAGTAAAGTTATTTGACGAAATTTCTGTATTTTCAGGAACATGGATAGGATGGGCAGGCCCGGGTTTGTCCGAAGGAGAGCTTATTCCTGAATCCCTGCCCTCTGATCGCAGTCCAACCGCCGGACTCAAATCTGGACAAATCCGTCCTGTTAATCTGACTGATTGGGAATTTCAGATGTATTACAACGGATGTTGCAATGCAACCCTATGGCCGTTGTTCCATAGCATGCCTGATAAGGCTATATTTAACCAAACATATTGGTTAGCTTACAAAACTGTCAATCAGAAGTTTGCTCAGGCAACATTGAACGACCTGAGAAAAAATCATTCTGTAAGTGTATAATTTGAGATAGATATATTCTATTATATTTGAAAGTTTTAATCTTGAATTGACAAACTAATTTCAGAACAGCGACACAGTTGGGATAGTATGGATCCAGGATTACCATCTTCTTCTTGCTGCAACTATTATCCGACAGGTTTAACAAATAGATTAGATTAATACTGATTTTTCAAAACTTTTTATCCAAATACTGAATTTTAATGTTACATATAATAGGCTGCCTCCGCCGAGAATCTGAATTGTAAGATTTGTTTTTTTCTCCATATTCCATTCCCCACCTGGGACATGGTTAAAATCCTACCATGGAACAGGGAGGTGATCCAGGCCTTGCTGGATTGTGATCTGGTTGGGTTCCATGTTGATGATTACTGTTTAAACTTTGTTGACTGCTGCCGAAGAGGTTTAGGATGCAAGGTTGAACCTGGAACCAAAGGAACCTATAGAGTCAACAAGGGAGGAAGATGTATCAGGGTGATGCCTCATCCTATCAGTATACCATTTTCCCGCTTCGAGGATCTGGCTGATAAGGCGGAGCAAACTCTTTGCTCAGACACTCAAGTAAGTATCAGAGTGACTTAATATAAAACATTTTTATTGAATTTATTTCTCTAAAATACGCATGTTTAGGTTATCCTTGGAGTTGACCGGCTTGATTATACCAAAGGACTTGTAAATAGGTTTAAAGCATTTGAAATTCTTCTTTCAACTCATCCAGAGTATATCAATAATGTGGTTCTTCTCCAAGTTGCAGTCCCCAGTAGAACAGATGTTCAGGAGTACCAGGAATTGAAGGATATGATGGACCAGTTGGTGGGACGGATAAATGGTAAATTTTCTACAGCTTATTGGTCTCCTATCAGATACATTTATGGATCTCTCTCCCATAGCCAGCTTGCGGGAATTTACAGGGACTCAGATGTAGGACTGATTACTCCACTCCGAGATGGGATGAATCTAGTGGCAAAGGAGTTTGTAGCATGTAGGACCAGGAAACCAGGAGTTCTAATCCTTTCACCATTTGCTGGAGCCGGAGAGATGATGAAAGAGGTTTGAGTAAATTATTAAATTTATAATCACTCAAAGTTTAGCTGGGCATTTTTTTAAAGGTTAATGGAAAAAGATCCTACAGATCATCATCCTTATAATTGTGCAGTGATCGGGTTTATTGGACCTTTTTGGAATTACAAATACTTACATCTTACATTTACCTAATTGCTAATTTTTAGTTTAAATATAACAAGAATACAAGATGTCAAAATATATACTTAACACATATATTTATACAGGCACTTCTTGTTAACCCATATGAGTTGGAAACAGTTGCTGAAACTATCCACAGAGCTCTACAGATGCCAGAGAATGAAAGGGAGGCAAGAATGAATGCTCTGCGCTCAAAAGAGAGAGTTAATAATGTGGAGCAATGGATGGCAAAATTTATTCAAGCTATTTCCGAACTAATTCAAGAAGATGGTAATGATTTCTGATTTTTTAGTTAATAATTTACATTGCAATATTGTTTTATTAGGTAAAGAGATTTCGCCGTCTGATTCTCTCTTAGTTCAAGCAGAAGACTTTCAAGGATGTCTTGGAGACTTCATTGAGGACGGATTCAGTTTAGCTCTTCTCCTTGATTTTGATGGAACCCTGTCTCCTCTTGTATCCAACCCTAAGGACGCAGCTCTGCCATCCGCCACAAAGGATATTCTTGTACGATTGTCTCAACTACCAAATGTTTTCATTGGAATAGTAAGCGGTAGGGGAGTGGAGGACGTGATGAGTAAGGTTGGAATACCAGGAATAACATATGCTGGAAACCATGGGCTCAACATAATACATCCTGATCAATCAACAGTAAGGGTTTATAATTGGATACTATCATACTTCAGTAAAGCTTTTAGTTTTTAATATATGAACAAAACAGAAAAATAAGAATATTATATTTAGTACAATCATCCAATACCAGAGAACCTTGAAGAACGGACACAAACTCTACTCCGTCAAATAGAGAAGGAATGCTGTGTTTTCGGGGCTACAGTAGAGAACAAGGGAGTTATAGTAACCTGGCATTACAGAAATGTTCCAACTGAAAAGAGAGAACCTCTCATATCCAAAGTTAAAAATATGGTAACCAAGGCAGGATTCAAGATTGGAACGGCACACTGTGCCCTAGAGAGTAAACCTGACCTTGGATGGGATAAAGGAAAAGCCTCTATGCTTATTTTGAAGAATGCTTTTGGAAAGGATTGGCCCCAAAAGTAAGACTATACTTAGATTATTATTTCCCTTGTTTGTATTTGGCAAACTTTTCCTTATATTAAATTTCAAAAATGTTCAGGGTTCGTGTGATATACGTAGGAGACGATGTAACTGATGAGGATGCTATGCGTGATCTAAAGGGACTTGGATTCTCCTTTAAAATTTCGAGCTCTACCTTGAGCATGACGAATGCAGATAGGATTCTTCCTGGAACAGATTCAGTAGTTAAACTCCTCGAGTGGGTTGAGCATACTGTGGTTAAGAGATCTGGCGTTGACACTGAAATTGGTATTAATAATCAATAATATTCTATGTTTTAAATGTATATTCTACATATGTATATTGCATATTTGAATTCCATTACTGTGTCTGTGTGTAATTCAATATGTTTTTAGAATTACGAGTTGAACAAGTGCAGCGAGAGGTGGAAATATAGAAACCTAATCATGGAGACGTATAATTATTCAAAAATATAATCTATGTTACAAATATCAGTAGAGAGTTATATTAGTGTTATAGTAATTTCAAAATGAACCTATAAAAATGCTATTTTTTGTTCAGGATTAGAAATAGAAAACCTATATTCATTAAAAATATATATCTAAATACTAATCATTTGCAACAAATCCATTGATGAAGGTAGAAGGAAGTGTAGATATTATATAAAGATGATATAAAATGATTGATTAACCAACAACTATGGCGATACACAAATGTAGATAAATCTGGAGAAAACAATTTCTCTAGTCTATTTACAGTAGAATGTGTACTATATGTATACACAACACATATTAGATCAGAACGTAGCATGGAGATTTATATGCAATTATATCAGATGCTTGGCATATTCACAGTCATAGTTACTCCTGCCATTTACCCGCGCTTAGTATCATTATGATTTTAGCTGAAGTTCCCGGTGTGGCCTCTAAAAATTTTAAAAGTTTAATCTTTTCAGCCCATGCAACCTCCGGGATACCCACGAGATCCCTAAAAAAATGTCAACAAATTTGGTCCATCCGTTTGTCCAGCTTTTGCTAGAATATAAAAATATACAGGGTGCGTGCGGTGTTCGTAGACCAAATTGAAATCTCTCTAAAGCTGACAAAAAAAGATTTTTATAAAGCTTTTTTTTTAGAAAAAGATGTTTATTTAGTCATAACAAAAATATTTATCTAATAAAGTCGAATTATGCAGCAACGACCTACACCATGCATTTTATGAAGCTAGAGCAGGCACTGACGACTTTTGCGCGAGGTATATCATAAATTCAGTGATAAATAACTGTGTTGTGTTGTAAGGGGTTCTGTTGACAACTTTCTGGACCCAAGACCACACAAAATAATAGAGGGGATTCAAATCTGGGTAGACGCCCTTTTAAAAATACTATACATATATAATTTTCAAAAACCGGTTTTTGATTTTTCTTTACTAAATCCAAAAAAAGATTGTATTAAGCAAGAAATTAAAAGTTACCACATCGGATATTCGGATTACAAGTATCCAATTCTAAAGTTCCCAGCTCTGATTGAATTTGAATTAGCTTATCAATGTATGATTATACAAAGAAAAAAACGACATTTCAAAGTTTATTCAATTTGGTCTAAGAACACCGTTCATACCCTGTATATATGAGCAAAGAGCTTTATTATATATAAAGATAAAATGGCAAATATATATTTTACTATGTAGGTACATACGGTAAGTTTACATGTTGATTCTAGGGTAGAACTTGACTTCCAATTCCAGTTGATATTATTATTGGTTCCAAGATTCAGCAACATGGTTAAATATAATTCCTCCATTCTACAATCCCTGGGATCAGCCTATTAACCATATTTAATGTATATTGTCTAAAAGAGGGAATATAAGTGATTGATATTCATAATGTTGGTAAACACATTCATCTGTATGGTCCCACAGAATAAAAACATTGCTCTCATTTGATGTTTATAAAGGCGTAATAAAATCATACATATTTAGCATCGTGTACAATATTTATATAATTGAATTTTCAATGCCCATCAAATTCATGCTTCTTAGTGAAAAGTCAGTTTGTAAATTTCATTGTTCTAGAAAAGTTTTTGGAATTTATAATTTTATTTTAGTGAAGATTATATAAAAGAAAGAGGGATTTATTATACAACACAGGGGTTAATTTGACTAATGTTTGATTATAGAATTTACTTATAATTTTTGTAGAGTCTATCTACTATTGGAATACGTATTGGAATAAATTAAACAGAACGTTTAACCAACACATCATTTAATACAGGGATTGATTGTAATCTGATACAAGATGATGAACTTGATATACTCAACCCTATATACAAATATACCAATATACACGTCTCCACCTGATTACATGATTATACATAAACTATATAAATAAAAATTCATATGGATTTACATACCTGGGATACAAATATATTCAAGATAATGTGATTTATTAAGAGAAGAAGAGAAACTCTGAAGTTGTTCAGGTTGCGGTTAATTTACATATCTTTAAACTGAGAACCTGAAGAATGTGGTAATGAATTCTGTTTGTTTGAGTAATGAACCCTGATTCTGTTTTTATATACTCACAACTTCATGCTTACCGAACACAATTTAAATATTAAGCATAATGATTAGGTTAAAATATTTAAAAGGTTTTATTTTAAACTTATCAGGTTTAGAAGGTTTCTTGTTAGAGTTCAGATTAAGCCCAAGTTCGAGTAGGGTCCCATCTCCCTCCAATCCACTACTATCGTTAAAAAAGCCGGTTGGCTTCGAATCTACAGGGCTGAGAAATAAAAACCTCACATTAATCTCCTTAACATCGTGTCAGACCTTTAATATATACATAGATATTGTAGGTTCTGTATATATATATCAACAAGTAAGCTCTGTTTGTTTATTTGTCCGATCATAACTAAGGAACCCCTTGACCCATTTGCCTAGATGTTCTTAGCTAGGTTTAGACATGTATTGGGTTGAATTTTTATAAGGAAAGTTTAGATTTCCACGTAAAACTGGGTTTAGAAGGCCCACCATGGTTTCAGTAGAAGTAAATATTTCCATTTACTGATAGCGCCGATTGAAGGATTCACAACTCTGATTGGATAATGAGATAGATAGAAAGATAGATGTCACTGCCATACTATTTCCATTGGTTCAGAATAGACAACAAACACATTACTCAACCCTGATTGGATCAGGCGCTAATGGAATCGGCATACTAGAGTGAAGGTAGTATATCTATACAGTGTACATACAGAAGTAATATCTATTTGTTTGTTTGAGTGTCCACACTCAAGAATTCTGGACCTATTTGCCAAACATTTTGATTGGGAACACGGTAGAACCACGGGAATGTTCTTATAATTTAGTTTGAAAATTTTGAGTTGAGTGGGTTGACGTTTCTATCGAAAATTTTGTTTCTAGACAAAACTTGGTTTCTAAACTAGTATATCTATATATAAAGTAGTAATCCTGTCCGTTTGTTCGGATGTACGATAAAAATTCATGAACCCCGGGCCGATTTGCCTCAAAATTTGATTAGGGAACTCGGTAGAACTACGGAAATGTTCTTAGTTTGGTTTAAAAATTCTATGTTGACTGGGATGACTACAGCAAAAATTTAGTTTCCAGGTCAAGCTGGGTTTCCAAGCTAGTGTCTATATAAAGAATAATGGGCAGATGAGAGTGTAAAAGAAGGAAGGTTTACAATGAACTAGAGCTCCAAGGTATAGGATAAACTACAGATTTAGTCACTAATCCTTATCCAGTAATCTAACACAGGGTTCCGCTCCCCCCCAGGAGACAAGAGTAGTTCAGTTTAATCCAGAGATAATACAAGCTCGCATCATTACCAAACTATGTAGACTAATTTTGATATAATATCCTAGTTCTACAATATATTCTGTTTCTACTAGAGTACACTATAGTTCTGCTGGAGTACACTAGTTCTAGTAGGGTACAATAGTTCTACTAGAGTATACTATTCTTACCAAAGTGCACTCTAGTTCTACTAGAGTATTCTAGTTCTACTAGAGTATGCTATTCTTACCAAAGTGCACTCTAGTTCTACTAGAGTATTCTAGTTCTACTAGAGTACGCTATAGTTCTACTATAGTACACTGGTTCCACTAGAGTACACTATATTTCTACTAAAGTACACTTTAGTTCTACTAGAGTACACTATAGTTCTACTAGAGTACGCCATAGTTCTACTAAAGTACACTATATTTCTACTAGAGTATACTAGTTCTACTATAGTAAGCTATAGTTTTACTAGAGTACACTAGTTCTACTAGAGTATGCTTTTTTTTACTTAAGTACTCTAATTCTACTAGAGTACACTATAGTTCTACTAGAGTATACTAGTTCTACTGGAGTACACTTGTTCTACTAGATTACACTAGTTATACTAGAGTACACCAGTTCTACTAGAGTATGGTATATTTACCAAAGCACACTAGTTCTACCAGAAAACACTATAGTTCTTTTAGAGTTTACTAGTTCTACTAGAGAACACTATAGTTCTATTAGAGAATTCTAGTTCTACTAGAGTACGCTATAGTTCTACTAGACTACACTGTTCTACTAAAGTACACTAGTTCTACTAGAGTGCACTATAGTTCTACTAGAGTATACTAGTTCTACTAGAGTATAATAGTTCTACTAGAGTGTACTAGTTCCACTAGAGTACACTATAGCTCTACTAGAGTATTCTAGTTCTATTAGAGTACGCTATAGTTCTACTAGAGTACGCTATAGTTCTACTAGAGTACACCAGTTCTACTAGAGTATGTTATTCTTACCAAAGTGCACTTTAGTTCTACTAGAGTATTCTAGTTCTACTAGAGTATTCTAGTTCTACTAGAGTACGCTATAGTTCTACTAAAGTACACTTTAGTTCTACTAGAGTACACTATAGTTCTACTAGAGTACGCCATAGTTCTACTAAAGTACACTATATTTCTACTAGAGACTTTAGTTCTACTAGAGTACACTATAGTTCTACTAGAGTACGCCATAGTTCTACTAAAGTACACTATATTTCTACTAGAGTATACTAGTTCTACTATAGTAAGCTATAGTTTTACTAGAGTACACTAGTTCTACTAGAGTATGCTTTTTTTACTTAAGTACTCTAGTTCTACTAGAGTACACTATAGTTCTACTAGAGTATACTAGTTCTACTGGAGTACACTTGTTCTAATAGAGTACACTAGTTATGCTAGAGTACACCAGTTCTACTAGAGTATGCTATTTTTACCAAAGCACACTAGTTCTACCAGAGAACACTATAGTTCTTTTAGAGTTTACTAGTTCTATAAGAGAATTCTAGTACTTCTAGAGTACGCTATAGTTCTACTAGACTACACTGTTCTGCTAAAGTACACTAGTTCTACTAGAGTACACTATAGTTCTACTTGAGTATACTAGTTCTACTAGAATATACTAGTTCTACTAGAGTACACTATAGCTCTACTAGAGTATTCTAGTTCTACTAGAGTATTCTAGTTCTACTAGAGTATTCTAGTTCTATTAGAGTACGCTATAGTTCTACTAGAGTACGCTATAGTTCTACTAGAGTACACTAGTTTTACTAGAGTACACTACAGTTATACTAGAGTCCACTATGGTATTACTAGGGTATAGTTATACTAGAGTAAACTAGTTTTACCAGAGTATATTAGTTCTACTAGAGTATAGTTCTACTAGAGTATACTAGTTTTACCAGAGTATATTAGTTCTACTAGAGTACACTATAGTTTTACTAGANTTACTAGAGTATTTTAGTTCTACTAGAGTATACTAGTGTTACTAGAGTATATTAGTTCTACTAGAGTATACTAGTGTTACTAGAGTATATTTTCTAGTAGAGAACACTAAAGTTCTACCACAGGGTGTCCCACGAAACATGAAAGCTGAAAGCTGTAAGACGACTTGAAGATCATCTTTGATCTTTCAATTTATGACATTCAGTTGTAAACTTTCTTTAACATGTATAATTATTGAAACAATACCATAAAACCCTTCTAGTCCCAAAATAGGGTCGTTCTTTATTGTGCTGTCAATGCGCAGAAATATTGGGAGATTAGTTCAGATTTCAATTTTATTAAATAAAACCAACCATTTTGTAAATTTCAAGACCAGGAGGCATTTTGTAATGATTAATTCTAGAATTTCTGAAATTAGGGTTACAATAAATGCCCCAAATTATTTCAAAAATTAAAAACGTCCATTAAGTCGTTTTGCTACTGTCATGTTCCGTGGGACATCCTGTATTTCTACTAAGAGTCTATCCAAGTATACTAACATAAGGTTATAAATATATTAATTTTGAAAGATTTATATCTTGCTTTCTGTATGATTCGGAGAATATATGTAATTTTATTAACTTTTGTTTGTAGGAAAGTTTATTAAGAAATGACTTGTAGATAATATTTACAGTGCTTATGATCCATTTAATTTTGATGCGGATCCTGGATCCTGGATCCATGCATTGAAAAAAATGGATCCGGATCCGGGTCAAGAACATTTCTTTAAGATTTACTGAATTTTTTTTAACAAAGTAGAATTGTCAAATTCTCTTTTTTTTGCACATTTTTATGCTTCAACTTGATGAACCATTCAGAGATCAAGAAAATTTTATAATCTCTCTTTTTACAACAGATCAAATTAGAGTTTGAGATTAAATTTTTTTTTCTCCAGTTTTAGTTGATATTAGTTTACATAAATATTGTCATGCTGTTTTATTTCAGCCTCCCTGTATTTTTTAACAATGCGTCCACACCCCTGGATATTTGCATGTATTTCTGCACCAGTGATACCGGCATAATATTACAATATTACTTGCAATATGCAAAAATGTTCTTACACACATACATATTCTGTAGTCTGAGTATATATAAGTGCAGTATTTAAAAACTCAAATTAGACTGCGAACTTTTTGTAATTTTTTACCAGATATAATAATCGAATCTTCCATACATAAAGGGTGCAACCCATAAATCTTAACATGAAAAAAATCATTTACGATTACTAGATTTACGATTTTTTTTGTCGTCCGATGCTTTCTATTTTTCCATTTGACAAAAAAATATGACAAATATTCAAAAATAAAATCTGTCTGTTAACTAAAAATAATAAGATATGAATTATTTGATAAAAATAAAGTTTATATTTAAAATATTTTCTTAGTGGTCCCCATTTGCTGCCATGCAAAGAATTGGTCTATTTCTGGCACCTTTTCAGTCTTGTTCAATTTTAATGACATTTTTTTCCTCCATGGAAAATTAAAATGACTTTATCCTTTCTAGCTCTAGAAAACGAAAATAAATAATTACTTAACTATGGTTTTCTAATTATTTAATTAAAATATATTCATACAGAGATAACCAGAAAACTCTGAAATCTGAAGACGACTTTTATAATCAAGTCATAACTTTAAAAAACAAATGAGCATGAGACACAGGCATTGTGCGGTGTAAACAGACCCATTTCTCTCAACCTGGGATTTAATAAGTGTCTAGTAAATCTATTTGCTTTGTAACTACATCAAATATACTGAAGTATTGCTATAATGTCGTAATTTTATTCCAGTGTTTTCTCGTTATCACAGTAGCATAAGGGAGTTGAGTATTTGCAACAAACTCTGATTATCAAATCCCTATAGATTTTCAACCAGTTGATGTACACATTAGGTTATTTAATGTACCAACAGAGAAATCATAATCCGTAACACAGAAGGCCTACGATCTACAGTCTATGGATATAGGGATTTGAAAGTTCGAGTTTTTGTGTTTCTCAATAAATTTTGATTTCCTAAGTTCACTGAGAGATTTTTGAATATATTCGAAATAGTTTTACAAAAAATAGAAGTATCAGACGAAAAAAAAGATACATTAACAAAATTCAAAACTAAATACTGCATTCTTCTTCCGAACTTGAGGGGTAATAATTAATAACCATTTATCCCGTTTCAGGAAATAACAACATGGTATTTCAAAAGAATCGCACCTTTCGATCTTCTCGTCTTAAAAGAAAAATTGGAAATTTTATTTAACAAATTGAAAATCGGTAAAGATAAGATGTTATACGCTTACCCTTATATTTTTAAAATAGTTAAAATTTTTTTTTTAGTCCTCTCACGTCTTGTTCTCTGACGAGTTTTAATGGCAGTGAAAGGTTCGGTCAACATCTGACTTTTTTAGTAAAGGAATTGAGTCTTTGTCACAAACTCTGATTTTCTGATTCATATATCTTCACAACCCAAAATTGTAGACCTTAAATATTTCAAACTATGAATTCTGTTTGATTAGATAATTTAAGTTTGAAATATCAACGGTTTACACCATCAAGTTCCAGAGATACAGGAATTAGAAAATTTTAATCTGTGACAAAGACTCACTTCCTTTATTTTTAAATAAGAAATCTGACTGATGTTGTGTCCATTTACATTGCCAATCAATAAATATGCCCTTTCCTTACTTAACTTTGAATGTATGGATTAAAGTCCTAAAGTTGCTCTGTATCCTCGCAATTAAAAGAAGAAAATATTATATAGATTATCTACTTTATTTAAATAATTAATGCATAGCATAGAATGCCCTGGGCGATCAATATAACAGGGTAACACATAAGGGAAATAAAATCAGTCAATCTACACAAATTTGTTATGATAAATCAGCAGTACAGGGAGCGGTTCTGGAAACCTGTCGTGTATAAAAAATGTCACTATAGTTAAGTTTATTTTCTGTACGGTGATATTTATACAAAAAATTTGTGAGGTTTTTGGTTTAAAGCAGTGTGATTTCTTGTTAAATATAAAATGACATAAAAGAATCCAGAGTAATGTTGTATCGACGGATATCTTAGAAACTGGGTTTCAAGACTCATCTCCCTGCTCTCCTTGTTCACTAGAGATTTCATTCATCAGAATTTAAAAAAAGCGAAATAAGCAAAATAAACCAAAATTTTTATAAATTCAAAACCAAATTATAAGAATAGATGATAAAGCATGAAAAGTGACTCCTATAAATATTACATGAAACTTAAGTGATTTTACATACAAAGAAAGATTCATTATTACATTGTGAAGAAAAAACATATTTAAAAGCAACATAACAAAGTTAAGCATAAAATATCAAGAACAAAATATGTAAATTTTGATTGATAACGAAACATAAACTTTATTTTATTCAAGTAAAACTGCACAGACTCGTATTTATCTGTATCTGTACGAATGAATAAATGAATGAATAACAAGTGCCCCCCTCCCCCGTAACTATTGTAAATTCTTCAAGAATTAATATTCTGACAATGTGTTTAAAAGTAACTAAGTGAAACAAGAAAAGTGGTTATATCTGCCTGGGTCATTAGTTCAGTAGTTCGATGTACTGTTTACTGAGTACAGAGCCCAAAACTTAAAACAGGGTATCGTTATGAAAACCAGTTTTAAACCCCAGGTTTCACGAATGGGGTTAGGCAGTTTTGTGATAATAAATATTTGTGTTATGAAATAATACTTTATTTAGTTTCGTCATATTCTCCATTTTTTCGAATCTCTTAAATCAAAATCTACACAAATGTTAAGACCCCAAAAAGGAAACTCGAGTTTCATTCAACGATACTCTTAAAAATTTCAGGCTCAGATTTTCTGTGTGCAGTGTACCAAGTACAATGTACGTATTTAAAAAATGTCCTAATTATTTCATCACTCATATGGAACTGTGAGTTACCAAAGTATTGAGGAAAATGTTAAAAGACTAAAAATATTTTAAATCTTCTCCAACGAGAAACTATTCCCTAACCTTTACAGATTGATCTCCCAAGAAGGGAAATCTATTTTTATCACTAAATGTTGACATCACTTAATCCTGATTCCTATTTACAGATTCTCTCTGTGCCAGATCCACTTCCGGTTGGTATGATCGAACCTATGAGTTAACCATTGGGATTCTAGGAAATGATATCGTTCCACGCTAAGGAATAGAGGCTTTCCTCTCCTGAAATATCGAATACAATATTTAACCATTTTTTTACTGTATTTGAACTTTCGAAGGAAACAAATTGCATGAAGCACTTAAGGAAGAGCTTGCAAATTAAGGTTAATTTTAAAAAAAATATTAATTAGTGCTGGGTACTTTTCTACTCCTCATAGGTTTACAACCTGATATGGCAGATATTTGATATTTCTAACAAGCAGATAGAAAAAATAACCAACGTTTTAAAAACTCAAAAGCTTGTACACCATCAGGTTGCAAAGATGTAGTTAAAATTGGAAAGGCAAGGAATGAGTTTCTTCAGAATTTACAATCATTGTTTGTTGAAAACTTACTTGAGTTCTCTGTCCTCCTCTCCGTATGAATCTAGATATATAGATCCCCAAATACAAGCTCGCTTCCCACGGATAACAACAATAGTTGCTGAATTGACCGCCAGGTAGGGTGCTGTCCCCGCCCCACATTCAACACTATGTCTCACGGCTTCAAAATTACCTAAATATAAATTTTTAATAGTTATCAATGATAAATTTAAATGAAAAACTAAGGATTATAATTGAATTAAACGAAAAAGATATTTAACCAATTTGAATTAAATGCAAAGCTAATTATAACAGATAAGAATCGAATGAGTAATGAGCCCAACCAAAGCTCTGGCCTAACCTGAAGCTAAGAATTTACAACAGCTTTCCTTGAGACAGACCATAGCTCCGCAGAGTAGACAGATAGAAGGATCCTTAGGAACCTTCATACAGTTCGGACACACGCGCTTATAGTAGAACTAAAATATACAGTATTAATATAAACGTAGAGCTCAAAGCTAGGATAGAACAAAATCACCATCATTATCGTGGAACAAATGCTTAGAGATAATACAGAATAATTATGGAAAACGAAATACTAAAATAATCGTACCTGGAAAATTGAATCGTAGTTTTTAGGAAGCCTTAGTAGTTGTGGTTGCTTCCAAGAGCTGTTAACAAGGATGAGTCTCCGAGCAGAAAGATACGAGAGTTGGGCAAACTCTCCAATCTCTCTACACCAGGTGTAGCACAGGTTAGCTGGAGCAGTTAACCAACCCAGACATGGCCCCGAGGATACACGTCCACTGATATCTATATCTGCCATTCCTAGGTGCTGTGCTAACCGTGTAAACTCCCAGTCCTCCTCCCAGATATCCGGGATCGTGTCGTTGTATAGATAATGACGAAGTAGAGACGCAATTCTCATGTAGTTCAGACACTCTGCTTGTACATAACCCTGGAGTGATACATCTGCACTCAACCTTGTAGCTGTACTGTGTCGGGGATCATCGACATTGTCATCAAATATTCGAGACAATTCTAAAACAGAGCAAACTAAACCTATACCCAGGAGAACCGTGTCAACCTTCACATAGGACGGTGTCTCATTTTGACTCACTTTCCTGTTCCATTCATCCCGGAGTTGTGCTCTAAGTTCTGGAGGAAGCCTACAGGCAACCTTGAGACAAGCCTGCATCCAACACAGATTGTAGAGTTGACGGACAATAGAGACGAAGAACATTTTATCCATCTGAAGAGGGAGGATCAGTGTGAAATGAAGAAGTAGGGTTGAAGGATCCTTTAACAAGATTGGAACCTCATTCTTGCGCACCATGAGACTACGCTCCTCCTCATTCTGCCAGAGTCCTGTGATTTGGCACCAATCCGTGACCATTGATTTAGGAAACCTGATTTTCATATGAATTGCTAAAACTTGAAGGAGAGGCAAGAAACACGTCCTAGGTCTGAAGGAGGAGGGGAGTGGAGAGTTTAGAATGGTTTTTGCTGTGAGCAGTGTTCCTCCTCTGGAAACTAGATCCAGCTCCAGGTTGGTTCTTGCAATACTAGAGACAAACATAACAATAGCATGAACAGAATCCAGATGATGATACTGAGGATAAGTTGCTTTAGTCAGACTCTCCATGATCTGATTCATCATACTGTACATATTAGATTGATTTATCATAGGTTTAGTTGGCATCTTTAAAATATCCGTGAGCTCACGACCTATCGAGACAGGACATTGTGATTTAGCTTTTAGAAACTCCTTGTCTGGTGGGATAGGAAGAACTCCGTTGGCTAGCTGCCTGCACATGGGACACATATACTCACCCTTCTCCACCATTAGAACTAATGATGCCTGGGAGTTTGCAGTATTCTTCAAGCTTTCCATGTAGCTTTGCTGACAGTCAAGGTGTACATGATGTCCACAGGACTGGACGGATACTCCGCCCTGCCAACCAGAGTTCACGGAGAGAAGGTAAGACGTAGGGTCAAAATGTCTCATCAACTCTTCAAGTCTGGATTCATATTCAGTTGATAAACTATCATCTACCGCTAGCTTCGAACGATCTTCCTCCCGAACGGGTAGGCTGAGATGCTCGTTATTATTGTGCTTGTGTCCTAAAACTGACGTAGCTTGCATGAGAACAACGAGGCCAATAGGTTTATCTAGAGTACTAGCCTGAGTCTGGTGACAATGCACACAATCGTATTCATTGCAAACTGTCGAGGTTTCATGATCAGAATCTTTATCAGTGATGTCCTCGGTCTCTTCATTCTTCCGCATAAACCGTTTCTGACGTTCAGCAAAATCCTCCATCATCTTGGCTTGACGCTCCTTGGCTCGTCGCTTCCTAGCCTCAATCTCGTCTCTTTCTTGTTCCAGATCTTCCATTGAATCTTTGGCGTGCTGAACCGGCCAGAGTTGAGCCCGTATATGTTTCACAAAATGTTCACATGCTGAATCTAGATCACAAATTTTATCTAACACTTTCTCAACAAAAAAACATGCGTCACCGATTCTAGATTCTGCGTACTCCGGAGTAAGCGTATGAGCAAGGCTGGGAACTTTACCACGCTCTGGTTTAGGTGTGTAGGAGTCCGGTTTCCCAGACAATTTAGAATGAAGTTTAACAAGTAAACTAATGATGCTTTCATTAATATTGACCACCGATCTATGAGCATTGCTTGATAGTTGTTGTTGGCTGTGAAAGGCCGGATCTGGTCTGGGTATGAGTCCTAGTGCACCAACCTCTTCATCCTCATCCATAGGGAGCTCAAGGAGAGCTCTTGAAAGATCGACAGTTCCATCGTTTTTAGCTCTTGATGACTGTAAGACGACACTAGTTATGTGTTCCATGGTTCCTGACGGGAAGGGTAGAAGAGCATTACTACTACTAGGAGACATTGTTATAGCTGAGTGTTGACTACTTTGTAACCTGGGTGGAGATGAACTGTCATGAACGTCGCTAGTTGGAGTTTCAACAAAGTACGGTGTGGTTTCACTGTCCGAGTTTGAACCTGTATCCGACACCTGATCCACCTCCATACTGGTGTTGGGGTCGGAGACATGGTTGGTGAACAGGGCGGTCACAGTATGTCGTAGGTTGGCAGACAACCAGTTAGTTGGAAACCAGGACTCATAATCTAGATCTAGAGGTTCGTGAACTATCAACCAGGGGGTAGAAACTGCCAATTCCTGAGAATAAAATTAACAATGGATGTTTTTAGTTACCTGATTTTTATATTTATATATTAATACTATTAGGTACTTTCCTCAATCATATCATTGATATGTATCAGGGATATATTATGATAATCTTAAAATAATATTGATGTATTCTTTAACGAAGGCCGCTAGCCTGAGTTAAAGAAGGCTTCAAGATTATTTTATCGAACGCACAGAACCTTTTATTATCTGTAGAGATTTAAAAACTTGAATTACTTGGAATATAGATGTTTGGAGTTAAGTAAATATGTAAGAGAAAGTGAAATATTTACCTTGCCCGAATAATCAGTCTGAGGGAAGGAAAGGGCGAGCTCCAATAGGAACACGGTTAAAGATAGTATCTGTTCACTACACTCCTTCTTCTCACCAGAAGAACCAACTCCATAAACTCCCTTGTACAGCAGGTTGAAGATTAGTCCATGAGCAAACCTTGAGTGTAAAATAGTCCGTGGATCGGTAAAGCTAGGATCACAGGCAGTTGGTAGTCTCCAGGGAGGCCACAGGGTTCCATTCTTCTCTCCGGAGTCGGAATTAACCTTTCCGTTCTTCTGTGAGCTGAAATAATAAAATACATTAGTAAATTCTTTAGTCTCTTAAAATTTAATTTTTACGGAACTAAGAAAAATCTTACTAAGCTATGAATCTGTCCAGAGAGTTCTGGAACTCTCTCCTGTGTACTGCTCTGAGTAGAACATATATAGGATCATACATAGTCTCCCAGATCTCAGGTTTAGGTACATATAAACCCTGCTGCATCACACCGCCAGGTTCAAACTGTGGTTCTCGAAAGCTTCCGACTTCGGAGAGAAACGACTCGAAATCGTCCGGAACTCCGTTCCCGTTTTTCTCCGGCATTTGTTCTGATAAAGACGAATGTGTCCTATCGTCCATAAATAGTAAAGTCGCCAATTCTAACCTTGTCAAATCCTAAAACAGATTTAGTTAAAGTTCATTAGTTCATTTTCATCTTCTTCCTAATGCCCTTAAAATAAGACAAGTTGGTAGTATTTAACCCTGCACAATTATAATTTGAGCAATGGAACTTATTTACCAAACTCTTATGCCTTTAACTTTGGAACCTGTAAACTTTTCATTTTTTAACCTTTGATCATTTGATAAAGCAGAATGGAAAGATATAAGGATTAAAAAAAATGAGAAGAGTAATCAGTTTCTTTATACAGTTTCGGTGAATATATTTCAATGTTATGAATGATAGAGTTTCACTTTATTCGAGGGGTTGAATTTAAATTGAAAAAAAATAGAATATGGTGTAACAAACACTGAATATTTCAATTATATTGTACTTTATTGAAATAATAAAATAATATTGAGCAGAATTGTGTAAATAAAACCAACGCATCTGAATTATTTCTTGACTTGATGCAAAATTAAAAACAGATCGTGACAATTTAAATCATTTCCTCTTTAGGCAAGGTTTGAATTAATTATAGACTATATTTTATAAAGTATATTTTATTGTTACCTCCCCCCATTGTTAAATTGCATGCCAAATAAAAACGAAACTTATTATTATGATATTTTGCCCAACCTGCTCTGAGAGTCCTAGGTTGGTTCTGAGTGTGAGAAGAGAAACTAGGAATATCAGAGCTGACTCCATCATAGGACCCTCCTGCTCCTAGTTTATAATTACAATTAGTATCAATAATAAATGTTCATGTTTTACTTTGTATGTATTTAGTATGTGTATGTAAGTAGAAGTGGGGATAGGAGTTGTTTGCGTTCTACTGTGACGTATTATAACAGCTTAAACTTGTTTGCGGGGAAACAAACAATAGCAAATTCATATTTACTATTTTTGTTATCTACTGTGACGTATTATAACAGCTTAAACTTGTTTGCGGGGAAACAAACAATAGCAAATTCATATTTACTATTTTTGTTATTATTTACCTTTTAAACTTATTCATGAATTGTATGCGTGAGTAAAATGTTAACAAACCCTCTCCCATTTCTGTACTTTTCTCACATGCATTGATTAAATTTATAGACGTTCTTTGTATGGTTTAAATTAATCAGTATTCCCGACAAACCTGTTCTGCAAGATTGAGAGGTTCGGGTTCCTTCTCCGCAGCCAATGAGAGCCAGGGCCGAACATGAAACCGTTCCAGGATAGTTTTCAGGAACACAGAGGGATCAAGGCGGGTAGAACAGATCTGGAGAAGGAATATATCTGGGTCTGCCATGGAGTTGGAAAAGTGACATTGTATGTACGTCATAGCTTGTCCTCGAATCTGTAGTCCGTTTCTAACCCACAAATGGTTCATGATCTCGTAGAACGCAACCTAAATAAAAAATTTCAATAAATACTTAAACCAATAAATATCAAATCTCAAATGTTCTGGTCAGATTTGTTGATAATAATAGTCAAACATCTTGATCTATTGTTTTCTTTCTCTCGCTGAATTCAACCAAAATGTTGTTTTGTTTATTGAATTTGATTGATTGATTGATGGCAAACAGGGTTTTCTATACCTGTACTCCCAGGGGATGCATCATCATTAGATGAAGGGTTTCCTTGTCAGGGAGCAGATCATCAAGAGAGAATCCTTGATACTTAACAGCCTAAATATTCAAACATCTTATCAATTAATCTTTCTAAAAAAAGTTTTTAACTAAGAAAAAATAACAATGGTCGTTATAAATTTTTTCCTCTCTTCTTTTTTGATTTGAATATTTTCAGAAATTTGACAAGCCCGTTTCTAGTTTTCTATACTACCCTTTCAATTTCCTTGCAGCATTTAATAATAAATCAACAAAAATATCCCTATCCGAGTACTAGAACTGAATCATGAATAATGTTTAAACCTGTCTAAGAAAAACTGCAAAGTATCGATGGAGAGGAAGATGAAATGACATCTTGAGACGGTCTAACTGATCAGGACGAAGGAAGTAGATTGCATCAAACCAGTTTTTGATTGCACCAAGACAGTGTTTAATCACGTTGGTTGTAAGATGCCTGCTGGACGCGTCCTTTAGGTGGGAGACAAGGGACCACATGGGGGAGGAGGCAGCTTCTAACTCAGCAGAAAATGCCGCGTAGTAAGTATTCGGTTCAAACTCAATATGGGCTTTCATCTCACGATTGTTTACATTCATCCCCTGGAACATGGGCAGGAAATCAAACCACATCGCGAGCTGTTTCTCATCCTCCATAAACTTGTAGGCGATGGAGGGGTGAGAGAGAACATTGTTGAGGTCAGATACTAACGGCCAGTAGCAGTGATCCTTCATAACATGCTCCCCACAGTCAACAATCTCGTGATAGTTTTGCTGAACGTCCCCGAGGGTGTTCAGGGTTAACACGGTGGACATCATGTTCTTGATGGAGAACACGATGATGTGAACAAGATGAAGATCCTCTGTCATCTGTAGAGTGAGAGCCTCGTTGCTGAACAGCTGGACTGAGACGTGGATAACTCTAAATATTAAAAATGGGTATAACAAAAATAAGTAAATTCATCTCTATTGAGGGAATTTACCAATGTTTATAATTTAGGTGGGGGAGGGGGGGATGTTTGTTTATTTCAACCAGTGAAGTAAGAACTGCTCAGAATTCAGTTTTTAGTAAATAAACAACAGTAAATTCACTCTGCCTAGGAAATTCTTACAATTGTTTATGATTAGTTCTTATTTTGATTGAACTAGTTTTTAGCATTCCTAATATGTTACTTATAAAGTTAAAGGCAACCTTCCACCTTAGTTCTACATTGGAATTTACGATGTTAAATTTAAAACAGTTGGCCTTCTTTTCAAAACAGACATCATAATTGAGAAATAAGTATGGTAAAATAATAAATTAATTGTAACCGTCATTTATGTCAATAAACTAAATTATATTGTAGAGAAAAAATATTTTAAAACGTGGTTATTAAGGTTATGTAAGTTTAGATTCGTTTTTACAAACCTGTTGGACAAGGTCTCAGATATCCCGGATTTGTCCAACATGGTGGACATCCTGGAGTAATGCAAGACGAAGGCCCTGGTAAACAACTCCTTATATTTCTGGTCAGGAAGCATGTTTAGGAGCAAGCATACGAGTTTCTGGGGAAACTCGTATCTGACGGTCCAGAAGAGTAACTCCTCCAGGAAGGTTGTATGAACAAGACTGGAGTTAAGCGCAGGACACTCACAGAACTTCTTGGATGGATCAGGACTAGGCAATCCAGAAACTGCCGCGTTATATTTATCCGAGGATTTACGCATATAGTTTGCGTACTCGGAGTCGTCTTTTAATATGTTTTGAGTTAAACTCGTGTAAATTTTGCTATTAACAAGACAGCCGATAATCACGTGTCTCATTGCTGAACCCATCTCACAGAAATCATGAAGAAGAGTAAGAAACCCGTCAGCGTCCTCAAGCGATATATTTTGCCGAGAGTTCGGGTTCTCCGTTAAGTTGACACTTTTCTCCCGAAGATGTTGAACCAGTCGGAGAATAAGCTTAGGAAGCATATTCTCCGCTACACATAGCAATTCATCAGGAGGACCAGCAACATGTTTATCAGAACAACGACCATGCTGAAATTATATTTATCATTCACGTGATTGTCAGTGTTGCTTGGGTTAAACTGTCCAAAAGACCAAATCTAAAGGTATTATTATTGGTGACTATCAGCTTTTATAATGAGGCGATCAAACTTTATCAGTAACATTTTTTGGACTGGTTAAATTTTGTGATAGCTTAAACCCCTCTCCACGGTACATTTTAAATTACGATATTCTTTGAACAATAATCTCACATTAAAAAGGCATTTTTGTATCTAATTGAAATTGATGCCGTGGGGACTCAGTATTTCTAAAGCATTGTGCATGTGCATGTGCGCGTGCATGTGCATGGACATATAAACACTCAACCGACTCCTGCACAGTCCCCAATAAAAATTAATTAGTACTCTACAAATAATTGTATTTCAAGCATATGTTTATTTTAAGTATGCCGCCATTAATACTTCTTTTATGTGCATTGTGACGGTTTGTATTATGATTATAATTGAAATTTGAGAACAATTCTGTTTTACACTAATTTCAAGGATAAATATTCCCGACAACTTTTGATTTGGTTAGAAAAGGAAACAATTTGTGGAGCAAAAAAGGAACAAAAAGTGTCAAACCTAAAAATAACTGAAAAAAATAAGACACATTTTATAGTTTTTCCTTTAGCCCATGTCTTAGGGGAAAGAATGAGTTTGAAACTATATCTGTAGAGTGTGGACCACTGGAAAAAGCGATAAAAAACGTAATTTTAAATTCCAAAATTTATGTATAGAATGTCCGATGCACAACGGTGCCCTAAAAAGACTTTGTCTGATCAAAAAAAGTTGAGAATTTCATTTTCTTTTTTTAAAATTAGTTATCTTAAAATATGGTTTCTCTGTAAAAGTAACTTGCGAAGTTCTTGCTACAACCTTTCATGCCAGATAAACGTCGATATCTTTAAACATTATTAATCAGATAACGTTTAAAAGTGTACCACTGTGAGTCGGACATGGCCTTATTTGAATGAAGTCACTTGAAATGACAAGAACAGTCCCTTTCTTTACCTTTGAGCAGAACCCTGATGTTCTCATCACAGATGCATCACCGCAATCACAAGCTCCTCCAGCCTGGGACTTGAACATGTTGTAGTCATGCCCCTCAGCTATATGATTCCCACTGTGGAAACAATCCCGGCACAGAGACATACACTACATTCATGTTTATAGTTAGATATACTAGATACATACACTACATTCATGTTTATAGTTAGATATACTTGAGACATACACTAAATTCATGTTTATAGTTAGATATACTAGATACATACACTACATTTATGTTTATAGTTAGATATACTTGATACATACACTACATTAATGTTTATAGTTAGATATACTTGACACATACACTACATTAATTTTATATTTAGATATACTAGATACATACACTACATTCATGTTTATAGTTAGATATACTTGACACATACACTACATTTATGTTTATAGTTAGATATACTAGATACATACACTACATTCATGTTTATAGTTAGATATACTTGATACATACACTACATTTATGTTTATAGTTAGATATACTTGATACATACACTAAATTCATATTTATAGTTAGATATACAAGATACATACACTACATTCATGTTTATAGTTAGATATACATGATATATACACTACATTCGTGTTTATAGTTAGATATACTTGATACATACACTACATTAATGTTTATAGTTAGATATACTTGATACATACACTACATTTATGTTTATAGTTAGATATACTAGATACATACACTGCATTCATGTTTATAGTTAGATATACTTGATACATACACTACATTAATGTTATTAGTTAGATATGCTATTTACATACACTACATTCATACTTAAAGTTGGATATACTAGATATACTAGATACATACACTGCATTCAAGAAAAGTACTACACAAGTTTGTATGTTTGCGTACTGACCTGTGATATTCTACATGTACTGCATCTATAAGCAACAAAGTTAGCAGTCCACACTAACCCGCACATATTAGTGTTGTTATATTCTTGCACTAAAAACAAGATTGAATTAATATAGAGTAAGCAAGATAAAATTCTCTAAACGTACCACATGTTCAAATACCTTACTTTGTTGTTGCTAAAATTTTACAGACGTCAGAGAGCTTCAGGAGTCCGTCCTAGTATACGATTTTTGGACCCCCTCCCGCTTCATTTCAATTTTGTACATGACCACTTTTATATTCGGGTTTAGGTTATGCTGTGCCACTTTCTGGGCCGAGCGCTGCGGCTAGGACAGGCTAGGGGGCCGGGCGCTGTGGCCACATGGTCAACTATATCCATGTCTTACATATAAGATCCATGTACAAAATTGATAGGAGAGGGAAGGGGGGTGTCCAAAACTCGTATATTAGGAAATTACCAGCTTTAACTTGATACCAGTTACTAAAAACTTTCAAAATTTCTTTTAAAAAGTATAGACAGTTATAATTGCGTAGAACAGAACTATGCGATATTACCTTTTGTAGAGAAATCCTCAGGTTTCTGGCCTCCCCCAACCAACCATCTACACCAATCTATCGTCTCACTATCTCCTATAGCGTTAGAAGGATGGAGTAGGTAGTCTAGCAGTGCCTGGAGATGGGCCGGAGGTTGAGTTACCGCCGAAGGAAGTCCTGAACTAGTTCCTGCTGCCTTGTTTGCCATGCACTCAGCCTGGACAAACGCTGCAGCCCCTGACTTCCCTTTACGGATCAACGTTTCCGCGTTAGTCATTTTGATCACTATTTTTTCTTCTTATGAATTTTAATCGTCCTGTTTAAAACAACTCTTAGACTCCATCTTTAACTCGCGTTTGATCTAAAAAAAAGTAATTGTTTATCAAATGCATCGAGATTTCCTCTCTCTTTGTGAAAAGAAAGTTTACGCGAACAAGAGACGTATTGAGAAAAAAATGAGAATTCATATGAACTAAAGGAATCTGTATGATTTAATAAACTAATTTTATCACATGTTGATGATGAAACAACGCGTTAACTATTGAATATTCGACCAACCTGCCCTTGGACGTAAATGACCTCGAACTCAAGCTTTACCTTCACAAGTGTTCTGAAAGTAGCGCGGCATTATATTAAATTAACCTGCCTTCTCGGCTCTATCTTTAGACGGGTCTGAGGCCCTGTACAAGGACGACATTATTATTCCAGGCAACAGCTTAAAGCTGTTGTTATCAGTTCGCAGTTTATCGTTTTCTTATTTTTCTAAACTATAAAGAAAATATAGCTTGTCTTTGATCATTCGAACTGTAAATTAACAGGTTTGAATCAGTCGTTTTCACGCTTTGATATAAATATACTCTATATAAAATATATTATATATGAAGCTAAGCTGCGAATTTTCTCAAAGCTGCCATGATAGGTTGAAATGTTTCAGAAAATCAGTGCCTAGACGATGTGAGGTGTTTACCATTTATGAAAAACAGATGATTTTAGTATTTCATATTTAAGATGCTCAAGATGCTCGCCTTGCATACAGAAATAAACGTTAATCAACCAATCAACCTACAAAGCAGTTTCTAGGACTTCGTAGATCAATTTCAATTTCATGGTTTCCAGTATATCTAGATGTTACAAATACATAATCTAGGAGTTTAAAATGAGTTTCAAAGACGTGCTGAACTTCAATATCGGAGTACTGGGCCATGTGGATTCTGGAAAAACAAGCATCTCAAAGGTTTTAATTAGTTTTCGTTAATTTGCCATTTTTGGTAATTTCATGTGGCCTCAGCGGGTCCGTCCTAGTATACGACTTTTGGACCCCCTCCCTCTCCCAAAATGACCACTTATTTTTCAGCAAAAATATTATTATTTCTTTTTTATTATTACAGGGTTAGGTTAGGACAATTTCTGGGCCAAGCGCTGCGGCTTGGACAGGCTAGGGGGCCGAGTGCTGCGGCTAGGACATACTAAAGGGGGGTGTCCATAAATCGTTCTCTAGGACAGACCCCCATTTTTTATTAATGTCGATGAAAAATTATCATATTAAAAGTATCGTTTTAATTTAGGCTCTGTCTACTATTGCTTCAACTGCAGCTTTTGATAAGGTATTTTATACTACAAACAACTCTGTTGTTTTTTCAAATTAGGGTTTTAAAATCTCAAATTTTAATCCGTTTTAGATTTAGAATAGAATAATACTTATTTGTTATTTTTGTTTAAGTAGCCATAATTTCTTCGTACTTCAGAAAACTAAAAGTTTCACGGATTTTTCTGTTAAAATTGACGGAGTTCAATCAACAAATTTAGAATCGACCCTATTTCTTGGTACAGTTGTCTTTTTGAGATCAGCACTAAACTTTCCCTGGGTTACCACAAAAACTTAGGACCCAATCGACTCATGGCCGTTAGGAACTTTTTTTAGTGATTCAGTAATTCTAAAATTATAGCATAATTTACTCTGAAATCCATGTTTTTTGTTTTAGAATCCTGAATCCCGAGAGCGGGGAATAACCCTAGATCTAGGGTTTAGTTCCTTCTGTCTGGATCCCCCCAAACATATTGAAGCCAAGGGATACAATAAACTTCAGATCACATTAGTGGACTGTCCTGGACATGCCTCCCTCATCAAAACTATTATTGGTGGAGCACAGATCATCAATATGATGATGCTTGTCATTGACGTCACCAAGGGGATGCAGACCCAGACCGCGGAGTGTCTTGTTATTGGACAGATCACCTCAGATCGCATGCTGATTGTTTTGAATAAGACGGATATGCTTCCTGTTGAAAAACGACAGCTGATGATCGATAAAATGAAGAAAAAGTTGAGACTAACTCTACAGTCAACTAAGGTTTGTTTTCCTTTATTATATAATAGCTGAAGTGCCCGGCTTTGCCCGTGGAATAAAAAATGATTTAAAAAATGTGATTTTTTTTAGGCCTTTGTTAAACCTAGGGTAGCCATGGGTGCCCTCAAAAATTTCAGCCCATTCGGTCCAGCTGTTAGGCCAGCTATAGCTAACATATATACATACAAATCTACTCGTATATCTATCTAATAAAGCTCTTCGCTTATATATATAAATATATTTGTATCTTTGTTAGCTATTGCTGATTTTTTAAGAAAACCCGTGGGTACCCTTGGGGAAACAAAGGCAGACAAAAATTCTAAATTTTTTCCCCTCTTAAATCGATTTTTTTCAAAATTTCAAAATTTAAAAAAATGTTTCTAAAATTCCACGGGCAACGCCGGGCACTTCAGCGAATAGATTTATTATATAGATTGAATAAAAAAACTATTCTTATTTGAATAGATTTTTTTACGACAATCATTCACAGCTTTATTTTTTTTCTTCTAGTTTATAGATGCGGAAATTATATCTGTATCTGCTAAACCTGGAGGCCCAGAGTCAAGTTCTGAACCCGAGGGACTAGAGACCCTGATAAATACAATCCGAGCTCAATCTTACATTCCGGAGAAGATATTAGGAGGTCCTGCTCTCTTCTCAGTAGACCACTGCTTCTCAATCAAAGGTTAGATCCTTTAAAAAATTCATTAGCTGCTAAATCAGAGGCCTACTAAACGAAAGAGAATTTTATTTATTTGTTTTAACTTTATTATTTATTTTTAATTAAATGATAGTTTTAAATATTTATATGATATCAGATGAAAATATTTTGATATCTCTATATTAATTCTTCTCTTTCTTCTTGTTCATCTTTCATACATCTTTCAATCATATAATGTCTAATTTTAAAAAAAGGGATGTTCTTGTAAATTAGCATTTTTACAAGAAGGACTATTTTTTAAAAGATCTTGTTTTTTCTGAGCCCTGCATTCATTTTGAGTTAACTGTCTGGTTTTCTTTTCTTGAAAGGCTGACCAGGCAATTTGTAGTATTTAATGTCAGCTCTGAATTTATTGCTTGCTCATGTTTGCTAGGGTTGGCTTTACACATTTTTTTTAGATCATTTAACTTCAGGAAGATTTTTTGAAGGGAGGGGGGTGGGACGTCTCCCATCCTGTTTTTGTCTTTATTAACTATCAATAAAAAAAAGGATTGTGTAAAGCTGAAAACATCTCTTCTAATTTTCCTGTTCTTTATTTTCTTGTTTATCTCGTTTGTTTTTGCTTTTTAAGACCTTTCCAAATAGTCCTTTTAACATCCGAGTCGTGGAAAAGGTAGAGGAGAGAGATTAGGAGATTTGTAGGAAGAAGGGTATAGGGGATTGCTCCCTGTGTTCCTTCATTTTATACTGTTTCCCAGTAAGGGGAATAATAAGGACACTCATAACTTCACCCGTTATGCAAAATGAGGAGTTGTAAGCCCTGTAAAGCCCTATTGAGGGGAATCTTCTTCAGCAGTCCATTCCTCACAGCCGGTTGAGTAAAAAACTTATCATTGTGCATGTAAACCCATCAGGGGCTATATTTTATTTATTTTATGATTTCAGGACAAGGAACCGTAATGACGGGAACAGTTCTCCAGGGAACTATCAAGGTTGGAGATACAATAGAAATCCCCTCCCTCGGTGTAACCAAGAAGGTGAAATCTATCCAGATGTTCCGGAAAGGAGTGGACCTAGTTACACACGGAGATAGAGCTGGAGTTTGTGTTACTCAGTTTGATCCGTCATTACTTGAACGAGGACTGATCTGTACTCCGGGTTCTACTCCTATATCCTCGGCAGTTATAATAGATCTTAATGGGATCCCTTACTTCAAGGGTGAGGTGAAATCAGGAGCTAAATTTCACATCAGCCTGGGACATGAAACTGTAATGGCTAAAGTGACGATATTTTCTAAAAAATCCGAAGGAATATTCGATTTTTCCGAGGAGCACAGGTTCGAGGAAGTATTTTCTAAGGAGGACGGATCCCTGAGTAGATTTCTGCTAGTTGAGTTTGAGCGACCTGTTCCTGTTGTTCCTAACTCTATTCTAATTGGCTCTAAACTAGACTCAGATATTAATTCAAACCTCTGCCGTTTAGCTTTCCATGGAACTGTTGTCTGGTTGGCCACAAGTAAGGACTACTTAAAGTCTGAGTTAAAGAATTTAAAGATTTACAAGGAGAAGTCTAGAGAGGGTATAGTTGAACGAGCTTCTAATGAATACGAAGTAATCGTTAAAGATCTCGTACGGAAGGAAACAAACGTGGAACTGTTTACAGGATTGAAAGTTCAACTCAGCTCCGGAGAGACAGGAACCATCGAAGGAACTTTCGGTCAGAGCGGAAAACTTAAAGTGAGAATTATGAGTGGGCTGAACCCTGAAACCATGACTAAAATAGGAGGAAAGAAAAAGAAAGGCGAACCTGTGATTGCCTCTGAACCTGTGATACTAACACTAAACTTTAAACGCTATATTTTCGACGAAAAAAAGCGAATGATTCAGTCTTAAAGGGATTAATTGATTTGTGGGTCATGTGCTGTGATTATGATAAATTTCTCTTGAGAACTTGGAAACCTGATTTGGTTTATATTGTTCATTTTCATGGAACCGTGCTATTTATGTATTTTTATTGTTATTGTGTTTTTTTTTTATTTTCCTAATTTCAGACTAAATGGACAGCCAGGTTCAAGTAGAAGGAAGACTCCTAGATATTGTTACCGACGACTGGAGAAAAGAAAAGTGAGTAAAAATTAATCGTATTTCTATTTATGTACTGATCATTGTAAAAAATCTTAGGTTGACGATCGAAGACATTCCTGTTCCATTTGCTGAGCTTCCGGATCCGGAATCCGACACCGGAAACCCGGGGGAAACCTTGCGGCAGCAGGAGAACAAGTGGACTGATCTCTCCCTGACTGGTTTAGCGGAAACCTTCTCCGCTAACTAAATTGTCAGGATGGCTCTGTATGATAATAAACTATGGTTACTCTCACACATACATAATTCCTTTATATCAAGTGATGACTCCGGGGTGTGTGAACTTGTTCTTGGCTCAGATAATTTTAAAGATGAACTTCGAGTCGTCGCACTTAATCAGGTACTTTTTAAACTAAACATTAATCATTTTTTTATACATTTTTAAAATTTTCATTTTTGTGCATAAAAGTTTTCTATAAAAATAAACTTTATATACAAATAAAATTAGTCCGAATATAAAAAGTTTTAACATCTACAATCTAATTTATCCAATTTTAAAGATTAATTTCATATTTCTAATTGTGTTCTTGAGAAAATTGCTAATTGAGAACATTTCATCTCCATTCTCCACAATGTAGTGCAATATTATTCAAATTATTTAATAGAACTACATTCTACATTCTAAACTCATCTAAAGTCTTTTTTGGTTCAGATTTACTGAGTTTTAACTTTTAGACAATCTTTATAAAACTGAATCTGAATCTAATACATAACAAAATTCTAATGGGTTCGATAAGATAACTAATATCTATTCGTAAGGCGTTTCCCTGTGTTCTAGAATTTTTGACATCTTTCACATTTGTCTCTAAATATCCCGTCGGTGGAACCATCAATTAATATGTAATACTTTTTATTATAAAGGGTTTGCCCAGTTTTACTGATTGTATAAGCGATGAAGAAGATGAGGATGTGGACGGATTCAGGCGTTCTCCGGATTTCCGTGGAGGCTTACAGTGGCTCAAGGATTCATCGCCCCTTTATAAAAAGGGAGATAAACCAGTAGCGGTGAAAGTTGCACCGGAGAAACCTAAAACTATTGTCTGGAAACCGGGAAACCCGGATCCAGAAGAGATGGCGGAATTGTTTCCTAGAAAAATATTAAATAAAGTGAACCCACCACAGGTCTCTCTTCTCACAGAACAGCTGAACAGTCTAGCTGTAGGAGACTGCAACCCTTGGATAGAGTTCGGCAGGTTTGATGGCTCCGGAATTCCCGATGAAAAGTTTGTCAGGAAGATCTCAATATATTTTCCTATGACACTGGACGATCTTTCAATGAAACCGATCCTAGTGATGTGCCGAGGAGATGCTAGAGTTCATGAGCTAATTGGTTTATCTTGTTATAAATACACCCTGGAGAACAGGGAACCTAGATTAGCTCCTCCTGTAGAGAACTACAGTCTGTTTATGTGTGAGGAGGACGGTAGCGTGGATTGGGATTTCCCATCCTTAGATTCCTCCGACCTACTCAGTAAATACGGTTTTACCGTTCTTGCAGTAGTTGAGAGATCTAAACCAGAGCAAAGTGCAATCTGTGTTACCCTTCACCTACCTGATGGCACCTTCTCCCAAATTGAAGTTCAGAAACGTGATATAACATTAGGAGAGATCCTGGAGAAAGGTTTAGAGAGAAGGAAACGATTAACAAATGTGAAATATAATTTTGAATACCATCTCGAAGCTGTTGATGAACCAGGTAAATTTTAATCTTCATTTTAAATATTTTGCTTTATGGCTAATTATATCTCTTTTGTAGGAATAACTTTGGATCCTTCAGTTACTCTTAGTGCAAACGGTGCCGAAGAATTCTATATAGTTCGAAATAACAGCAAGCGCGTTGCAGGTTTATTTTTTTCTTCATGTTTTATTTTCCAAGCTTTAAAACAAATTCGAGAGACTAAATATAACATTAGTATAAATAAAACCAGAGGTGGGATTTCTTGTATTTTGGAGATCGAGATCAATTCTTGATCTCAATCTTTTGTTAATCTACAGATTAATTTAATCTTTATTTGATATCCCGTGAACAGTGGATACCCAAAATCAAGAGTTAAAAGTAGGACCTGTGTTAAATTAGAAATGCCCACTGTAGATATCGAGATCAAGAGACCGGGATTATGGGCATTAAACGTAAAAAAAACTCAGCTCATGTTTTTTATCTCTTCTAAATTAAGTATTAAGATCTTACAGAATGACTGTTATTGTTTTTGATACATAAAATACATATTTACGTAAACAGAAAACATTCATAAGCATTAAAAAAAGATTTTACTTGGTACTAGTAAAATAATGTGAAAAGTTTTTCAGTGAATATTTGCACTGTCGTGTTTTATTTCTAACAACTATTTTTTAAGGGGCTCGTGACGCACAGAGCATAGAAATATGTTACCTTGAAGCTCTTCTTTTTCAATCCTTCAACGTCGAGATATTCACGAAGGTCAGGACCAAGGTGGACGTCCATCTTGGTATATCCGAGGAGAAGGTGGAGATAGATCCCCGCCAGCAAACCAGTTCTGCAAAATTCTGGTCTAAACAGAAAGCTGTTTCCTACGCTCTAGATCTAGTTGTCAGCTGTGAGATTCTAGAATCAAAAACAAAAGGAGACAGAGATTTATTTAGGTAGTTTCAGTTTAAAAAAAAAATTATTTAAAAACATATAAGAGCAATAATGTAATTCCATCTAATATGATCCCAAATGTTAATTGAATGATATTAAGGGCAGAAACTAACCATGTTGTTGTTGTAAACAATTGGAAGTATGATTTCAAGTTGTAGAAAAAATCCATAATGCAGAATGTTTACTGCAAGAGAGTGTTTATTTTTCTGTATATCATAATTTATCTCTTACATTGCTTACTGATATTTACATATTTTAACACCCCAAATGCAGTACACAATTCTGAAGTGTAGTACACGTACACAGAAAAATTGCCAATGTCGCAGTAAGTGTATTTTCATACCCTTAAATGTACTTTTAACTCCGATCCCATTTGGGATCAGAAATGGAATTATATGGAACCCTGCAATTAAGTCCAGATATTTGATATATTACAATATTCAGGATGGTTTACTTGTCAGAGAGTGGATGGGGACAGAGAGATTTCGAGGCGGACTCTGAAACTGCCGGAGCTGTAGTTCAGAAACTGAACTATCTCTTGGATCTCAGGCAGTCAAATGCTAGAAAGCAGAGAAAAGAATACTTGATAAATAAAGAGAAGAAAAAACTTAAACCAAAATCCACCTCAAAATAGTATGTGATTGTGTGTGTGTGTGGAGGGGGTTTAGTAACCTTGCATATTGATCAACGGGTTTTTTAGGCTTTATTCCTGATACTTTCTCAGGTTTCAGAGATAAATGATGAATGAGAGGAATGAGTGTACTGAGATCAGCCCGACTTCAACAAGCTGTCCCTGGGTTTAAACAGCGGAGTAACGATATTCTCTTTATACCAGGAGTTGAACCTGTTCAGGGAAGGTTGGTTTAATCAGGATACTTGTAACGAGAATCAATACTAAGGTTAAATACTAAGGTTGAATGGAGAATGGAACCTTGATTAAAACCAACCTTGTGAACTAGGGCACTGTAGTTTTCTTCCCGGGAGATGTTCAAGATCTGAACTCTGCACAGTGTGAGCACAGGGATAACAGGTTAGAACAAAAGAAGCAGGTCTTTCCCACATGAACATATTGTAACTATCAGGTATATACTATATATCTGTCCTGGAACCTAGAGAATACAACAGAACTTCTCAGCAGGTCTTTCCCACATGAACATATTGTAACTATCAGGTATATACTATGTACTAGACAGATTACTCATAGGTACATGTAGAACAATACTTTTAATATACATTAATAATGCACACATGATTAACCTTTGATTAAGTAAATAGATTAAGTTTACCGAAGTGTATTGTATTTCTTTAAACATACTTTTATATATTGATTTTTCCACTAATCCTTTTAAGCAATAAATTTTTACTCAATATTTTCATATTCTAATCTGGTTTTGATATTTCTAAGATCCTAAAATGTAATTTCATAACTTAGTATTTAGAAATATAAATATTTAGATCTTGTGAAGGTGGGATTTTTTAGCTAAATATCTAATTTATTAGTTAACTAATATGTGATTTATTCTTTATGTATTACGGTTAACCTTGTGATAAATGTAAAACAAAATGATTAAACAATGAACATGTATGTATGTATATTATAAATATGTATACTCTTTATATTGTAAATATGATTTGTATTGTGGTTTTAGATATTTTATCAATAAAACTGTAATTGTTACTGGAGAATTCAACCTGATTTCAGAACAAGAAAATCCAAATATGAAATGTTATTCTATTTCCATTCTCCTACTCCTGATCATACTGGGGGTACAGTTCACCGACATATTCCCCGAGATTGCTGCATACTTACTCCGCCTCCTCAGTGGGCTAGTCCTCGGAGTTCTATTAGCTGGGTTCATATCCATAGAATTAGTTCTTCTTCTTCTTCCTCCGTACTGCAAATATCACCAGGAGGAGACATCACAACCTAAACCTAGGTTATAATACTTAGTAACTAGGAGAATGAAAATAGTTCAAACTAACATAGAATATGCTCAATGCAATTTTATTTTTATTTTACAAGTTCCAAAATTGTTGTTTGTACTATTGTGCCTCAATTTTTGGTTTAGTTTCTCATTGGAACTAATGGAATGCACATGTTCAGAAAGAAACCTGCTTTACAGTGTTGGGTGAACCTTCTTCAAGCTCCGTATCCGAGTGATCTACTTGATCCGGTATGCTTTCCATCATCTAAAACCTTTCTTAATAATCACACTAAGCAGTACAAATATTTTATTTCTCTAAAAAAAAAATTCTCAAGATTTGGGACAAAGAGATTTTTATCTATACCAGGAGAACTTGAAAGAAACCCGTAGTGCCCGTCTGACTGTGGATAGGAACCATCTCACCCTAGAACTACCAGATAAAAACATTGACAGGGATATAATGTACAAATCAGATGCCAGGACATCTAATTCCAACTTTACAGCAGTAAGGGTAGATTTCCTTTAATTCAAGAATTACAGTTTTTCGTTTTATTTGAAGCCGAAATTTTTTTTAAAAAATAAATGGGTGCCAAGTCAAAATATATTATTGAAGAAAGATGAGCAAAGAGTCTAAGGTTCCAGAGGATCTCAACTTCTACACTCTTAAAACTGTTCTGGATCTCACCTTCTCCAGGGTTCAGTTCCAAACTGATCCGCAGTCTGAGAAGGTTCGGTTCGGGGTCGAGGTTCCCATCAAGGCAATGCTTAAATTTTAAATTCTAATTAAGCACACCCCAATTGTTAATTGCGAATTAATTGATTAGATTTACAACGTGTGCAGCGACGGACGGGAGTATCTAGAGTCCGTATTCTACGCCAGGGGTAGCAGGGAGAAGGAGATTATTGTAAACGCGCTTAAAGATGGATCTCATTATATTGAAGATGTTAAAACCAAGAATTCCCAAGGGTTAGAAATAATTTCTTTTAAGATTGATCTGGGTTTGCTGTTCTAATATTTTCACCAAACCCCGATCAAAAATGTTAGTTTTATCTTATATTTATGTCAATTGAGCTAAACTTTGACTTTTTTATTTTATTGTCGAGTAAAGTTAATATTTCAATTGTAAGTGAGAATGATCTGAATCAGTTTGAACGAGATGCTTGGTTTCATGAATTCTCCGTCCAGTGTATCTATCAGCACTGTAACATGGAGACGGAGAGGGGGAACTATGAGAACGAGGGGTTCAGGTTGGCGGAGATATCAAACCAGCCAAACAAGTTTCTAAATGCTTTCTTTAGCAGAGCATTTTTCGATATTAGAGACTCGGCGCGTCTTCTTGAGTATCTTAGGAATGGGAAAATATTAATACCATTTTTGCAAGTTTGCTGATTAGTGTTTTGGTTAAAAAATTTTATTTTTAGATTTAAGATTCAATTTTCCTTTATGTATAGAGAGAAGATCCATAAAAAGTTGAAAAACGTCAAGATTCTTCGATTTTTCCCTGATTTTGATATATCTACCCCCACCCTAAGCAAACAGTCTCCGGAAATAATATCAATATCAAAACCTGAAGATTCAGTTCGTGGTGTCTGGTTCTCGATTGAGTTGATCTCATCAGGGTTAACGTCAGGATATTTTTATCCTGTTAGAGACGGACTTGAGGAGAAACCGAACCAGGCGCAAAGCTCTCTAATTAAAACCTTCTTAGCGGAGCTTAGGTATCGAATACTGAGAACTATCTCATTTCGTGTCGAGCTTCATTACCTGCGTGGAGAGATGATAATTAATTTACCGAATGCGTCTGATCGTATCTGGTGTTGCTTCAAACAGGTTCCAGAGTTCAAGCTCAACATAATTCCTATATTTTGCGGAGAAGATCTGATTGAAGACTCTTCAGCGTTCCATCAACTCATCTATAGAATAATTCAGGTTTAAAGAGTTTCCTGGTAATACATAATAATGAGTAGAATCCACATAACTCTGAAAACTCTATGTCCAGGTTCTTGAGTCCAGAGTTACAACCTTGTTGTTGAAGAATCTGGTTTATCCCAACTTCGAAGATATTCCTGTCAAGTTTATGGAAAGTCTGCCCATCACTAATATCACCGAAGTCAGCCCAGAAGCCTGATATCTAAATGCATTAATGTTTATCTAAATTTCAGTAATATGATATTGTCTGTTTATTTTGAAAAATTTGTGATTATTACATGGTAAAATTTTGTGATAATAAGATAAATGTTTTTAAACGTTTTCAAAGCTTTGATATAATCTTTTATGTTTTCAGGCCATCCAGGAAGGAACTGAAAACCTTCAGTTGTTTCGACAACTTCGTGGAGAGTGACAAGCTTGGATCCCCAGTATACTCTCCAGATCACGGAGCTATCCCACACTTGAACCTTATCCTCAGAAACCTTCTAGATATTCTAAACCTGGAGAAATCAAGCTTAGACAAGATAACTGTGATCGGGTTCAGTAAGGTACAAAAAGATTATTATATTTACTTTTTGCAATTTTCCTATTTCGTGTATAATATTACGTAATACGTATCTATGTACTAGGGAGTTGTTGTTTTGAATCAGTTAGTACACGAGCTGGCCGACCTAGCTAGCCCTGATCTACTGGAGGGATTTTCCTTACATACATTTATCTGGCTGGACGGAGGACATAACGGTGGAAAGGATATTTACCTGACTGATAAACTAATCTTAGATAAGTTTTCAAAATTTAAGATAAATGTGAGTGTTCGAGTTACTCCTTATCAGATAGGAAACCAGCTCCGGCCTTGGATTAGGAAAGAAGAGAAACTGTTTCGGAGTATCCTTCACAACCTTAACACCAGAGCGGAGCGCAAATGTTTTTTTAACGATTTAGAACCAAGTATTGAGTCCCACTTTCAGATCCTGAATACCTTTCTCACAGATCCAATAGATTTTACGTGAGTTTGTCAATCCTTTATTTCTCATCAGCAGCAAAATGGCTACAGAAGCTGAACCAAACGAAGGTAAAATAAAAGGTAAAATTATATACTTTTAAACTTTTTATTTATATGATTTGTGCTTTAGTGGGTGAGTCTCCAGGTTTGGTTTGTATCGAATATCCTGGAGTTGTAGAGAATCCTGAGAAAGCCGTCCGAACCCTAGGTGGTCTAGATAATATTGGACTTGTTCTCTCCGAACCCAACCGTAGACTGGAGCTGAGGTTCAGATCTGAGGATGTTTATTGTAAACCTACTTGTGGGGAAAGACATCAATGTTCTTGTAAGCATATATTTGATAATTTCCCACTCCTCAGCCATCTTATAACTCAACTTTTTTAACTGAAAAAGAAATAAAGAACAAATATAAATTTTTGGGAAAACATCAAAATTACATTTGTAGTGTTTAAGTAACCTCTGTTGCAATTCATTTTTCAGCGTTTGTTGTCAAAGTGAAGAGAAAGAAGTTAAAGAAGGGAGTGAAAGATAAACCTGAATATATCCATGAAACTAAACTGGTTGGATTAGTAGACTCTTGTTTCCGATTTTCAAACCTCTGCGATTTCCAGTACCTGCCTATGGAGAAGGACGAAGAAGGTAAACTGTCCTCGTTGTATCCGAAGGTTTTCTTCCAAAACCTGGTTTCCAGTGATTGGATTGAGAAGGAAGCTCCGCTCTTCATCCCTCCAGCAGTTTTCTCTAGGATGGATGCTCCACAGGATTATCAGGTTTACAGAGATATAATTTTACAGCACTCTTCCTCCTCCATTCTTGGGCTGGTTAGGGGTAATGTCTTTGGAGGATAAAGAAAAAAATTTAATTTATAAGGATATTTTTGTATCATCGTGTCAAGCCTGCCTTGATTAATAAAATTCAGGGGTGTTTTTTTTTGAAAAATCATTTATTGGGGTTTTATTCGCTGAATTGGGGGAAATAACTGATTTTTAGGGGAAAACAGATAAAAACCTAGGTAAAAAGTATTTAAAATATCAAAACGGATGAAAAAATCTTCCTTTATGTTGGGTAATTCTTTAAATGTTATACCCTTGACAATATTTTGTAAGAGTGTAAGAGTCATATAAGTAAAAAATTTAATTAATTTCAAACTATTTAACGATTGTCTATTGTATTAGTTTCGACGTGAGGCGTCTGCGGAGAAGTCTTCAGGAACTCCGCACAATATAATCGGTAGAACTAGACAAAGACGATCTCATCACGCAATCTTCGTAACCTACGACGTAGAGAAGGTTCCAGAGAACCCCAGGGATATAGCCATTAGTCAGATGAAAATCAAGTTTATCGACAAGGAACGGTTTGATATTGTGGAGAAGAATTTTAAGGAGCGTCCTATATGGTCAAAGAATGCACTGCATGCAATAACAAGGATAGCCTCGGACAGGTTAAAGTTTATCCTGCCTGCTCTAGCATACTACTTTACCACAGGACCCTGGAGAAATCAGTGGATTAAGTTCGGATACGATCCTAGACTGGATTCATCAGCTGGCAGATATCAAACCCTGGATTACAGGGTAAGGTTGCAGGGTGGAGCTAGACATAAAGTTGCGGCTAAACGAAGCTACGCTAACTACCTTCTACCCTATAAAGCAACTAACTGGTCTAAACCAAGAACATCACTCATCAATAAATCTGCGTTCCCTGGAGCTGAGAATGAGAGGAAGAATGAGGAGGTTGAGACGGAGGAGGACAGGGAGAAGATGATTGATGTTTTCAAGTTCAGGAAAGGACGGATACCACCTTACAGACAAATGTTCTATCAGTATTGTGATATAGAGGTAGGAATTATATTAAGAATGTTAACACTCCTTCTCCTTATAATGCCACACAAAGAGTAAATGAACGTTATCAAATGAGATAATGCTGAATTAAATAATATAGGAAATCAATTTTCTTCTCCGCAATTCTTAAAAACTTTAACATTTTTTATCTAATATATAGATTAATTCTTTGTTGTGTATATTGTTAAAAAAATATCCCAGGTCTTCTTTTGTGTATATACATATAGATTACAAATACTTCCTCTAATTAAAGTTTGTAGATTGAATCTGCGCAAGAACTGTTGGAGCGAAACCACAGTGAAACCTGCTCTGAGCGGTCTGGATGGTTTAATCCTGGAACAGAGGAAAAACTGAGAAACCTTCTCACCGAAATCATCAACACGCATATTTCAGAGGAAAGGTTGAAGGAAATAGAATCAGAGCTTGACGAGGTAATTAATAAAGAGAATTAAGAAAGACATTTTTTTTTTCAATTTTTTTTTTCAGAGAGCGGAAGATCAGATTGAGAATCATACCGGGGACGATTCAGATTCAGATCTTGAGTAAAAAATGTGCCTGAAATAAAAATTCAATACTTTCACATCTAAAATGGCGTCTTAACGACAATACTTGTTATATTGATTTAACTCTGTATTTAATTTCTCACGGTTCTAAAGCTGATTTATATAAGAAGGTGATTTAAACTTTAGAAATTTTATAAGATACTGAACTGGTAGTTACAACTTAGCATTACGTTTTTCGATCGTACAAAACCAATAAAACCAATATTTCATTTTGAAACGTACCCAGTACCAAACCGGATTCAGGTCCTCAACGTCTTTCAAAATTCACAATTTGTTTTAACAATTGAAACATTTCTAACATTTTTTTGTTTGTTTAGTTTTATGCTGAAACTTTATGGAAACGCTTTATTATTTAGAAGAAAAAGAGAACACTATCTTTTTGTCATGCCCTGCGAGGCTACGAACCATTGTTATTTGTTTCTTTATAATCTTTTTTCCTTCAGTTTTTTTTTTATTGAAAAGTGGATTATATTAGAAAAATTAACCAGTTGCACAATATTTTAAAAATAATTTAGTTAATTCTTAATTCACAATCATATCTCGTTTTATGTTTTGATTTTTTGTGTTTCGCCATTTTCTACATTATCTTCTTCATCCTGAGCCCGTTCTCTCTATAGAAAGTGGTCGTGTAGTTCACGTACTTTGGGGGAGTGTAGTTCACGTACTTTGGGGGACGATTTATTGGCCGCTAGATGTCTCATGTTAAATTCTTATCTGATAGATTAATAATTTCTCCGTACACTTCACGACCTATATTGGAGACGTCAAGTTGTCGACCGATGTAGTTTATGGAAGGAACGGCCTCAGCTGATTGCAGCTTTGTAAATATTTTTGTCACTTCTGAACAATGAACTCGATGAACAAATTAGAATTCTGTATTTATATCCTTAACAGTTATCAAACCCTGAAAGGCGCACCCCCCCNCTCTACACTTACCAGTAGAATTGCGGTAATAATTCTTTCTTCCTTGATAATTATTTAATTTAGCAGGCTTAATTGTGTGTGTTTTTATGATGCTTTTCTTGACATGTGCCTAAATTGAATGCCAAGTCCCAAGATGAGTCAAATTTTTCCAGGATACATTTTTTAACCCACAGTTCATGGGGTTATAGATCAGAAATAGCCAAACGAACGTGGTCTTCAGTATATGTGATGGACCCTGAGAAATCTCTGGTTAAGGTGCGCCGCCCCTTACTGACGCATCAAATCATCAAATTATAAACCGTCGTGCCATAATGGTTTATGCCGGTAGATGAGTCATATTTTTAAGGTTACATTTTTTTAACCCACAGTTCAAGGGGTAGGATCAGAAATAGTCAAACTTGTGTGATTATCAGTGTGTGATGTACCCAGGAGACATCTGTGACGTATCAAATTCATTAAAACCGTCATGCCATAATGCTGTATTATGCCAAAATGAGTCATAATTTTAGAATATATTTTTGTAACCTAATATTCTACCATTGAAGGGGTAGGATCAGAAACATGTAAAAAGTGTGTAAATATAGTGTAAAAGACACCGGAGGAATTCTCTGGTTAAGGTCTAGTAATTATTTTCACATTGCAACTCCAGTGACGTAGTACGGAAATATCTGGATATAACTAGTTATAGATGTAGAATATATACATCAGTTGTCTTCTGTAAAGCTTTATTTTGTTTATTTTCAATCAAAACTATAAATTAATTATTTTAGAAATTTGTAAAGAATGGGATAGAATCGGTTGAGTTTGGTTTTCCTCATCAAGCCAAAATAATACAATTATCAAGTGGTCAAGTCGTCTTCCGTAATTCTGTGCTATACAGAGATTCACATATTAAAAAGTTTTAAGGATTTATCAATTAAACTTGAAGTAGCTTATTCGTTAGAAACACGTTAGTTAGTTAATCTTAAATATATTGAATAAAGGGATAAAAATGTATAAGATTTTTAATATTTCAGATACGAATTTCTGACGAGGTTTGGTGAATATGTGCCTGTAGTCTGTACCCTGAGTCTGAGTCGTCTGAGTTTCAGTTTACTCCCAGTTTCCGCGCATGATTCTTTAGAACCGTCCTCAGTGATTCAGCTGCCAGAGCTGCTAGTATTGATCTAGTGTAAACCTGCTGATGTTCGAGGTTCTCATCACGTGAACAGGAGTAGAAATATTATTGTAGAACCAGTAGATTAATCTCGTCAACATGTCGGGAAACCAGGGGATGGAGTCCCTCATCCCCATCATCAATCGGATGCAGGATGCCTTCACCCAGCTCGGCGTTCATATGGCGATTGACCTCCCGCAGATCGCTGTGGTCGGCGGTCAGAGTGCAGGAAAATCGTCTGTGCTGGAAAATTTCGTCGGAAAGTAAGTATTTTTTGTACTTTGTTTTTACAGATATATTAATGAGGATTACCAATTGTAATTTCATTAAATTCAAAACAAAAACAATGAGGTCTTAACAAAAACATATGATCACACTTAACCCATAAGAAGTACAGTACAGTACTTAATAATAACGTAATAATAACCTTGTTACAATATCCATGAGAGCGCATTAATAAGAATAAACTTTGAAATATTAATCAAATTAATAAAATCTTATGATAACACTAATCCTTGTATAAATTACAAGAAACCTTTCTTTTACTGTCAAAATCTGTGTTAGCTAAAACTTTGATCTGGCTTTTATCCTTGTGATATCGTCAAACCTTGTAATATCAACAATCACAATACCTGGAGGTAAAACAAAACCTTGTGATAACATCAACCTTGTGATAACATCAACCTTGTGATAACATCAACCTTGTGATAACATCAACCTTGTTATAACATCAACCTTGTGATAACATCAACCTTGTGATGACATCATCCTTGTGATAACATCATCCTTGTGATAACACCACACCTTGTTTTAACAACAAACCTTGTGATATTACCATACCTTGTGGTAAAACCAAACCTTGGGATAAGATAACATTAAACCTTGTGATAACATCTACCTTGTGATAACATCTACCTTGTGATAACACCATGCCTTCTGTTAACACCATTTTTGTGGTATAACCAAACCTTGTGATATCATCAAACCTTGTTATATCATCAAACCTTGTTATATCATCAAACCTTGTTTTATCATCAAATCTTGTGATATCACTAAACCGTGATATCACCAAGGATATCATCAAACCTTACCTTGTGATATCACTAAACCATGATATCACCAAACCTTGTTATATCATCAAACCTTGTTATATCATCAAACCTTGTTATATCATCAAACCTTATCATATCATCAAACCTTGTAATATCAGCAAACCTTGTGTTATCACTAAACCTTGTTATATAATCTAACCTTGTTATATCATCAAACCTTGATATATCATCAAATCTTGTAATATCACCTAACCTTGTTATATCACCAAACCTTGCTATATCAGCAAACCCTGTTATATTACCAAACCTTATGATATCACTAAACCTTGTTATACCTCAAAACCTTGTGATATCACCAAACCTTGCGATAACATCAAACACTGCGATAACTCCAAACCTTGCGATATCACCAAACCTTCAATCGAACCTTGTGATAACTGTAAATTTCGTTATAACATCAAACCAATTGATATCATCCAACCTTGATAACATCAAATCTTGATATCACCAAACCTTTATAACATCGAACCTTAATATCACCTAACCTTGATATTACCAAACCTTGATATCACCAAACCTTGATATCACCAAACCTTGATATCACCAAACCTTGATATCACCAAACCTTGATATCACCAAACATTGATATTATCAAACCTTGACAAACCCTAACATCGAACCTAGTGATGACTGTAAACCTCGTGATTGATATCACCAAACCTTGTGATAACATCAAGCCTTGTAATATCGATAAACCTTGATATAATCAAACATTGTGATGTCAACATAGATTGCACACATACATTACACACAGATTAAACCAAAATTACACGATAAATGACTCAAGTTGCAAGTATTAACTCTTGATTATAATTTGTTGGTAAAACTATCTTACTAGCATTTTTCTGAGTTGTTTCAGGGGTTAAGTTTAATTTGAGTAGAATCAAGGAGATGGGGGTAGTTTGTAGATTTTCTTCACATTTTATTGTGACGAATGTGGAAAGCACTGGATGTAGTCTAATTTTATTGCAAACAAACAACAGTATTAACAATAGGATCAGAAACATGTAANATAGTTAAATAGCTGAGAACGTTACTTTGTCAGGATAATAGAATAGAATAGATTTATCACACAAGATTCATTTCTGATAAGATAATCAGGAAGTATATAAAGTCGACCATTGTAGTGTTTATAAGAAACGGACTCTTTTCTAATAATACGTCACATTAAAATGTTAACAAATCCTATTCCTTAGATTTTAATTTATTCTCATTAATACAGTCATATTTTGCGATAGTTAATGAATTTTTGAAATTAGGTTACCTTTAAAGATATGAACAGGATTGAAGTATACCTTTGAACACTAGAACAGGATGGAAATATACCTTTAAACACCTAGAACAGGATTTAAACTAGAACAGGATGGAAGTATACCTTTAAACACTAGAACAGGATGGAAGTATACCTTTAAACTCTAGAACAGGATGGAAGTATACCTTAAAGCACTAGAACAGGATGGAAATATACCTTTAAGCACTTGAATAGGATGGAAATATACCTTTACACACTAGACCAGGATGGAAAAATACTTTTAAACTAGAACAGGAAGGAAGTAAACCTTTAAAGTTTAAAACTAGAGCATGATGAAAATACACCTTTAAACACTAGAATATGATGGAAATATAAATTTAAAAAACACTAGAACAGGATGGAACTATATCTTTAAACAATAGAATAGGATGGAAATATATTTTTAAACACTAGAACAGGATGAAAATATACATACCCCTTTAAACACTAGAACAGGATGGAACTTTACCTTTAGACACTAGAACAGGATGAAAATACATCTTTAAACACTAGAACAGGATGAAAATACATCTTTTAACACTAGAAAAAGATAAAAATACACCTTTAAACACTAGAACAAGATGAAAATACACCTTTAAACACTAGAACAGGATGAAAATACACCCTTAAACACTAGAACAGGATGAAAATACACCTTTAAACACTAGACAGGATGAAAATATACCTTTAACCACTAGAACAGGATGAAAATATACCTTTGAACACAAGAACAGGATGAAAATACACCTTTAAACACTAGAACAGGATGAAAATATACCTTTAAACACTAGAACAGGATGGAAGTATACCTTTTAACCCTAGAACAGGATGGAAGTATACCTTTAAACACTAGACAGGATGAAAATATACCTTTTAACACTAGAACAGGATGGAAATATACCTTTAACCACTAGAACAGGATGGAAATATACCTTTAACCACTAGAACAGGATGGAAATATACCCTTTAACACTAGAACAGGATGGAACTGTTACATAGATAATACCAAACCCTCAGTCTTCCATATTCAAACAATCCCTTGATATTGTATAAACGTAATCTGATCTTATAATTGTTTTTCTATTAAGGGATTTCCTTCCCCGTGGTTCTGGTATTGTAACCAGAAGACCTCTTATCCTACAACTTATCAACGGTCCTACAGGTTATACAAAATTAATAGTATAAAATTAATTATAATGCAGTTTAATAATATGCATCAGAATATTTACCTTTTCTAATGCGTCAAAATGTAACATTGTGTAAAGAAATTATAGTTTTTTTAGCATTATTTTGATAGTCAATTTTCGCTTTTATTCGGCTTTCCCCTCTTACAAAAAATACGTTTAACTCCCCCCCCCCATTTAATCTAACTTTGATGCGCCAAACGTGTATTTTCTTGTATAATCCTGTTTGAGAAAACAATTAAGTCAAAATCTTGTTAAAAATCTATCAAAATCAATTATCCATCTAGTTCTTTCCCATAACTTGAATATATTCAGAGTATGGAGAATTCCTTCACTGCAAGGGACAAAAGTTCATGGACTTCCTTTCTATCATGAAGGAGATAGAGGACGAGACTGACAGGGTGACCGGGAGCAACAAGGGGATCAGTAACCTTCCAATCAATCTCAGGGTTTACTCTCCGCACGGTAGGATTTATTAAAATTATTCTTCAACCCGTTCTGTACTTTCATTCTATATCAGAGAAATAACCTAACACAATGATATTCTAATCAAGAAATTAACCTTATTTTTATTTTCAGTTCTCAATATCACTTTAATCGATCTGCCTGGTTTGACCAAGATGGCTATCGGGGACCAACCTTCGGATATAGGAGAGCAAATCAGAGACATGATTATGACCTACATATGTCGGGAAACCTGTTTGATATTGGCCGTGACCCCGGCCAACACTGACTTGGCAACCTCTGACGCGCTCCAGCTAGCTAAGCAAGCAGATCCGGACGGTAAACTTTTTTAGGAATAATGAAATGCTTTTTTTCCCATTGTAAATACTCATATAAATGATATATTTTTCTTTGGAATTTACGCCTCCATGGCGGTTTGGGTTCTCCAAAATGGGGGAGCTTTCAGATCTTTTTCCTGATATTCCTGATGAAGTGATTATAGCTTTTCATATGTTAATAAATCTGTAGGTTAAAATGTGCTCAACCCTATTTCTTCACCCAAAACAATTTCGACGAAATCCCAGCACTAATTTCTAGAAACTCAGCCCGTTTTGGATTTGAGAGCGGAACACTGTAGAATTTAATTGAATAACTTTTGATATTACGTAATTTTTTAACTAGAATTATACGAACGCATAATGCCATTTTTGAGTTACATTTTTTTTGTGTAAATTTAATCTTGACCCGATACTGGGGACATGAGCCAGTAAGTAAATAATGAGCTTATTTTAAAGTTTAAACAACAGATGAGCTCTCATTTGTGAAGAATATCTGCATTAAACGTTTTATTTATCGTTTTTTTTTTTCAATTATCAATGTTTTGCACGTACACTTTATACTGTCTAGGTTTACGAACTATCGGAGTGTTGACCAAACTAGATCTTATGTTTTGCATGTACAATGTATACTGTCTAGGTTTACGAACTATCGGAGTGTTGACCAAACTAGATCTTATGTTTTGCATGTACAGTGTATACTGTCTAGGTTTACGAACTATCGGAGTGTTGACCAAACTAGATCTTATGTTTTGCATGTACAATGTATACTGTCTAGGTTTACGAACTATCGGAGTGTTGACCAAACTAGATCTTATGTTTTGCATGTACAATGTATACTGTCTAGACTATCGGAGTGTTGACCAAACTAGATCTTATGTTTTGCATATACAATGTATACTGTCTAGGTTTACGAACTATCGGAGTGTTGACCAAACTAGATCTTATGGATGAGGGAACTGACGCTAAGGAGGTTCTAGAGAACAAGCTTCTTCCTCTCAGGTATTTCTTTGACTTTTTTAAGACACTGGAGATCTTTTGTCAACTTTTCGTAAAATATAGACATTTACAGTAGATCTAGTTGAATGTATTTTGGGTTTGAACTAAAAATCGACAATTTAGTTCCTAAATAAGCAGTCAGTAAAAAGATTTAATGTCATGTTTCCAAACTGATTTTTTATTTTTCAAAGTATTGTATTCTAAATGTTTCTAATTTTTATTCAGCAAATAATGTTTTATCTGCACCTGTTGCCTCATTCATGTTTTAATAAGAAGATGCAGTAATTTATATTTATTTTAATTTTAAATTCTTAAAAGTGTTTTTTATTGGAATTTCAAATTTTTATATTTTTATCCTTGTTCTATCCTAGTTCTCTATCCTAGTTTGTCTTCTAGTTCTCTATCCTAGTTCTCTATCCTTGTTCTTTATCCTAGTTCTCTATCCTAGTTCTCTATCCTAGTTCTCTATCCTAGTTCTCTATCCTAGTTCTCTCTTCTAGTTCTCTATACCTGGTTCTCTATCCTAGTTCTCTATCCTAGTTCTCTCTTCTAGTTCTCTATACCTAGGTCTCTATCCTAGTTCTCTATACCTAGTTCTTCTCTATCCTAGGTCTCTATCCTAGTTCTCTATCCTAGTTCTCTATCCTAGTTCTCTATCCTAGTTCTCTATCCTAGTTCTCTATCCTAGTTCTCTATCCTAGTTCTCTATCCTGGTTCTCTATCCTAGTTCTCTATCCTAGTTCTCTATCCTATTTTTATCTTAATTTTTTATTGATGATTTCTGTTGTTTAGGAGAGGATATGTAGGAGTTGTGAACCGTTCTCAGAAAGATATTGAAGGAAAGAAGGATATTAGGCTTGCAGTTGCTGCAGAGCGGAAGTTCTTCCTCTCTCATCCTGCTTACCGACACATGGCGGATAGGTAGTTTCCGTTTATCCACCAAACATTCTCTTTTTCCTGTTTGAGTACTTACGTTTGAAAGTCGTCTTCGGATAAAGCTTACTTCAAGTTCTCGTCTTCGAAATTTTGATTGTGTATAATATAATCTATTGAATTCAAATTTTCTTGTACTAATTTCACTTTTCTTCTGTGGCCATTTTTTTGAGAAAAAAAAATATCAAAATTTTTTAACAAGTTTGTGCAGCTAAATTATAATTTACTTTTAACGACTAAAATAAACTAAAAATAGTTACATTATTTTAAATGTTTCCTTAATTCATAATACATTAAGTAATTTAAATTATACTAAATAAATCATAATAAATCAATTTTTCAGGTGCGGAACCCCATACCTTCAGAAGCAACTGAACCAACAGCTTACAAACCACATCCGTGAATCCCTTCCCGCTCTTCGTGACAAACTTCAACGTCAGCTCCTAAGTCTAGAGAAGGAGGTCGAACAGTATAAATATTTCAGGCCAGATGACCCAAGCATCAAGACAAAAGCTATGCTGCAGTAAGTTTACCCAGAACATAGATTAGATAGGAATTAGACAAAAGAAAAAACATAAAAAAAATTCTTTGTACTTAGTTGATTTGACCAGGATTGCTTCAAACATCAAATAAAAGAGCAGAAATTTGATATATGAATTATTCCATAAAATTTTTTTTAAAAATGCGAAATATACATGATACTACTTTCATCTGTTGTTATTAACAGATTTTAAACTTCAAAAACATTAAACTACGAAATCGTAGTTTAACATGTGTAGCGCTCTGCCAAGAAATTGTATTTATGTGCGCTGTGCCTAGCCTAGAACTGTTTTCTAGATTTGAATAATAATTACATACATAATGAATGATTGATAGAATGTTTTTGTTAGAATGATTCAGCAGCTGCAGCAAGATTTCGAGCGCGCTATTGAAGGAAGTGGAAGCGCGGCAGTGAATACACTAGAGCTCAGCGGCGGAGCTAAGATTAATCGTCTTTTCCATGAGAGGTATAATTAAATCTTCTAAAGATTTTGGGTTCAATTTAAAAAAATTACTTTTATATATACAGTGGCAGTTTAAGGGAGGGGGGTTACACAAGCTAACACCCCCATCTGAAAAATTGGGTTGACGCCCTCCCCCCCTGCGCGGCCCTCGGTTAGTCCGAACGGCCTCTCAACAATATTAGAATTAAAAGGCTTTTACTATCAATAAAATTCCAGTTTGAATTTTTCTGAATTTGCTCTCCATACTCCTGATACTCTTTTCTCTGCCTTTTTTATCTTGGAATATAAGATTAGACAATGCTAACAAATTAAATGAACAAACTTCAGGAAAGCAAATCCGGAATGGAAAAAAATGTAATTTGTCATTCAAACGCGACGAAATCAAACAAAGAGTATTGCGCTTACTGTTTATTGTTGAACCTACAGCTCTACAAAAAAGTAAAAAAGGGAAAATTTGATAAATTTGAAAATATGGGGAAAATGTAAAAAAAATCAACTACAGTAAATATTAATTGTTGACAAAGAGATGCCCAATTGGTTGTAACATTAGTTGTTAAGTTCAAAGGCTCATTTAGGATCCGTTTTTAATACAGAAACACAGTTCTCAGTTCTGGATTACTAAAATTGTATTTACATTAATGAGCCACAATATCCATGGAAAGAATAATTATCTTGTTGACACCATTTATTGGCGTGTTTTTCTAATTAAAGACTTTATAATATATAGAATAGTATTTTTCTAACTTGGTAAATAACTATCAGGAATTCGAGTTGGTCTTTTCACGCCCGACATGGCCTTCGAGGCTATAGTGAAGAAACAGATCTCAAGGCTGAAGGAGCCAAGTCTGAAATGTATTGATCTTGTAATACAAGAATTGACTAATGTTGTTAGATACACAACAGAGAAGGTAAAGAGGAGTGCGTCCTCTCTCCTACTCAGCACTAATTTATTTTTCTTAGAAATTTTTTGTTCTAGTTTGTTGTAATTTTCTCTTTTTGTTCTTAATTATCCTTTGTTCAGTAATTTTTGGCTTTTTTTGTAGGTTTTTTTCCCTTTTATAGCTCTGTAATGTATTTAGTGTGTCCCCCTTCAATACCTAAATTATTAGAATATGCGACAGCATAAAATCAAATCTCTAGGAAAAATGGAACCAGTATAATTTAAAACATTACTCAAGGTATTGAACAGGATGAATACTCAGGAGTATCTAAGTTTGGTTAAGCATGAAACTGTTTGGTCAAATACACTCAGTACATAATTTTTAGTTTAAAGCTCTCCCCTTCTCATCATGTTTTATCATTTCTAAACCGACAATTGGTTTAACATAAGGCATGGTAAGAATAAACGTTTTTTTTACCTTTTTATTTTTGTTTTATCCCTCCAGGTGTGAGGATTGGATTATTCACCCCTGATCGAGCCTTTGATATGGTTTCCAAAGCACAGATAGCAAAACTAAAGGAGCCGAGTTTAAAGTTAGTTGATCTAGTCACATCTGAAATGCTAACCATGTGCAAGGACGCCGCAGTAAAGGTAAACCAGTCCTTGCCCTCTCTTCACCACCCTTGGGATTACGTTTTGGTGTCCATACTATCTATCTATCTATCTATCTAGGCGGAAGCGACCAGAAATGTTTGTTCCCAGGATTACCCCCCTATTTCTAGAGGTCCCTCTAACTCTCAACATATTATAAACTTTTTTTTTTACTTCCTCTAGGAGTTCGCCTTGGTCTATTCACACCTGACCTGGCGTTTGACGTTGTTGCACGCAAACGAATAGAAAGGATGAAAGCCCCGTCATTGCTGTTGGTGGATTTAGTCGTCCAGGAAATGATGAAGATAGTGGCTAGCGTAGGTCCAAAGGTACAAGCATACATTAACAACGGGTTGGATATCGTCATGCCCATGGAAAGGATATATTTCGGAGTTTAATGGCGAAAAGGTGAAAGTACTACTCACGAATGTATGGTGCACGCCATTAATAGTAAAATAAGAATTCAAGTAAAATACTAATTTATTTTATAATAATCAACGGATATCCCGGAGATTTTTTATATTTTATTTGAAAATATCAATTTACAGTTATGGTGGAAGTTCTTCTTATGATACACACTCATTGAGTTTATTTTCTTTGTCAAATGCAACTGGTTTCAGCCGGACGTAAATAAACTCAATAGGGATAATTCTATTGAGAATTCAGCTAATTAGAAAGTAAAATAGACTGCAAGGGAGAAATTCAAGAGATAATTATTAAACTACATCTATCCTTGTCAGGACGAAAGGTTTATTTTTCGGTGCAGTGATTCAAAAAAAGATCAATATTCATGACCTATTTTTCTTCAACCCCCTACCATTTGACAGATAATTTAAAATCTTTAAAAAGGGGCCATATTTGGGGTCCAAACAAACATTTCTGGTCCTTCCAGCACGGTTCTTTTTTTATTTGCACGATTTTTTAGTTTTTAACCTAAGTTTTTATTTGTTAAGTACTATAAAGAATAAAGATTGATATCTAGTTCTCAAATCTAAACTGAATCTACCCTTGGTTATTTTTGTACAATCAATTCTGCAAAATTTAAGAAAGAATCAGTTTAGGTTTGAGTAAGTACTGTCCTGTTTGCTCCGATGCATGCCGGAGTTCACAATGTGAGAGCAGAGAACACGAGTTGAAGCATATATTCACGCTCGTGATGAAATTTTATCATAAAAGTCTCAAACACTCGGAAAAGTAAATTCCTGGTAAAGTTCTCAGTTATCCCTGGTAAATTCCTCGCTAACATTAAATAAATAGTTATTAAATATTTCGAGCCAATTCTGCGTAATCAATTTTAAATTCCTTTTATCCAAACAAACATTAGTTTTATTTAAAAATTTTTTTTTACTGAACTCTTTACTCAGTAATATTATTAAATTTAACATATTAAATTTTTTCAAATCTGTATCAGTTTTGGTTTGGCCTAAATTACTTTGATTAAAACTAGAAAAAATTTGTTTTATATGTCCTCTGCTCTAGCAAGGTTAACAATGTAATTTTACAATTATACAAACGAATGAATGGTAAAAAATTTATGCTTTTATTAAGATTGATGACTAATTTTTCATCAGCCTGTGTTTTTCATGAAGCACACAATGAAAAAATGATAATGAATCTAATTGCGTCATATAATATTTATCTTATTTAAAACGGAACTTAAGAAGGTTTCCATATTTGATTTTTGAGTGACTACTGATCATTAGATTCCTTTTGTGTTCCCTGATATTTTTTCATTGTATGAACTTTAAGTGACCCTCCAGGAAAAGATGGCAAAACCCCGATTAAAAACGGTATTCTTGAAACCTTTATCTTCTCTACAGTCATAACCAGAAATACCGGAATTAATTGACAGTTAATCAGACAACTTTACATTTATATATCTCTGGTAATTTTAAACGTACAATAGGGATAGGTAACATTTTGGAATTGGTAGGCTATTTCGATATTTTCGTATCATATTAGTAAGATTAGATTGTAAAGTCGTCTGATTAATTATAAATTAATTCCGGGTCTTTCTGAGTATAACTGTAATTTTAAAGTGAATAATTATGATAAATAATCTATGTTTTCCTGCAGTGAAAATGTTAAAATGAAAATAATCAGTTATCTAAATAATAAACATAGATATTTACATCATCATTGATCATACACATCTTCTAATCGTACCATTGTAAATCGGGAATTGCTATATTTGCATGGAAGGTCACTTGAAATTACGCTTACAGTCCCTTTAAGAAGACTCAACTAAGGCGTTATTTTTGATAAGAAATCGATGGAATCTCTGAATTTGGAATTTCAAGTAAAATTTTGATAAGTTTTAAGTTGAATTTAACATATCAATATTAACCTGTTAAAATTTAGATTTTTTAAATTGTTGACAATAAAATTGAAAGAGCAGATTTAATTATCTTCAAAACTTTTCTTTTTTTGTTGTTGAATATTGATCTAATGATCTCCACGTGTTAATGTTGTTCAGATGCAGCGGTATCCTAGACTCAGAGAGGAGACAGAGAGAATTATAACAACTTACATTAGGAAACCAACCCAGATTATTTATACTAGAACTCGAGTCACCACCAAATATCGCGTCAGTCATCTTTGCCTCTTACCTAAAAAAATCGTACATTTTTACACAGGCGAAGTAAAGCCATACCAAATAAATATGGTTATTCAAATCGTCTTTATGTAGGCATAAATAAAGTCGTCTTTAGAAAAAAATGTATGTTGGTGTGGAGCGCAAAATAAATTTATGGTTTTTTTCGCTGAATTGGGGAAAATAAATAATTTTTAGGGGAAAATAAATAATTTTAGGGAAAATAAATAATTTTTATTGGAAACACTATTATTTTTAGGGGAAAATAAATAATTTTTAGGGGAAAATAAATAATTTTAGGGGAAAATAAATGAATTTTTAGGTAAAAAGTATCCCAAAAATGGAAAAAATTGCCTTTTGACGGTCAATTTTCATTTTTTCTTTCAAATTATCAACAACAAAAAAAAACCTTTATGTGCCCCTAACATTTTAGATATTGGTCGTTCTGTCACATTTTATAACATCTTGAACTTTATTTACATTTTATAACATCTTGAACTTTATTTACATTTTATAACATCTTGAACTTTNCTTTGGATCATCAATACATTTCCTTTGGATCAATAATACATATCAATATCAACCAAAAATTGCTAAAAGAAACTTTTTACTATGAGAAGCCTAATCTAACGTGTTGTGAAAAATGAAATTATAAAAATATATAAGCGGAAGGAAAGAAGAAAAGCAGTTAAACGATTCTGCTTTGTTAAAAAATCGTAAAACGGAAAGAAAAATGTTCATGGCTTATATTTTTGATTTTTAGTGCGGATCCATCCAAATCAACTGGATCCTAAGCACACTGCCTTGGAGAGAATTGATGATAGATTAAATGAATTGTGAACGTAATTTCAAGTGATCCTCCTTGCAAAATAGGCAATCTTCTATTACAACGGTACCCTTAAAACCTTTGTGTTCGTAGAGTACAGAGATTTGTGTGTGTAAACTTAATGAAACTCGCTTTGTAGCTGCAAATTCAAGTGTTAGCTGTGTTGAGTTCAGACTGTACGTAACTCAACACAGCGGCGCAGACTTGAATTTGTCCTATTTGAAATAGGGGTCACTTAAAATTACCCGTACAATTCCTTCAATAGAATGAATAATTGGCTAGATTGATATGTATGTTTCTTTTGATTGATTGATTGATTTCCTGGTATTCATATATAATTCTAGTTCAAGTAATTAACTAATTATAAATTTATTAAAAGGTTAGTTCTATGTTGGCTAATAGATAGATTTTTTTTAGATAAATCTAAATGGTTTAATTGGCTGATTTGATTGATTGGTTAGATTAATTGATTCATTTTATTCATTATTGTTTTTTTAGTTTGAATGATTGATATCCCGGTATTTTCGTCTAGTTTGAGATATACTTGTGAAATGAAATTATTGTTTGATTTTTAATTTTAAATGTTGATTGATTGATTGATTGTATAATTGTTTCCTTGACTGACGGAAGATTAATTACTTGATCTAGAAAAGGGTGGCGCTATCTACTCCAGTTCCTCCGGCTCCAGCCAGTCCAGTAACAAAAGCAAAAAACTTAAAAAGGTTACTTTTATTTTGTAGTTTTTTTAGTTTAGAGGGGGGGGGGAGGGTGCGACGTACAAACCAGGAAAATCTTGAGAAAATCACCTCACTCCCAAATTTTGTTGACTTAATTCTTATTTAAAGATTTCACTTTTTATTAATATTAAAATCATTTTGCTTATTTTTCTCCCCATTTAAAAAGTCGGCAATGTAAACGTAGGTGGACTTTGATTACTTTTTCTGGTATGTTTTAGTTGGTTTTATGAAGGGGGGGGGGCTTAGTATGTTCAAAATCAATACTAATTCTGCAAACAAAATAATATTAAGATAGAAAACTAATTTGTTGAATTTAGAGTAAAGAGCATAAACCCTCCAGTAAACTACAGAAAACTTTGTCAGCATCAGATTCAGAGGATGAAGGTAACGCTGTAGTGCATAATTTTTCATCATGAAAACAGAGTAATGATAAAAGTCTTGTTTTTAAAAAATAATTTTTTAAATTTTTCTTAAGGCCTGATTTAATGAATAGTTAGAAGCAATTGATCTTGTCATGATTAGTTGAACTACTTCTCTATTAGCTGAACTACTTCTCTATTACTTGAACTACTTTTCTATTAGTTGAACTCAAAGATAATATATATATATATAGATATGCAGGCAGGTATAAATTTTGAGGTCTTGAGAAAAGGTGCAAACAGCACCATCTCTGTCGTACGCATGGCATTTTATCCTCTGGATTGTTGCTAATTTATCAATTTGTTTATGCGTGATAACACTAAATGCGTACTTTAGTATCAACCATGTATACTGCATATTGTACTTAATGAAACAAATTAATCAATGCAAATAAAACTGAGGTAGGAATTCGACTAGACAAAGTTTAAATGTGCAAGTTGTACTGAATCGCATACGTAAATTAACGCAATTTTTAAATAAAAATTATGACTAAAAAGAACATCGAATCTAGGACAAAGTCCTAATAGCGGACAGGATCCGGTCGAACAATAGATCTCATTCAACACTACTATGGTCGGTTGCTCCTGGCTCTTCATGGCTCACAACTGGCTCATCACCCCCTTAACCCCAAAAACTCAAAAAAACTCCATTACTTTCCATGAATGTTGCATTATAGGCTTCAACTGTCAAGTTTTCCTTTTATATTTGATAATTTTGTACCTAAATATTCATTATTTTTATTTTAACAGAAATAAATCCCTTACAATTTTATCGCTCCGCATTCTTGGTTTTGCTAACTTGTTAAGTGGTTTTGGATGAATCTACATTTTACAAGAAAATATTTCCTATTTTTTAATTCATGTTCTCCATTTAGAAGATGCTAAAAAGAAGAAAGCTAGAATACCTCGAAAGACGAAGAAGCCGGAGAAAAAGGACGAAATTTCGGACGATCAGGCAGATTGGAGGTAGGGCCAACACTTTTAATTAAAAGTTGATCTTTTTATTTGTATCAGAATTAAAACAAAAATAAAATCATTTAACTATATCTAATAATAATTATATACCTTTATTCAAAAAGGAAAAGGTTTAATCATCGACGCCTTTTTAGAAAAAAGTTTTTCTTTCGTGATGAAAATCAAGGAGAAATTTCTTTGAATCATGATAACATATGCTATTATGACCTTAATATAAAAAAAAACTTGGCTTCTGATTTAAAAATGGGAAACATAAGAATTCCTCAAGATTTTAAAATTGTATTTTTTATGTCCTACTTATGAGACTTAATAAAGAAAAAAAGGCCTGAACAAACCTATCATTCGGACAATTTTTTTTTCTAGTTTGAAAAAAATGTTTGACATTTGTTGGGTCAGAATTTTTAGTAATGGAATGAACCATTTATTAATTCTTTTTATTTAATTTTTAGTAATGGAATGAACCATTTATTAATTCTTTTTATTTAATTTTTAGGGTTGAGTTTGATGATGGGCTAGACGATGAATTCATTGGTAATAACTTTATAATTCACATAAAAAACTTTCAGGTTTTTATTTTATATATTTTTCCATTTTCCAACAAAAAGAGAGTGATATTTAAGCTAGTGAGACTTCTACTTTGCTTTGGCCGCGCTTTTTCTCTTTTTATTTAATTTCTGACAAAGTCTTTTAATGGTTATCAATGGAAAGAAAAAGACAGTGATGAAGACTAAAATTGTCCTGTTATCTAGGGGCTGATTAGAAGAACAGGGATAAAACTAATTGTCCTGTTATCTAGGGGCTGATTAGAAGGACAGGGATAAAACTAATTGTCCTGTTATCTAGGGGCTGATTAGAAGGACAGGGAAAAAGACTATTTCTTCTGTTATCTACGGGGATGATAAGGACAACAGGGATAAAACTAATTGTCCTGTTATCTAGGGGCTGATTAGAAGGACAGGGATAAAACTAATTGTCCTGTTATCTAGGGGCTGATTAGAAGAACAGGGATAAAACTAATTGTCCTGTTATCTAGGGGCTGATTAGAAGGACAGGGATAATAACTAATTGTCCTGTTATCCAATGGATTAGAAGGACAGGGAAAAAGACTATTTCTTCTGTTATCTACGGGGATGATAAGGACAAGGATAAAGCCTAATTGTCCTGTTAACTAGGGGATGAGAAGGACAGGGATATGCTGGAGGACATGACGGAGAGGGAAAGGGAGGAGGAGCTCTACAAGAGAGCGGAGAAGAGGGAGGAACTTAAGAAGAGGTAATATTTGTCGATTACAAATGATTTTGATAAGGATTTAAAGTTTTTTGTTGCATACTTTGTCTCTTTGTCTCTTTGTCATCTGGATTCAAGCTAAAGAGAGTGATCCCAAAAAGAGAGTGACCCAACATTACAGGCAAGGGGAAATCTATCCCACAGTGACTAAAGATGAGCTCATGAAATTGCTTGAACATAAACAATAATACTTATTTCTTTGTCCTAATCCAAACATTTAGTTTATCTCATAAACTTATTATTGTACTTAGCTGTATATAAGGGGGGAAATCGTAAAATAACATTTTTTTAACTCAAATTGTCTTTTAAAAATTCGGTGAACTTTGAACCTTAAAAGAACTGTTAGCTTAATTTTAATTGACCCTCTGGCTTCTTTACAAAGATGGCAATGTCCGATTTACAACGGTATACCCTTGAAAGCTTGCGCATTTCCTGTTCATAAGAAACAATAGAGAAATTCACAGAAATAAAAACGTGTTAAGGCAGAAAAACAGCGGTTTGATCAGATTAAGTTTTCAATGTGTACTTTTAAGAAACACCAGGCTATTTAAAAAAATGATTTTTGGAAAAATCTTTAAGGTTTGAGATCTCCCAGAAGTTAAAAAAGCAGAATAAAAACAAGAACCTGGAGAGAAGGGAATCAGGGTCAGATGAAGGGGAACTGAGGGAGGATAGAGAGGACAGGGAGGACAGGGATGACGCTGCATATCTAGCTGAGTCAGGGAGCAGGAAGAAAGGTAAAAACGTTAATTGATTTACTGATTGATTTATTTTAGATTTTAACGACGAGGAATACCAAATTTTTGGAAAGTTTGATTTTGAATAACGAGTCGGTTTTTTTATTTATCTTTTTCAGTTTTACTTTTTACTATCATATTGATACTTTAATTAGCAGCTATATTTTTTGGATAATCTTTTGCGGGTGCACTTTTTGGAGTTTACTTACTTATGTTGTAGCGCTGAAAAGGAATGAGGATGCTCATATAACGGAAACGTACACTGAGGACGTACATTGAGGACGCCCGTTGCACATTGAGGACGTGCATTGAGGCCGAACATTTAGGATAGACATTGAGGACGCACATATAGGACACACTTCGAAGATGGACATTAAAGACGCATATTGAGGACAATATTGAAAACACTCAACGAGGACACCCACTGAGGACACGCATTGAGGAGTGAGGACACACATGAAAGGGAGTGACCGGCAATGTATGGTAGTTGAACTGAGAATGTAGTGTTGTAGAGAATTTTTTTAGGATTCATTTGAGACATATAAACCATTTTAATGATGTACAATTACGGAGTTGGAGCACAAAGTCGGCGTTCAAAATCATCCATTTTGGTGAATTTTCTTGAGAATGGATTTTTTTAAATTATTAAATAAGAATTACAAAACAACAAAAATTCTGAAGTAAACCAATGAGTTCTTTACGAACAGGTTGAGAAAAAAAAAACTTATCGAAAATCTTATTCAGTGATTTGTTTCTTTAATGCCTCATTGTTTACAAAACGTTTTCTGTAGATTTTGGAATCTTTAATGAAAAGACGACATTTGAAGAATTTGAAGAAATCTACGAACACATTCGTAAAGAATAAAAAATTCATTTTAATGATGATAAAGAAATGATTGATTCTAACATTGCTTAATTGACAAATTTCTATTGAGAAATATATTTCGAAACATCTAAAAAGTTTACTGTAGAATTTTGTTTACATTTTTTTTGTCATCGTTATTTAATAATTTTTAAAAATTCGGTTCTCAAAACGTGACCACCCAAAAGATGTTTTTGAACTTCAACTTTGTGCTCAAACTCAATAATTATACACCATTAAAACGTATTATATGTCTCAAATAAATCCTAATAAAACCCACATTTTCAGTTCAACTACCATACATTGCCTGTCACTCCCTTTTAGGCAACACATCGAAGACGGATATAAAAGATGCAAATTATACATTTAGGACTAGGGATGGTAACGTTTTCATTTTTCAGAAAAACGATCGTTTCGTTAAGAAAACGACGACGAAAAATCGAAAACAAAAAGATCGTTTTTAAAAACGATCGTTTTTTAAAGATGGTCGTTTTTAAAACGATCGTTTTTTTATAAAATTCGTCGTTTCGTTATCGATCGTTAACGACGGACCATCGTTAACGATCGTTAACGACAACCCTTTCGTTAACGAAGAGAGGAAACCGACCTGTACTTTTCATTGAGTAGTTTTAAGAAAGTATCAAGGAGTTTTAACTCCTCCACAACTGTTAAACTTCATGTAAGACGACATTCAATAAAGTTGCATGTACGACCGTTTTGATAAAGTTCGTCGTTCCGTTAACGATCGTTAACGACAGCCCTTCGCTAACGATCGTTACGACGACCTTTCGTTAACGATCGTTAACGACGACCCTTCGTTAACGATCGTTAACATAATTGTCAATATAAATTTTTTTCAAAAACGATAGTTTTTCAATAACGATCGTTTTTTAAAAACAATCGTTTAAAAAACGGTCGGAAATCGTTTTAATAGAAACGATCGTTTTCAAAAATGATCGCTATTAATTTTTTAAAAGTTCAAAACGAGTGGATCGTTTTTAAAAACGATCGTTTTTTCCAAGAAAAACGAAACGATCGTTTTTGAAAACGAAACAAAAAACGATCGTTACAAAAACGATTAACAACCCTATTTAGGACACACTATAAGGAGGCACATTGAAGATGCACTATTATGGACCCATAAAACTTTAACATGCTTGAAAACATTCCAGCTTCTCATGAAAAAAAAACATGTTGTTCTCTTCAGGGTATGAGGAGAAATATGGGAGTAAGTTCAACGCCCTAAGTGAACTTAAGGCGAAGAGGGAGGAGAAGGAGAGAAAGGAGAAGATGAGAGAAGAGAAACAGAAGAAGAAATCAAGGAAGAAAGAATCAGAATCAGAGTCCGGCTCAGATTATGAGAAATTAGGTTTGATTTCAAAACTTTTAAAATTTTTTTTTTCCATGCCGTTTGGAGACGATAGAAGTCTGTGATTTAATTCCGATGTGCCTAAATTTTTAAAGTTTTTTTCATCAAAATTCTTTACGTCGTTATCTCAATAGTCAACACATATATAAGGTTATTTATGTTTAAACTTAACAAATAACTATATGTGCCCTTGAAATTAAAATTAGATTTAAGGCGGAAGACCCGTAAAAATATTTTTGTATAAAAAACAACAAAGATGTCGTATTTGCTCTTTCTTAAAAACTGTGACTATAATAAAGATAGGAAAAACTTGCGGTAATATTATTTATATTTAAACTTATCATTATAATCGTGGATGGCACAAGTGTAACTTAAGTCTCTTCATTTTTTGTATATCTAGGACGTAGAAAGAAGAAGAAGGTTTTGAAAGCATCTGAAATATACTCAAGCTCTAGCTCCGACGACGGAGACAATGTCCGCAGAAAAACTAGTTCAGAACACAGGTTGGAAAATTAAAGGGACTCTTATCGACATTTTAAGTACTAGGCTTTTAGCGAGCCCATCTTCTATTCAAATTGTGAACATGTTCTTTTTGTTTACATTTTAAAATAAAGAAGAAAAATTTTGTGGATTTAAAAAAAAAATTTCGCGGATTTTCAAGAATTTAAATTTTTTTACAAAATTAAAAACCTTTAAAAAACACATTTTTAAGAAAAATTTATCATTCATAAACCTTTCCTGTGGTCACGTGATGTCACACAAAAAATTTGGGCCCGATCGGTTCAGCCGTTTTAACGTTTATTGGATACAAACAAACAGACAGACACCCAGACAGACAAGCCAAATTTATATAAGTAGGCTTGTAGGGCGCTTCGCGCCCATCTTCTATTTAAATTGTGAACATGTTCTTTTTGTTTACATATTAAAACAAAGAAGAAAAAAATGTTGCGGATTTAAAAACAAAATTCGCGGATTTTCAAGAATTAAATTTTTTTTACAAAATTAAAAACCTTTAAAACACATTATCTTTTATTTTTATCATTCATAAACCTTCCCTATGGTCACGTGATGTCCCACAAAAAATTTGGGCCTGATCGGTTCAACCGTTTTGACGTTTATTGGATACAAACAAACAGACAGACACCCAAACAGACAAAAAAACATTTAGGCTCAAACAGACAAAAAAAAATATTTAGGCTCAAAGAGACAAAAAAACATTTAGACTCAAACAGACAAAAATAACATTTAGGCTCAAACAGACAAAAATAACATTTAGACTCAAACAGACAATAAAACATTTAGGCTCAAAGAGACAAAAAAACATTTCGGCTCAAACAGACAAAAAAACATTTGGGCTCAAACAGACAAAAAATCATTTAGGCTCAAATAGACGAAAAAAAATTTAGGCTCAAACAAACAAATAAACATTTAGGCTCAAACAGACAATAAAACATTAAGGCTCAAACAGACAAAAAAAACATTTAGGCTCATAGAGACAAAAAACATTTAGGCTCAAACAGACAAAACACATTAAGGCTCAAACAGACAAAAAAACATTTAGGCTCATAGAGACAAAAAACATTTAGGCTCAAACAGACAAAAACATTTAGGCTCAAACAGATAGAACGAATTTTATTTAGTGTAATATTATCAATTTTTACTTATTATTGTCTAGGTTAATTGTTAATTATAATAATCCATTTAATAAAGCTCTTCATTTATATGTTCGCTATAGTTAGCCTTACAAATTGTCTGACATTTTTTGAAGGAACCCAGGGGGTGACGTAAGCTAAAAAGTTGTTTATTTTTGAAATTTTTGAGGAAACCCAGGGGCGACATAAGCTAAAATGTTGTACATTTTTGAAATTCCCCGGGCAGCGTCGGACGCTTCAGCTAAAATCCTTATTTAATACCAGTTGCGGGTAAACGGGGAGAGTAACTATGATTGTGAATAATTATATAAACATTAATATATTATAGTAGTAGCAGTGTGAGCTCTATAAGTGAGTCTGGTGGAGAATCTGATACAGAAAGACAGAATTCTAAGAAAACTGTCAAGAAAGCAATGCATCTTGATACTGTAGAAGAGCTTGAGAAAATTAGGTAATTCATGAATTATTTTTCATTTTTTATTTTTTTTTCACTAATTTAAAAACAAAAGATGTTTGTTTTGTTCTTTTACATTTTCGGATTTTTTTTTATTTCTATTGTTATAATATTCGTTATTTTGACAGATTAGGAAATTATTTACATCTTTCTTGCTCAGAATTCTTAGTTTTCCCAAAAAAAAATTATCTATTAAAGCTGCAAACTTTTTAAAGGATTGAAGAATGCACTTTTTCGTATCTAAATTTTTTTGTTTCTGAAGATTTTTCAAGCATTTTTATTTCATAACGAACTCAGATTTGACTAGGTGTGAAGCTTCTGCAGGGGTAAAAATTTAGCAAATAGTGTAAGAAAAGAAATTGTTTATAAAATTGTGTTCTTTTTTCTAAACATTTGATTTTTTGTTCAATATGTCAAATTTTGACCGGGACAGAAAATATTTGCAAAAAAATAAACGTATTATTACCATCGTTTATGGATAGTTTTATTGCGAAGTTTGATAAAAGCAAACTTTAACTCACGGATGTTTTAAAATAAATATTGAAGGTTTTATTTGAAGTTTTTCTTTTAAAAAGAAAGCGATTAACAATACTGATCAGTGATCACTGTTCAGGTTATCCCGGTTTAAACTTGATAAGTTTTGTCATCTGCCCTGCTTCAAGAAAACTGTAGTGGGATGCTTTGTAAGGATAGGGATAGGGAAAAATGCTGAAACTAATAAGGTTAGAATTTTTTATTTTTTTTATTTAAATCTTTAAAATTATTCAAATGTTTTTTTCTTAATTCATCTTTTCAATTTTATCATTCAATTAGCATTATTTTAACAAGATAAAAAATAACCCCCCCTCCTCCCCCCAAGTTGCGCCTTTAATTTTATTATTTATATTAAACATTTTTTCAAGGATGTCTACCGATGCTGTGAAATAATGGATATTTGTGAAACTGGAAAAGTTTATAATGTGATGAAAACTAAGACTAATATAGGTAAACCATTGTCACGTTTTCCTTCTTTTTGTTACCTCCATCTTGTTTCCTTCATCTTGTTTCCTCCATTTTGTTTCCTCCATCTTGTTTCCTCCATCTTGTTTTCTCCACCTTGTTTCCTCCATCTTGTTTTCTCCATCCTGATCTTCCATTTATATTTACTTTTTTATTATGCTCTTTTTCAGGATTAAAATTGAGGTTTGGAAAAGATACAAGAATATTCCGTTTACAGTTTGTTTCCAACCAGGCATTTAAAGGTTGGTAAAAAATAGTACTTTTACTTATTATTTTCAGTCTAGATTACACATTTAGGGAAAATCTGCCAATTTATGTAAGAAAGACTACCATTTTGGTAAGAAAGACTACTATTTTAAGGAAAGATTACAAATTTAGGGGAAAACTTCCAATTGAGGAAAAGACTACCAATTGAGAGAAATACTACCAATTTCGGGAAAACTACTAAATTATAAGAAAACTAGGCTTGTAGGGCGCTTCGCGCCCATCTTCTATTTAAATTGTGAACATGTTCTTTTTGTTTAAATTTTAAAACAAAGAAGAAAAAAATTTTGCGGATTTTCAAAAATTTAATTTTTTTACAAAATTAAAAACCTTTAAAACACATTTTTTTAAATTTTTATCATTCATAAACCTTCTCTGTGGTCACGTGATGTCCCACAAAAAATTTGGACCCGACAGGTTCAGCCGTTTTGACGTTTATTGGATACAAACAAACAGACAGACAGACAAGCCAAATTTATATATAGAAGAAGGTTGGATGCCTTTACTAGTACTACTTGGATTTGTCTTAACTAAAAAAACTGAAATATATTTAGAAAGTGAATTTACAAATTGGAAGAAAGCCTGCCATGAGGGGAATATATTGCTTCCAACAGTTGCACACAGAGAACAGAAAGAAAAAGGAAAACTTTGGTTACTATCAATAAACATGTGTCTATCAATGTCTTGAGGATTACTGAGGTATTAGGATAGCATTGCAACTTGCTTTTTTATTCTAATCCACATAAATTAGTTAATTAATTAATTAATTTGTTACCGCAAATTACCCCTCACATTCTGATTTGGTTAAATAGAAACCTTAACAAATTTCTGAGAAAAATTTTCTAATTTGAAAAAGATAATTTTTTATTTGAATTTAATTTCAAAATCTACCTACTCAGTTTTTTTGAAATTTTTAATTCTCTAGAATTACATAAATTAAGAGCATTACCACACTGAAAATGACGCCTCAACTGAAAATTTATGTCTCAAAGATTCTTCTCTCTCTATGATAGTTGAGACGCAATATTTAAAAGGCTTTACTTCGTTTTTAGAGCGGTGTGGGGGGGGGGATCTGGAAAAAAAATAAAATTAAATTCAACTTTTAGTTTCCAGTCGTTTTTCCCTTTATCTTGTTATAACCGAGTTGTCCCTGGTAGATATCAAGTACGCCCTGGAGTATAGATTCAGTAGCTACGACGTCGAGAAGATCCTCGCTTCAAAGGGAAAATTCAATCAGAGTCCGAAAAATTTTGCCATGTACAAGGTAATAAACAAATAATCTTCGACATGAAAGGGTGAACAAAAATTGGGGGGGGGGGAAGGTTCAAATTCGACAAAATCCTCCCCCTTCCCTTTCATGCTTTTTACTCACAAAACTTATTTTCTCCCTCTGAATTCATTTATTTTCCCAAAAAAAAACCTTAAAGCCTTAATTTAGCCTTAGCCTTAAAACCATTTCTTATATACTAGAGCCAAAAAATGTTTTAAGTAAATTGGGGTTGGATGAGTTTTTCAAGAAAATTTGTATCCCCGCATTTTAACTCGAATCAATTTTACTTTATTTAAATGGACTATCGATGTAATTAAAAGTGTCCCTTCATATAATGATTTGCATGCCCAAGTATATATCCTGCGTAGAGCAGAAATGTGAGAGATATTATTGGTTTTTAATCTAAATAAATGTCATTTTCAATTACGGTTTTTCTTTAATTGTGGATTTCATCAGAAACCAGTCGAAATTAGCTTTTATTTTATTGCAAGAAAATCAATTAATGGAGGGGGTTCAATTGAAAATACGTTAATCACATTAACAAATCTACATTGTTTAAATTCCTTATTACTTTTCTTGGTTTAGGCAAAACTTATGAAAGAACGAGATATGGCTGAGACGGCTGGCGACACAGAGAAAGTTGGTGAGTTGGGCATTTTTACACGTCAGCTGATGATGTCAGCCATTTTAGATTTCAATTTTATTCAAAACAAGGATAAAACTTTCTTTTTTAAAAAAAACATATTTATCATCTTGACTCAAATAAAAAAATTAAAACAACGCAAGTAAACAGATCCCGATTAAAAGTTTTTTTTTACTTTTGATCCTATTTTTATATTTTGAAATTATTTCAGCAAAGTTGACACAGGACCTGGACACTTTGGAGGAGAAGGCTGAGGACCTGGACAGGAAGAGAACCAGCACCATCTCAACCATCTCACTCATCAACGATAGGAACAGGAAGAACAACGTCGCCAGAGCTTACACGGTAAATATTTTGCGTCACAAACATTTGTCCCACATTACATTACCATTATCATTGGACAATTCTTAGCGACTAAATTTGAAACGACACGAAATCTGATTTGATTTGATTTGATTTGATTTGATTTGATTCGATTCGATTCGATTCGATTCGATTCGTTTCGATTCGATTCGATTCGATTCGATTTGATTTGATTTGATTTGATTTGATTTGATTTGATTTGTTGAACCTTTACCGTTTCAACTCAACATTGGAACTATTATGAAGCTAAATTTAGATTAAATCGCTTTCTCAGAAACTTAACGGCACTGTTAGCTTAATTCCTATCAACAAATAAAGTAAAAAAAATTCCCAATTTTTGTGAATGAAAAAAGGCATGTTTTAACATTATTTTTAAAAACAATGCACGGTTTAGTTTTTAATTACTGAAACATGGAAGAAACTGCAAGCTAATGCAAGAATGATAATCCATATTTCACAATAAACTTGCATCACTTCTTGGAAACCACTTTCAGTTTTCTACAACTTATTTTTTAAACCAAGTAAATTTTAATTTGGTTTAGTCATTAGTTCATTTAGCTGACTATCATATAGTAAAATTCAAAAAGGAGCAAAATAACCTGAAAGTCGATAGAATAATTGAAGGCCGTCTTCGTAATAATTTTAATTATATTTAAATCTAATTGTATTTAAGTTTATTTCTTGAAAGAACAAAAATATACCTAGATTTCTGGCATTTCGAAAATGTGGTCTGCCTATTCAGAGAAATGGGTTTTAAGTATTTTTTCTCTCTGATAAAATGAAAGATTAAAGGTGAAATAAATGATTTAGGGAATCAAAAAGTAACCATATTTGCATTCCCTAAATTCTCGAAAATCATTCTTCCCATTTCAGAGGGGGGGGGGGGCTAATGCTTCAAAATAATACCCCTGTAAAACTTTGAATCCGCTGTTGAAATTTGACCTGGCATTAGGTAGTTCAAGAATTTAGCTCTTTAATCAATTCTGTGCCAGGGTATTCAAGCAGATGAAGAGAGGAGGAGAAGGGAGATATTAGGTAGTTGAAGAATTTAGCTCTTTAATCAATTCTGTGCCAGGGTATTCAAGCAGAGGAGGAGGAGGGAGATATTAGGTAGTTGAAGAATTTAGCTCAACTTTATTGAATTCTGTGCCAGGGTATTCAAGCAGAGGAGGAGGAGGGAGATATTAGGTAGTTGAAGAATTTAGCTCAACTTTATTGAATTCTGTGCCAGGGTATTCAAGCAGAGGAGGAGGGAGGGAGATATTAGGTAGTTGAAGAATTTAGCTCCAATTTATTGAATTCTGTGCCAGGGTATTCAAGCAGAGGAGGAGGGAGATATAAGGTAGTTGAAGAATGTAGCTCAAATTTATTGATATATGTGCCAGGGTATTCAAGCAGATGAGGAGAGAAGGAGGAGGGAGGGAGATATCGACGATCCATTCACCAGGAGAAAAACTAAACCTAAACTAGGCTTTGCTGGAAAGGTTTGTTTTGTTTATTAATTAATTTTTTTATATTTTGATAATTATTGTTAAATATACTTCTATCTGTTAGTATCTACCAACTGACACTTCATTTTTGCCTACTTTGTTCAGCTTATATATCAATACAGTGTGGGTTAATGAAATGGTGATGTTATACAATTTCAGAACCTGATAAATGACAGTTCATGGGTTTAAATAAATAGTGGACAGCTAATTGTATAGTGGTTAATATTATATAGTGGTTAATCCTAATAAAATGAATGATTTATCCGTGAGGTCTTCAGAGTTTTATGTTACCATATTTCTTAGAATCCTGGTCAAAAGAATCATTAACAGTTGAAGCATATTTAAAATGGAATATATGGAAAATGGTCAAATTATCTTTAAAATGATATACAACATTAAAATCTTTAAGTTGGCCCCATATCTACCTTCTTTCCAGTAGCGCGCATTATATTTACCCCAAGAAATAGAAACCTTGTGTCCAATTACCTAACATGGACATTCTACTTGTAAAATAATGGTAGGATGACCCAGAAGGTAACTCCAGGCTGCTAGCGCGCCGATTAGAGTGCCCTTACAATGTGTTAACCCAGGAAATGGACTAATCGCATGATCGCGCTGAATTGCCTGTAAATCGACATACACATGTAAAAGCCGTGGTAAGATGACCCACAATTGTGTATTGATATATATGCTGACGACGGTTTACTACTTCATAATAACATGTTACATTCTTACTTGTTTATCTACCTAGAATAAAGAACCCGAGATGACTAGTGAGTTACTGAAGAAATTAGAACTAGAAAAAGCCAAAAGTGAAAAGAAAGAGAAAGAGAAAACTCCTCTCTCTATTCTACCCCCTCCAGGTATAAATATATATCTCCNTTAGGTGATTCAAAAAATAAGTGAAATAAATAAATGTATATAGGAGGCTGAATTGATTTTTGGTCGACCAGCATTCTGATTAATTGAGAAGAAAACTTTTTAAGGTCAATGACTTTTTTGACCTCTTAAACACTAGAAAAATGAGGGAATTGTGTCATTGATCAGGGACAACATGGTCCTTGATAATAATGCTTAATTTCACCCTCATATTAAAATGTTACACTTAGACGGCCAAATTTGTCGTTGGCGCAAGAGTCTAATTCCATCATAGTGGGGGGAAGGGCTTTTGTATGTAACCTCTTAATTCTTAATTCTTAACGTCTATTTTAAATCAATTTTGTGGTGTAGGGGGAGGGGGGGGGGGGGGTCTTCTTAACTGGGGTCGCGTTAAGATGAATCTCCATACTTGGGACCATAGAACTATAGAAAACTGGGGTCGCGTTAAGATGAATCTCCATACTTGGGACCATAGAACTATAGAAAACTGGGGTCGCGTTAAGATGAATCCCCATACTTGGGACCATAGAACCATAGAAAATATGCAAAACATTTGTGCAGGCTTTGTTTGTTTCTCCGAACAAACTTTAAACAAGTTTTTTGATAGCATTATAGTCTCAATGTTTGGTCTATAATGTAGTCTTGTCAGATTACATTTTATTCTGTATCCGGGGCGTATATTTTTCAAAATCCCCACCCCTGGAAATAAATTTTGAAAAATTAGACATCTAAAGGCTTTTTTCATTCTTTTTCATATATTTTTTATTCAAAAAAATCATTTATTTACCCAATTCAGCAAATAAAAAATGTTTGCGCTCAGCTCTGCGCAAGCGCGCAAGCATATATAACTTAACAGGGGGGGGGGGAAATGTTATCAAAAAAAGGGGGGGAATAAAATTATTTTTCGAGAAAATATTCTTAATTCAGTAACCTCAAATAGACACAAGTACAAAACTGCATTTTGTTTTATATCTAGTTGATATCTCCAAGCTGGCCGGAAGTAAGGATATGTCGGGTATTCGGCCTAAACTGGATATATTTGATGCACACAACTTCGAGCTAGATATTAACGTTGATGGTATTCAGGTAAACAGAATATATTCTAAAGGGGTTGTTCAGTTAATTCTAATTGTAACTTTTCTACATAAAGAGTGACTAATCATTACATCTTAATTTCGGAAATGAATTGATTGAATTCTTTAAGAATTAGAGAAAAGGGTGTCATCGATTTTAAAAATTGGTTTAAAAGTTATCATCGTAAAGTTTTTATAGCACTTCATAATACTGGTTCATGTACAGAATATTAGTGTCTCTTTACTGTCAGTATACAGGGTTACCCATAATGGATGAGACTGTAAAGTTTCAGGGAATCGTGGATAGTATAAATACCATACAGTCGTCTCTGAAGTCTCATCCTTTGTGGATAACCCTGTATATATCATGTATATATTCTAAAGATCACATTGGTCAAGAGTCAAGACGCTAGGTTTCTCTCATTTATTGTTTTTTAAATCCTAAATCATAACATTAATTAACATTTAACTAATTAGAATTTTCAAGTTTTTATCTAATGTTTACTTACATTAGTATTGTGGCTTAAGCTACGCTTAATATATTATGTCATATCTATATATAATTATAAAGTAGTAATCTCTGTTTGTCTGTTTGTCTGTTTGTCCGATTATATCATGTCATATCTATATATAATTATAAAGTAGTAATCTCTGTTTGTCTGTTTGTTTGGTTGTCCTTGTATAGCTCAGATTTACCGATTTTATCTCCAATTGTCCTTGTATAGCTCAGATTTACCGATTTTATCTCAAATTTTCATTGAAGAACACAGTAGAAAAAAGCCAGCCAATGTTTTTAGCTTGGTTTAAAAGCTCTTTAAGTTGGTTGAGTAGGTTTTATGTTTCATGTGTATTTTTGTTATCATTCAATTATCATTACATAAACTTAAATGACATTTCACAATTGCAAGTTGATTTACTGTTTACTCATATAATTCTTGTGGTTTAGGCCACCCCGGTGACTCCCTCCATTAATCTTAAACCTGTTACAGCAATAGAAACCCCTGCAGGTAAATTTACGTAAACCTTCATTTCAACCTCGACATGCCCGATTTACAATTTTTTCGACCTTCTTGATTAGATTAACAGAATTGAAATGGAATTGTGAACTTTTCTGCTGACAATTTGTCGCTTTATAGAATTATTTAATTTTAGGTCCACTGAAAAGATCTTTGAAGCTTGATGAATGGAAAAAGAAACGAGGAATTATTTAGATATTCAAAAATGTACGTTAGCGCCATCCTAGCATCCTTCTTTGCTCCTTATGTTTGCTCCATTCTTACATCCTAATTTGCTTCTTTATGTTTGCTCCACATCCCTTTATTCTACTTTGCTCCCAGATATTCACTCAACAGATGTCACTTTGCTCCCTGATCACTCCATAGATCCTGCTTTGCTCCATAATATTCACCTACTTTGCTCCCTGATTTTCACTTCACAGATCCTACTTTGCTTCCTGATTTTTACTCCATAGATTCTACTTTGCTCCCTGATATATGCTTCATAGATCCTACTTGCTCCCTGATTTTCACTTCATAGTCCATACCTTAGCAATTATTGACCCAGGAGCAAGTTATGATCTTCCTTTCCCATTTAAGGATTACCAATTTGTATGATCATTAATTTTTGATTGGTTATAAATTACCTGATCACAAATCGAGAATTATTTTTAATTTAACTTACTCATTCTGATGACGGAGAAACAGAATGTTATTTCAAAGCAACAATTTTCACTCTCAAGTTCTTAATTTACAAATCAATTATTAACCATCTCAGTACATATCAAATTTGTTAGAGTAGTCGGTTTTTATCAATTAAAAAAGATATTTCCTTTTGTGACAATTTTTTGTAATTAACTTAGATTCATTCTTTGCTACATTGATACATACTGTAGTTCAATTCAACATTAGCCTCATTTTGAGGGACTGTAAGCGTAGTTCATAGTGACCCTAAATTGTCAACGATACCCTTGCTTTCTCTAAGTAGCAAATGAAGAAAATATGTCGTTTATTATTTTAAAAGTGACGAGTTCTGATCAGAAAATGTGAAACTAACAGTAAACACCTACTTTATTTACAGTATAAGGTTTGGAGCTCCTTCCATTGTTCTGTTGGAAGTTATTTTTGCAGAGAAACCACACCTGAAAACAATAGATTTTCATTTAGAAAATTTGGATATCTTATTCATCCGTTTTCAGATTGTAAAGGGTAACGTGATCAAAAATAGAGATTCACTTAAAAAAAGTATTCAATCCCTTTAAACATAGTTATAACCGAAACATTTCTATGTATTATTTTTAATCCATTTTAAATAATATTTTTCCTATTCGTTAAATAAATTTGTGTTCGCATCAGTATAGTTCTTTATTTTCAATTCATTATTTCAATTTTATTTTCATTTATTAACAGAAGAATGTTTAAAATGAGAGAATTTCTTAGGTATGGTTTTCGAGCAAAATGAAAAAATCGATGCGCGAAATATTTTTATTTTTCATTTTTTGCACTTATAAAACAAACTGTTGTCCTGAATTCTCTGCAAACTAAGATGCGCAAACAGAAAAAGGAAATTGCGCTTACAGATTTTGACGCAAATTCCGCTTTACATAATGCGCAATTTCCGAGTTAAGTTGTATGTCAAATGTTAAATTCATGCAACTATAGCTTTTATTCGCATTATTAAACGAAAGCAGAGATTTGCTCTATATAATGGAATTTTTTGCTCAATATTCATGTTTTGTTTCCGCGCAATTTCTGTGCTCGAAATATTTATTTCTTTTGCGGAATTGTGCATTTTTTCGCGCGAAGATTACAAAATTGGCAAATGGGAAGGAATATAACTTAGCTCGCCAAAAAATGAATTAATGGTTTGAAGTAATGTAGATCAAATCTATATTTGACATACAGGGTTACCCTCAAAGCATTAGGCTTTATTCTCAAACCGAAACTCTTTGAGCATAACAATTTAAAGCTTGGTGCTTCTTCAATTAAGTATGTAAATGGTATAAGAAATGATTAATAAAAAATAGTCTAGTTTTGGCCTCATGAAACCATGAATTTAAGAAAGGCGATTAAATAAATTCCGTACAGTCGTCTCTGAAGTCTTATCATTTGTGGGTAACCCTGTCCCAGTGTATAAAGCTGTAATTTATGTTTGTTTGAATTTACAGGGTGTCCCAAAAAACATGGGAATTCAGTGACAAATTCGATGTCGTCTTTTTTAAGGATTAGTATTGTAATACCTGATGTAAAGACATATGTAATTTCGTCTGCTAGAGTATATTTTACGTAAACTTTAATAAAATGCTGTATTATTATTCTGTGTCTTAACACGAAAACTATGAACACTGAACAGCCCTGAAAAGTATTTCAATGAGATTGAAATGTTTGTGTACAAAATTAATTGTACTGCGGTGTACAATTATTCCAGTTTATTCATATCCATTAACAAGACAATAAATGCATTAATGGCCCCAATTCATAAGCAAGGCCGATATACCCTTGAGGAAAGAAGTTTCATTGTGAGAAGTTTTGAGGAATTTAAAACTCTAAATTATCATGCCCAGCGGGTTGTAAACGCTTTTCAAAGAGTATTTCCTGGCTCAAAAGTACCAAGTAAAAGTACAGTGTATAGAATATGTGAAAAGTTCAAGCAGAAGTTTACAGTTCAGAACCTCCACCAGGAATATAGTGGAAGAATAAGGTCTGTTCTTACAGAAGCAACCAAGGCCAGAGCAGAAGCTCTGTTTGAACAAGACAGAAACACATCATATTTAATTCAAGCAAGCTTTGCTCGAAAAAAATAATTTGAACGTGTCTAAATCTTCTTGGAGTAGGTTGATGCAGGAGATGAATCAACAATGTTTTAGGTAAACATTATGTAATTACTTTTTAGTAAAAAGTCCAACTGAAAATAATCAATTTTTAGCAAGAAAAATAAGGATATCACATTCATTCTTGATCAGACAAAGGTTTTAAGAGTACTGTTGTGAATCGGAAACGCCACTGTAAAAATTTAATTTCACTGGAAATTTTGCCTTAAGCCCTTTTAAACTTTGTCTGCTTAACGATGAATGAGATATCCTCATTAGAAAGCTCCAATATTGATTAGTTTTAATTATAGTTTTTCTATTAAGTGAGTTTCGAATTTCTACTTCAGAGACAATAAGTAAATAGTTTCTTATCAAAATAAGAAAAAAAGGGGGGGGTGCAAGTTGACCCTTAGTCAGTCAGTTGGTAAACTAGGTGTAACTGAAATCTAGAACATGGCATGTTTTAAACTTCATCATTAAAAATGACTATTTGATTCCGCTGCCATTCTCATTATATACATATGGACATTCTTTAACTTGTATATTTTTTAGATTGATTACAGCACAGCAGCTTCGTCTATCACAGGGGGACAGGGAGAAAAGGTTCGAGATGTGCGAGTAGCATATTTTCTGCAATAATTATTTATTTCTTTAAAATTTCTGCAGTATTAACAGTGTACTTTATTTTTACTCGAAATCTTCTAATTTTATTCAGTACATTCGTATTGAACCAGAACATAAACAAACAACAATTTTTAAACTCTAGCAGACGAAAAATTCACCAGGATGACAGCTTTCATATAAGTAGGTATCGCTATACTAAATCATAAATCTTATACAAAGCCGACTTCGAATTCGTCACTGAATTCTCATGTTTTTTGGGTACCCTGTACAACCATAGCTCATAAATCGTGAATTCCGAGGCCGATTTGGCTAAAATTTTGATTGGGGAACTCGGCAGAAAAACAGGAATATTTTTTTAATCAACTGGTTAAATATTTAAAACCAAGTTTAGGTTGGCGTTTATAGGAGAATCTAACAATCATTTCAATACAGTTAAACCCTAAATGAGCCGGCCATATATCGAAAGAATTTATCAAATGTCGTCTTGACAATTTTTCAATGGGTTTTATACTATTTTACGTAAATCTCAGTATTTGCGAAAATAAATAAATAGCCATGAAAATGCAGGAATAGTTTTAAAGAGTCCATATAGTAATTGAATTAAAAAACTAAATATCTGCAACATTCCATTATCAAAATGCGAAGAATACGACATATGATGAATTCTTTCGATGTATGGCTTATTTAGGGTTTAACTGTAGAAGGGCCGTGTTTTATTCTGTGTTTAGTCAATATACGGAATGCTTTTTTTGTTTAAATATCTAGGATTCCCTTTAACTTTAAACTACAGGGTGTCCCACGATACATGACAGTTGTTGAATGGTTTTGAATGTCTTCTTCCATATATTATATTGGATATTAAAGACTTTTTGCATGTCATTTCGTTAAAACATCTTTTTCTCAAATATACTTTTACTTTGAAAACAATTTTACAATAATATAATTGGCATACAATAAACTTCATAATTCTCTTTCATATTAAACAACTTAACTTATTATGGAAGAAGACATTTTAAACTATTCACCAACTGTCGTGTTTCGTGGGACACCCTGTAGTTTTTTTTTAACTTTGCCCAATCGTTAAAAATGCCATAAAATGACTTTATATAAGTCGGAAGACTTATTTCAACCTTGAAATCGTCATAATTAAAGAGTTTTAGATCGTCTTTACAGTCGCATCCTTTGTGGAGGACCTTGTATATGTATGTTGAATGTATGTTAGGTTGAATTCTGAAGGTTTCTTCAGATGTCTGTAGACTGTAGATTGTAGATTGTAGATTGTAGATTGTAGATTGTAGATTGCAGATTGTAGATTGTAGATTGTAGATTGTAGATTGTAAATTGTAGATTGTAGATTGTAGATTGTAGATTGTAGATTGTAGATTGTAGATCGTAGATCGTAAATTGTAGATTGTAGATTGTAGATTGTAGATTATAGATTATAGATTATAGATTGTAGATTGTAGATTGTAGATTGTAGATTGTAGATTGTAGATTGTAGATTGTAGATTGTAGATTGTAGATTGTAGATCGTAGATCGTAGATCGTAGATCGTAGATCGTAGATCGTAGATTGTAGATTATAGATTATAGATTATAGATTATAGATTATAGATTATAGATTATAGATTATAGATTATAGATTATAGATTATAGAATATAGATTATAGATTATAGATTGGAGATTGGAGATTGGAGATTGGAGATTGGAGATCGTAGATTGGAGATTGGAGATTGGAGATTGGAGAGATTGTATGATTGTATGATTGGAGATTGGAGATTGGAGATTGGAGATTGGAGATGGTTGAGATGGTTGAGATGGTTGAGATGGTTGAGATTGTAGATTGTAGATTGTAGATTGTAGAGATTGTAGATTGTAGAGATTGTAGATTGTAGAGATTGTAGATCGTAGATCGTAGATCGTAGATTGTAGATTGTAGATTGTAGATTGTAGAGATTGTATGATTGTATGATTGTATGATTGAAGATTGTAGATTGAAGATGGTAGATGGAAGATGGTAGATGGTAGATGGTAGATGGTAGATGGTAGATGGTAGATGGTAGATTGGTAGATTGGTAGATGGTAGATGGTAGATGGTAGATGGTAGATGGTCTAGCTCTTGACGTCACGCAGTTTTCATCTCTTCCCTGTAACCCGGTAAGTCCCCTATTTATAAAATGCTCCAAGTCATTCTTGTAAACCCACCTACCTTACTCACCTTACCTACCTGTTAGTAAATACGGGTTCACAGAATACAGAGAAATTTCTAGAATTTTTATTTTTTCTTTAACTAAGTAAATTTTGATATTTTAGAAAATTTAGAGAAAAAAATATTAAATTTTTTTTTCTACGTTCTCAGTATTCCGAAATTTACTCGGGTATATAATACCGGCACCCTGCCTCTCCATCACAGTTTCTCTTGAACATTTTCCAAACCAACATTGTCAACATGCCTGCCATCAAGCTTACTTACTTCGACCTCAGGGCTAGAGCCGAGCCCGCTAGACTTATTCTGGCACAGGTGATACTTTTTTCTTCTTTGAGATGAGATTTTTCAATTTTATATCATAATATTAAAATAATGATTTTCTTTCCAAAAAATGTTTCACATTAAATGTATTTTTACTTTACATTATCAATGCAAATTAGTAATAATTATATTTAAACAATAAATATGCATTTTTACGATAATAAAAATAAATTTTCCCGAGAGATTCAAAATTTTAATCTTAAATATTATTTTTTTTCGAAATCAAAATGTCTGTAAAAACTTATTGTAAATACTTGTAATGTTATCACCTCGCCCCCCCCCCCCCTTTTTCTATACTATTTGATTCATGAGTGCGGCTTAATCTAGTATATTTTCACCTGAGTCATATATGAAACACCCAAGCTAGATTCAACCTGTTAGCGTTTAGCATAAGCCAACATTCCAATTTCTGACATTGATTTATTTCCTCTGATTTCTCTTTATAATTCTTGTTTTTCATTTCGAAGGAATTTACCCCTTCATACGTTATCCCTTTCTCTCTCTCTCCTTTACTCTCTATTTTCTATAATTATCCTTATAATCATTTCTCCCTCTCCTTTACTCTTTATTTTCTATACTTATTTCTTATCATCTTTTTCTCTCTATGATCATGATCTATACCAGTTACCTTCTCTTTCTTTATTTTCCTTCTAATCCATTATATATACAATTTACCTTCTCTTTCTATATTTTCGTTCTAATCTATTATATCAGTTACCTTCTCATTCTTTATTTTTCTTCTAATCCATTATCTATATACCAGTTACCTTCTCTCTCTTTATTCCTTCTAATTTATTATCTATACCAGTTACCTTCTCTTTCTTTATTTTCCTTCTATTCCATTATATGTACAATTTACCTTCTCTTTCTATATTTTCGTTCTAATCCATTATCTATACCATTTAACTTCTCTTTCTTTATTTTCCTTCTAATCTATTATCTATACCAGTTACCTTCTCTTACTTTATTTTCCCTCTAATCCATTATCTTTACCATTTACCTTCTCTTTCTTTATTCCTTCTAATCCATTATCTATACCAGTTACCTTCTCTTTCTTTATTTTCCTTCTAATCCATTATCTATATACCACTTACCTTCTCTTTCTTTATTTTCCTTCTAATCCATTATCTATATACCAGTTACCTTCTCTTTCTTTATTTTCCTTCTAATCCATTATCTATACCAGTTACCTTCTCTTTCTTTATTCCTTCTAATCCATTATCTATACAAGTTACTTTCTCTTTCTTTATTTTCCTTTTAATCCATTATCTATATACCAGTTACCTTCTCTTTCTTTATTTTTATTCTAATCTATTATCTATACCAATTACCTTCTCTTTCTTTATTTTTCATTCTGATTTACACTACTTTATATTCTAAACTTATATATTATTTTATGTTTGCTTTCTCTTACATATACTATGCTATCTGACACGATGTAATAATTTCTCTCAAACTTTTATTTTTATTTTCCTTTCCTTTCGTTTTCCTTTCGGTTTTGCATCTTTCTTCTGTTTACCATTTACCTTCTCTGTCTCACCCATTTCTGTATCCTAAACCACTTTATATCTCTTTAGTCTTTCCTCTCATATCGTAGTATCTGCAAATACAACCTAGGTCAACCACCCGCCTACAATTTGCAAATATATAAACAGGCATAGACTAGCGCTAGTCTCGACCAATGTGCATTTTGCAATTTACAATGTGCGACAGACACTTTCACATTCTGGAAAACCGCAACAGCAGTTGGCCTCTGGAACACAAATTCGCCCCCCCCCCCTCCCCCTTTTCCTTCATTCTATCATCCTTTTGAAAATGGTGTTAAAGGAACCTCCATCTAAAGGGGGCTATGTTTGATTAATTCGGATAATAATGTTGAAAATATCTAGTTTTTTTCTTACTTGAAAAGTGGTTAATTCTTACAACTTTCCTCTCATTATTTCTCCAAAGCAAGAAATCCGCAAGTTACTTTTATAGGAAACCCATTTTTTAGACAGAAGAACAGGGATCAAAGTTTTAAATTCATGGGAACCGTTGAAATTACATTTAATTTTTGTATTTTATTTTACAACTTTCTTTTTTTAAATTTGAATTTGAATAAAATAGTTAAGTAAGCTGTTTTATCGCTTTTTATCGAAACAATACCTTGGCTTAGTAACAGGCTTGTATTGTGAGGGGCCCCCGTCAAGGTATATATCTAAATATATTTATAAATATACCCTGCAAATATATATATATATATATGTATTTATGCTAATCTATCAAAGGACCCCTGGAGTTAGACACACCTTTTTCTTAGATGTATTTTACAAATAGGAAAATAGTACATTCCTTTGTGTGTGAATGCTTTTATACTCTTTTTAATAGATAAAAAGTTGTTCAGCAGCAATTTAAAATTACAATATTTAAATTCTAGTTTTAATTAATAATATAAGCGATACACCATACTTACATCTTAAAAAAAGAGAGGAGAGGGGGAGTTTAATTTTACATAAAACCAATATGTCCAGGGTTAACCGCAAAGAATGAGAATTCAGAGACGACTACACACGTCGGTTTCCTTATATTCGTGTTTCCCCGCAATTGTCAACTTGTTTTATTCTAATTGCCAAAACATTAAATCATCTATTGAATTGTCAAGACGACATTTGATAAATTCTTCCGTTGTATTCGTTATTAAGGGTTTCACTGTATATCAAATGCAGAATCGATCGTCCTACTTTAAAAGTTTTCTGTCTTCGTTACAGTCTCATTCTTGTGGGGAACCCTGTATTATGCTGGAAGTAGGGATAAAATCAAACCAAGAGGAAAAAATCCAGACATTTTTTAAAAATTTCTGTTCTTATTTTTTCTTCTATTTTTCCTCTGTCTGGTCTCTGGTCAGTGGTCAACCATAGCAACCGTTGTATATACACATTACACAATACACTATACAGTGCAACCTAGAATTAACAATAACAACCATAACAACCCTTTTTATATAAAAATACACTCGCAACCTATGCTATCAATACCAATTATAGCAACCCTTTTTTATATACACAATTCACTATTACAACGCAACCAGAGCTAACAATAACAACCATAGCTACCCTTTTAATATACAGTAAAACCCTTAATAACGAATACACCGAAAGAATTCATCAAATGTCGTATTCTTCACTTTCTGATAATGGAATATTGCAGATATTTAGTTTTTTAATTAAATTATTATATGGAACTCTTTAAAACTGTTCCCGCATATTCATGGCTATTTAATTTATTTTCGCAAATACTGAAATTTACGTAATATATAGTATAAAACTCATTGCAAAATTGTCAAGACGACATTTGATAAATTCTTACGATGTTTTCGTATTAAGGGTTTCACTGTTCACAATACACTATTTCAACGCAACCTAGAGCTAATAATAACAACCATAGCAACCCTTTATAAACAATACACTATACAGTGCAACCTAGAGCTAATAATAACAACCATAGCAACCATTTTATATAAACATACTCTTTATAACGCAACCTAGAGCTAATAATACAAATCATATATATACTCAATACACTATTACAACGCAACCTAGAGAACCCTTACAGAAAATTCTCAGTTTTAAAAATTACTAAAATTGATATCTAATTCATTCTTGATCAGTCATAGCTTTTGGGTGAACCGTTGTAAATCAGGTATAGGTCACTTGAACTTACGCTTACAGTCCCTTTAATGAGGATAATAATTAGGTTTGGATTTTATTTGACTGTTTACTTTTTAGGCCGGAGCCAAGTTTGAAGATATTCGTATCCCTGCACCCTGGGATGATATGGAGGGCTGGCAGAAGATGAAACCCACCACCCCCTACGGACAAATCCCACTTCTAGAGGTTGATGGTGAAGTTATCTCTGAATCTGTAGCTATTGCCCGCTACTGCGCCAGAGAGTTCGGTCTCGCCGGGAAGACGACATTTGAATCCGCTCAGGCTGATGAGATTGTCGATGCTGTGCAGGGGGCTATTGAGAAGCAATACGTTGCTTACCTATTTGAGAAGGTAGTAATTTATTTTTCTTCGGGTTTCATGTTTCACTTCAACCCCCCCCCCCCTAGCCTTTTAGCGATCGTGCTTCAAAGCTTTTTGAGTGATCATGCATGAAGGCCATACTAGATATTACTTTACGTTTCAAAATACACACATAAAATTTTTGAAAATATTAGAGATAAATAAGATTTTAATCTTGTTAATGATTAAGGATGAGGCTAGAAAGACGGACCTTCAGAAGGCATTTAACGAATCTGTTCTACCAACCCTTCTAGGAAACCTAGAGAAGCGTCTTTGCTCTCGTGGCGGAGACTTCTTTGTTGGCGGAGCTCTGACCTGGGCGGATATTGTCACCTACCAATTCTGCGTTGAACTGCCGGATAAGACCGTGGTGGAGAAGTACCCTAAGATCTCCGCCCTGGTGGCGAAGGTCGGAGAACTACCAAATATAAAGGCTTGGGTTGCTTCAAGACCAAAAACTACATTGTAATTAAGTAATTAATCAGTATTAAACACATCATTTGGTCATTTTATTTTGTTTTAATGAGTTTTAATCATTCAGTTCTGAAATAAAATTAATTTGTATTCAATACTTTCTTTAATCTACAGTATGCAAATCCAATCATATAAAGCTAGCTGCATATTTATATTCTATATAAAGTTGTAATCTCTGTTTGTCTGTTTGTATGTCCAATCCTTGAACGAATTGCCTCAATCTTTGATTAGGTAATTCGGGAGAACCACGTACGCTGTGTTCTCAAGCTATAATACTGAATACAGTGTGTGTGTAGAGTGTGTACTGCAGTGGTCAATAGGTTGTAAGCTCTCAATCTAATATCTACAAGAATTTTGCAAATTACTTCTCAAAAACTTAAGCCCAAAAACAAATTCTTTTTAGTCCCAAAATATATGGCTACAAAAAAAGTATATGTGAGTTTAGTGATGTAAAATGAAAGACCAAGACACTGCAATACTTTTATGTGGACCCAGTCCTGAAAATTTATCACTTCTATCACTGAATCTATGTTGCGGTGTAACCAAAGAGAATACGTACAGTGTACAACAAGTCACATTTTTAAACGGCAAATTAGAATTTATTTGTTGATTAAAATCCCAATATTTTTAGTTCCACACAGTCTAGGGTTACTATCAGGGAATAAGAATAAAGGGAAAAGGAATGGCGCTGGTCTGGCATGAGAAAGCCAGTCGCACTGCTTTGCAAACCAGTACGGTAAACTTTACACACACTCTTTTGGTACAGACACACAACATGATTACAGTCAAGGAAATTGCAGAACAATGTTGACAATTATAATTAAGCTTGAATAACGACTATATTTATTGTAAACTTTAATCAAGTTATATTCTTTGCATGAAAATTTGGCTCATAGTGTTGGCTTAAATATATAAATAATATACTACATGTATAGTAAACTTATTTTTAAGAAAACAATTAGCAATGAACAAATGTACTCTCCTAGACTGTACAAATACCGAGATTCGTATGCACTGTATAAACCTACAGTACACACCTTTGGTAAAGTAAACTTTACACACACTTTATGGTACACACACCCCCATTACGTTTCTGTTACTATCGTTAGAAGCAAGAAATATATATTTGTTGGTTAGAAGTGTGTTTAGATTTAATGTCTAGTTCAAATCTGATTTTTTAAATCAGTAATATAATCAAACACGCCTAATCTTTCTTCGGAATTTATTGACAAAGTGACACATAGGTATATATGCAGGGTATTCCTATAAACATGGGAATTTAAAGACAACTTCTATGTCGTCTTTGTTCTGCGCGGCATTTATACGTAAACACAAATTTTGTAGCATCCAAGTAAAATCTGTCAATAATTTAAACTACTAGTTTTGGGAATTCCAAAATGTGGTTGAACAGGACGATTTGTTGAGGTCATAGCTCTTGCTAAAGTCAACATTTTGAAAATTTTAGAACATGCAAATTATAAAACTAATAGGTTTCAAAGTCCGAGGAAGATGTAAAAAACAATGAATAAAATTTTGTCGTTTTACCTCATTCTTTAGCTAAAAGTTTCGCATGTTGTATGCATTGAGTTCCGTAAAAATGTATAGTTTTAAATAATCCAATGAAATTGAAACACATCAATTGTGCAGCGTAAACAGAACCAGTTATCTTAATTAATTGATTTTAAGCTATTGGTAAAACCATTTGATTTATAACAACATCAAATACACACGAGATTGCTTAAATGTGTCCAAATTTTCTAGAATTGTATAGTTCTCACAGTACATGTATCTAACAAATCACTGCAAATTCATCAGATTTATATATAGATTACTAAAAAGCGATATTTAAATATTCTATAATTTTTCTTTGAGTTTTTAAACAAAAGTAAACCAATTAAAACATAGTTTTTGGCCTTGAAGCAACCCAAGCCTTGATATTTGGTAGTTCTCCGACCTTCGCCACCAGGGCGGAGATCTTAGGGTACTTCTCCACCACGGTCTTGTCCGGCAGTTCAACGCAGAAGTTGTAGGTGACAATATCCGCCCAGGTCAGAGCTCCGCCTACAAAGAAGTCTCCGCCACGAGAGCAAAGACGCTTCTCTAGGTTTCCTAGAAGGGTTGGCAGAACTGATTCGTTAAATGCCTTCTGAAGGTCTGTCTTTCTAGTCTCATCCTTAATCATTTACAAGATTAAAATCTCTATAAAAAAGTGACATCATCCTAGAAAGAATTGGTTAAGCCAAAGCTTGATGAAAACAAAAAGTTTTTTTTTCAATTTCTTTATTGCAGAATTTTGTCTTTTGAATTTAACCGGAAATTAAATTTTGCATATTAATAGTTGACATTTTTTCTTTAATCGTTTAACGTTTTATTAAAAAAATTTTAATTTGATCTTTTTTGGTAATAGTAACATCTATTGGGCCTTCGAATGCACAATTACACCTGGGGTATTTTTTTTTTTTTTTTTTTTTGGGGGGGGGGGTGTTTGTTCATTTTGAATATCATTTGAAATGTGAAATTTAATATATTAATAGGCGTCTATTAATTATACAGGGTGTCCCACGAAACATGAAAGTTGGTAAATGGTTTAGAATGTCTTCTTCCATTATTTGTTTTGTTGTTTAATACCAAAGAAAATAATAAAAATATCATATAGGAGTCATATTATAGTAAAATTAACTTCAAAGTAAAATATATTTGACAATAGATTTTTTAGCGAAATAAACTGCAAACAGCCTTTAATATTTAAGACAGTGTATGGAATACGACTTTCAAAACTATTTACCACCTGTCATGCTTCGTGGGACACCCTGTAGCTGATTCTAGGCAGCTTATTTGAAGTTTAAGGTTTTCAAGGCTCTTTGCGCCCCTCTTTTTTAATTATTTTAGATTCAATTCTGATCAAACAGAAAAGTCAAATGCATTGTAAATGGAGTCACCTTTTCAAAAACAAAAGCATCGTACTGCTTCTCAATAGCCCCCTGCACAGCATCGACAATCTCATCAGCCTGAGCGGATTCAAATGTCGTCTTCCCGGCGAGACCGAACTCTCTGGCGCAGTAGCGAGTAATAGCTACAGATTCAGAGATAACTTCACCATCAACTTCTAGGATTGGGATTTGTCCGTAGGGGGTGGTGGGTTTCATTTTCTGCCAGTTCTCTATATCTAGCCAGTAAGCAGGAATTCTGCGATCAATATAGTCAACTCCGGCCTAGAAATGTAAATACAAAAATAATAAGGAGAATCAAGACCTAGCCGACTTTTAAGCGTCAGCTTTGCTCTTGATTTGACTTCGCCAACACTTTCTTTAGTCCTGAAAAAAAGCACTTTTTTCTACTTTCAGTTTTAGCTTTAATCCCGTTTTTTGTTCTTTTAAATCTTTCGATATCAGGGATATTCACAAAAAGAGAAATCTCTTGGGTCTTGACTATTGTCGTTGACATTTTGTGGACCCACCATTTAATGCCTTTTCCTAATCAATATTGAGGAAAAAATCGTGTTTTTTAGACTGACAATTTCCTTTATTGTTTCTGTAGCATTGATCCGCAATTAGTCGCTCTATGTTGAAAATTATAATATTTACAAAATAATGGATATCTGATGGATTTTTATCAGACCAATCATTTTACGAGACCGTTGTAAATTGGACATGCCATTTCAAAAATGGAGAAAAATTGTGTATTGTCACTTTAAGAATAGACTCTTAGAAAGAAGTATATATACTATACAGAGACCCAATAAATATAGGAATTAAGCGACGACTTCTATATCGTCTTTGTTCCGCGCGGCATTATTACGTGAACACAATATTTTAAAGTATCCAATTGAAATTATAAAAATCTAAATCTACCTATCACGGGAATTCCAAAATGTGGCCCTCCGATTTTGCAACTTCAAATGAACGGATATTTGGAGAAATCTGTCCAGATTTCAATCTTTAAGAGAAAGATTAAGAAGGCTGATCACATTTTGAAAAGCTCATCACAATCTTCTTTTGAGACATCCTTTGCCATTTAACAAGTATTGGAAATCAAAGACGATTTTAAAGTTGTCTCTTAAAGGGAGTGTTCGCGTAAAATGAAAGGGGGTATAGGCTTAACGGATAAAAAAAGCGCTTTTGATCGTTACTAATCTTACTTCTATCTGTTGCGTCTATAAGGAGAAAATTGTTATAGTATACCCCCTTTCAGTTTTTGCGAAAACTCCCATTAATACCCCTGTTTACTGAGACACCCTGTAATATAGAGGAGTGGCAGGTTAGGCCTGGGATTGAATGCAGCAGGCTTGGGATTGGTGTAACAAGGCAGGTGAAAATTAACACTTTCACAGGCTTGAATTTGTGTAATGTTTGGGGGGGGGGGGTGCATACTTAATAAAATCTACATAAAGAAGTATCGATATTTTTCAATATTTCAGGCTCACACAATTTAGTAAACATTTATTAAATCTTTAAAAAATCATGAATTTTACTAAAGTAATAAAAAAAATAATAACCTGTGCTAAAACAAGTCTAGCGGGCTCGGCCCTAGCCCTGAAATCGAAGTAGGTAAGCTTGATAATAGGCATGTTGACTCTGATGATGTTGATTCTGATGTTTGAATGAAGATTGAAGAGGAACAAATTAAATACTGTTGTATTGTAAGAACTCAGCGAACTGAAAAGAACTGTAAATATACCAAGGTTGTTTACTAAGGTTGCACTCTAATGTACGGAAAATGTCGTCTCCTAAGTAGTGAAATCCATAAATGAAATTACAGAGGCGAGTGTAGGGGTTAGTGACGTCATTAACAGATTTACTGTACAGGGTGTCCCAATAAACATGGGAATTCAGTGACGAATTTGATATCGTCTTTTTGAATAATTCTTTGATTTAGTATAGTGATACCTACTGAGAAAGCTGTAATCTGTAAGAGTATCGTCTGCTAAGTTCACTTTTTGTTTGTTTATGTTTTGACTGTATTGATTGTTGTTCTTAGTAAAACAAGAAAATTGCAGTATACAAACACAGTAAACTTGGCAGTCTTCACTGTGCATCTTGCGGAGACATTATAGACATATCTTTATAGCCATTTACCCGTTTCATAAATTAAACTCTCGCAGACATAATAATATTATGGTTTTTGAAATCAGGTATTACAATGCTAATTCATAACAAAGACGATATCCATTTCGTCACTGAATTCCCATGTTTATTGGGACACCCTGTATATAACTTAGGAGAATATATTTTCTGTACATTAGAGCATGCATCGAGAGGAAGCAACCTTTCACTATAGGCGGAGTGGAATTCATGTTGTGTTCAATGCCCCGGAAAGATCCAAAATAGAGAGAGGGGGATTGAATTTTGTAGATCCAGAAAAATAATTAAGTTAGTATTTATTTAGGGTTAGGAGGTTAGGTTAAGACACTTTCTGGGCCGAGCGCTGCGGCCACTGATTAGGTTAAGTTCTGACTCTTTCTGGGCCAGGGCTGCGGCTAGGACAGGCTAGGGTGCCGAGCGCTGCGGCCACATGTCTAAGACCCTACTAGCTGCAGTCTCTACGCAGGCATCCCACAGATACTATTTGTCTGGACCTGCAAAACTAAATCCCCCTCTCTCTGTTTTGGAATTTTCCGGGGCATTGAACACAACATGAATCCCACTCTGCCATCACTATACACTGAAAGTAGGGCTGGGCATTGTTTACAATCAGGATTTCAGTTTAACAACAACATCGTTAAGAAAAAAACTCAACGAATTAAATATTTTAAACCGTGAGATCATTATTGGCTATATATATATTCATCATTTATATTTGGCTAAAGCAAAATTACATTAAAGAATAAAAACAATCTAACATTAACATTATAAAAACATTATAAAAGTTTACAATTTAATACTAATACTCTTTTCTCTGGATATCATATTTTATGATTGACAGGGTTTGCCAAAAAACAGGTGCAATACAAGACTTTTAGCATGAGTATAGTTTAGCTATTCAGAGGTGGTTTTCAGAAATGTTGTTTCTTGGTCCCAGTCTAGTGTTTTTCGTTTTCTAAAAATGTGGTATGATGACAGTACTGCAAGGTTTGATAGATTTTCGCACATTGCTTTGAAACTAACACTGGGTTTGCAGAACTTATGCAGTTTCTTTATATTTGCTTTATTTGATGGTGAGATATATCCTCTTGCGCCGATTTCATTAGGGTGAACAGACACATCCCTAGTTGTTATATCTGTGATAAAATGTTCATACTTGTTCATCTTTTGAGCGTTGGCATTTTTGATATTTGTTTCCAATGGGACAGTAAGCTCAAAAATATCCATCTTTTCCTCCATTCTTTCGAAAATTACTAGATCTGGGTTTTCTGCTATAAAGAAAAGACTAAAGAGCTTCTCCAGAAAAAAGTATCATAAAAGCAAAACAAATGTGGACCCTTTTTCTTGCAATTTATATAATTCAAAAGTGATTTGAAAACAAGCAAATTTTTCTTTACCTTGAATGGGGCCAGAAATGTGCACCAGCACTGGAAGCTTTTGTATTATGGATATCGAGATCAACATGCTTGATATCTTCCCTTTTACACTAATCTATTATTTTTAACAAGCTAACTATCAATAAACACTAAACAGTGAAAATTATCTTGAAAAAAATGTTGGAATAAAAGGTTTCGAAAAGAACTAATGCGAACAAGTGTTCCAACTCTTTCAAATATATTTCTTTCATGATAGATATGAAGTAAACAAGAATTCTTTGAACCGAAAATTCAAAAAAAAATAAAAATGTATCTCCTTGATACAATATTGTTTTAAAAGAATATAGTTTATTCATTCATAGTTTAAAAAGATAATTTGTACAGAAAATACAAGATATAGAATTAACTCACAAAACGGTTTGATTGTTTAAATTATATAACACAAATTTCTTGCCAGATCATAGCATTTTAATATTGAAAGAATACTAATCATAAAAAAAATCAATAATACTTTATTTGCATTAATACATTATGTTTGTTATTTATCTATTCTTGAAATATCAATGATTGTTACATCGTTAGTATCGTCTGTAATAAATCCAGCCTGTTCGTTCTCTCTCAACTAAAACAGAAATTCGTTAGAAATTAGATTTTTTTCCCAGACAAAATTTCATCGAAGTGACCATATTATTTTAGTATTTAGGCATTAATTGAATAAAGTCATGTTTTTTCTTTAAAAAAAAAAGAATGTCATGTAACTATGTAGAAACGTGGTCATTTACAACCGGTGCCGTTGAAAGCGTTATTTTATCAATAATGTATAAGATGATGTCGTTTTCTAAAAAAAATCACTGGAAAAAAACGTCTTTTTGTGGAAAAGCTTTAAATGAAAACAATGGATTTTAAAGAGAAAAATTTGGATAAAGTGTTTTCTAGTTCACATATGTTTCTGCATGTTCTATGAAAGATACCTAGTTAGTCCAATCAGACGGATTTCAAAAATTGTTCGTCCTAATTGTTATGTGAATTTTTATAGTTTGTAAAAGTATTAAAGTTTAACATCCGTCATCTTCTCATTTTTACCTTTTGCATTTTTACGATATCATGAAAATCCATCCTTCTCTTCAGAAAAACAAGAACTAAAACAAATTTTAGAATTAATGGCGTTTGACAAATAAAGCATTTGTCAATTATTCAATGCTAAGTATACGACAACGTGCTGGCCCGTCATTTTAAAGTATGTCTGAAAGGCACCCAGACAGCTATGATAATCTATATAATAAAACAAGACATTCGTATATATATATTGCCTATAGCCGGCCAAACGGCTGGACCGATTGGGCTAAATTTTTTTTTGTGGAAACTTAAAGGTAGCCGGGGGGTGTTATAGGCGGAAAAAATTCTAAATTTTTTGTTTTAAATTTTTATTTTTATTTTTTTTTCCACGGGCAATCTCCTTCAGCTAGATATGTATAAATCTTGGATATCGTGTTTGCAATTGCATCAATAACTCACAAATACTTTTTGTAGCACTAAGCATTTATATGTTGGAACGACTGAAGCGCGATTTTTGTAGTTTAGTAATTGACATTTGCTGTGTTTTTCTTCTATGAGAGCGTTAATGAATAGTTTTCAAATTTTCAAATTTTCAAAAAAAAAATTCTTTGTCTGAAATGTACAGATAGTGACACCATAAAAGGTGTATTTCAATTTTCAAAATTAAATATTTTTCAGTTTATTAAAGTGGTAGCAAACAGATACTAGACTTAAAGATGAGTTGAGTTAAACACTGACTTAACACCACCCTTTAAATTCACTTACCAACTGGGCGAAATCTGGAGGTGTACCTGTTATAACCCCGGCTGTAACTAAGGCAAGAGCAGCACAGGTTCCTAGGATGAGACCAACTTCTCCTTCCTCTTCTTCACCAGTTACTTCCTCACCACTTAAACGACTGAACAAGAAACATAATTAAATATAAATAAAGCTCTCCGCCAATATATAAATAATTTTTGCTATAGCTGGCAAAATGGCTGGACTGGAATTGTTGTATTGTTTAGGGAACCAATATGGGTTGCTCGGGTGTGCCTTGAGCTAACATCACGATTTGATACTGAGCACGGGTAAATGGAGGGAGTAACTATCGGTGCAGGTTTCTGTTTCTGTTTCTGATTAAAGTCTGGGTTAAAACTATCAATCTAAACAAATGGTTTGAGCAGAGGAGGTGGCAAATTTTTCACAAAAAAAACTAAATACTAAAATATCCAATTTAAAACATTACCAAATTGACTCCAGAGTGCAGAGTTTTACAAAAGAAATGCTTTCAGCTAAAATAATTCACGTTAATATTGCAAGGTTCAAAAATATCAGATGACTTGAGAGTCCAGATATTGTACAATATGACGTAATAATGCAAAAAATATATCGACTCTTGCTCAATTTGTAAAAAAAATCTTTAAGTAATTCTATTTTCCTACCTTGAATTACCATGATGTTTTGTTGTATTCAAATCATCATAATCATTAGGTTCATAAATAGGAGCATCAGAATCATTTTCAGAATCTGCTGTGTATTCAAGATCGCTTTCATCCACAATCTTGTTCTCAAAATCTTCATGACGGAGATGTTCTTCAACGGATAGATCAGGTTCATCATAATTATACTCAATTGATGAACCGTCGACAGCTGTTGTAACCGAGTCAGCTGTTGTCACAAACTCAGCTGTTGTGGTGGAGTCAGCTGATGCACTGGTTGAGGATTGCACAACTGAAAAAAATCATAGAAAACGCTTTTTAAAAACATCGAAAATCATTGCTTCTCAGTAGTCTAAAATTGATTTAATCATAAATGAGACAAATGAAGTATTGATCTCCTTTTAGTGAAATTTAAGTGAATACAGTGGTGCCAAAAAACTGTGGAATAGGAAGGCAGCATTTGAGCAATCTTTTGTGCATTTGATGGTATTGCTTGTTCTTGCTAAAAATCAAGTACAGTTTTACGAAGTGCTTGAAAATCAGCTTATTAAGTGAAATGGCGTATGTACACTGCATAGTGCACAATTACTGTTAATAATATTTAATGGTCTATTAATAATCTAACAGTCGTCTTCACATTCCTTAGTTTTATTGATCTCACTCTGCATGAAGATTAGAGAAGATATACTTCTAGTCTAAAACATGATTGATTGGCTCACCCAGGAATCAACTATATGCGTTTGTTTATTAAATTTAAATTCAACTGCGTTATGGTCTTGAAGTTTTGGTCTGTACGTTTTGGTCAATACGTTTTGGTCTGTACGTTTTGGTCCGTACGTTTTGGTCTATACGTTTTGGTCTATAGGTTTTGGTCTTTACGTTTTGGTCTATACATTTTGGTCTATACGTTTTGCTCTATAAGTTTTGATCTATAAGTTTTGGTCTGTACGTTTTGGTCTTTACGTTTTGGTCTATACGTTTTGGACTATACGTTTTGGTCTATATTTTTTGGTCTATACATTTTGGTCTACACGTTTTGGTCTATAAGTTTTGGTCTATGCATTTTGGTCTATACGGTTGGTCTATAAGTTTTCGTCTATAAGTTTTCGTCTGTACGTTTTGTTCTGTACGTTTTGCTATATACGTTTTGCTCTATAATTAAACATCTTTAAACTCCATTGTCCGTTTTTTACTTTTTCTTTTAAACTTTTCAATCAACCAAAACGTAGACAAATGAGAAAGAGAAAAATTAATGTTTAACATCAAGTTGAATTGTGATCAAAAGTCACTGCTTGTATGCACATGGGCCAAACTGTTACATAAGTGTGGGATGAAGGGGGGGGGAGATAATTGTTACCTGGTTCTGTAGTTTTTTGATGAACCTCGATATTAAAAATATGTTCATCCTTAGCTCCTGATCCTTTTCCCCCTAGCAGTATATACTCCTCCATCTTGCAGGCATTATTAATATTATTATTATTATTATTATTATTATTATTATTATTATTATTATTATTATTATTATTATTATTTTTTTTATTTTTAGTATTATTATTATTGTTATTATTACTATTAATATCATAATTTTTTCATTTTTTTATCTTACCTCGCATTCCCATGTTCCTGAAAGTAAAAAATTTAAACTTTTTTATAATCCTTAGATATATAAAAAAAAATTCATAGACACAGTGTTTTGTAACCGTGAATGCTTGAACTACGAATTAAACACGCAAACGACTGCTTCATTAAACCCTGATGATTATGTAATGAAATAGGGAGCAGAGAGCTCAACCAAATCATTATAAATTGAGTTTTATAAGATATATATATATATATATATATATATATATATATTTATTTGCTAAAACTTGCCGAACGGCTGGACAAAATTGGCTGACATTTTTCTTAAGGAAAACCCATGGGTACCCTGGGGGTCACAATAGGCTAAACAAATTTTGAAATTTTTTAAAGCTCAAAGGCGTCAGATAAAATTACGATTTAGTACTAAGCGCGGTTAAATGCCAGGACTAACTTTGACTTTGAATAATACTATAAACCTGGGCAACGCTGGGCACTCCAAGTAGTATGTAATAATATAATTCTAAGTTAAAATAGCAATCATTCTGAGAGACGCGGCTCAATTGGTTGGTTCCACTTAAAATTGTATTCAGTATTTCAAGATTTAAGCCGGCGCTCAATTGAAACCGGTTTTGACGGATTTGAGATGCGGATCAAATTCCTTAAATTCTGATTTGTTTAATACTACCATACAAATTTATTGTTAACAGTCTTTTTATTTAATAATTTTTGTTAACCTTTCTCTGTTTGTACAGTGAGAAACAGACAACGATGGAATATGAAGTCGACATTAGCGCAGTATTTAAGGGTATTTGATATTGCATGTTACAAAGGAAATAGTTTGGCTAATAACTTACAAAATCGTTTATTAGGTCAAATTGATCTGTGTACACTGCACAATTATTGCGCCAACTGTACTCATTATACTATTTAAAGCTATAACCTAAGTCTATAAGCCGTCATCTTATTCCAGTGTTTTCTGGTTCTCCCTGGTTTCTTATTCTATACCTGAATCTTCCATTGTAATGTTTTCTATCTTAAGTCCGCATTCATGTTTCTCATAATCTCCCGATACAGATACTCTAGGGTTCAAATTCTAGTTGATATTTTTACATAAAAAACTTGAACTAACAACCCCCAAAAATATAGATATGAGTGATGGGCGTCGTTTTTTGGTTTGCTTTTATTGAGAGGCTTAACAAGATATTTTTGATCCCTTTTTTACATTGTACAACGTTTTTACTTTGATAACGATTTCAGCTTAATTCATGCGATTTAAAAAAAAAAATTTACCGACTTTTAAAATTTTTTATTTTGGCATAAAATTTTGCGCAATGTACTACAAATGTCAAAATTTTGTTACAACATTAAATATTAATTATGATCTCTCAAAAATAAAATAGTTGAAATATAAACAATGGAAACTGATAAAAAAGTTCATTTAACATTATTTGGGTAATTTAGGGTGAACTGAATAGTTTATTGAATAAATAAAAAGATTAATCATCGTTCCACTGAAATCATTGGTATTACTTAATTTCAAAGATAACTTTGGCCGAAGAAATCACCAAAAAAGTGATCGGTCCTTTTAACCCTATTGGTCGGGGNACGATAACTCATAAAGCATCAAAAAGCTATGAAGCTCAAATTTTGTGGCTTTTCTAACTAACGCATGCTTCTAAATTCAGGCTAAAAGCTGGGCTTTTATACCTACTGCTCGAGTCCTCAAGCACACTGCCTAAATGCCTTATTTTACCTACACCAGACTAAATGTATATTTAGACCTATTTCCAATTATTGGATTTCAACATTTTATAGGTCTTTAGAAAGCCTATGACAAAAGCAAGCAAATTGAACAACTTTTGCAAAGATGTTTTGCTCAGATTTTTGCACAGACTTCTTTAAAGGGAATTTTCACATTTTCAGTTTTTCTTAAATACAAATTTAGGTTAAACAAATTTTGCAAATTTTTTTGCACATTTGAATTTGCTGGGCCAAGGGCATTTCCAAAAATGTATAATTTGTTGAAATTTGAGATATTGTTTTTGCACATTTTTTACCTAATATCGCGATTTCGCAATAAATATTTGGATTTTTGCAAATTTGCCATGTTTTGCAGATTATTGAGGTAGGGCTTTCCAAAAACGTATCAAATGTTATAGATTTGTATCACAATAAGAAAAAAGGGGGAGGTCAATTGGACCCCCCCCCCCCCAAGAAACCAGCCAGTAAATCTGACGTCAGACTAAATAGGGTTAGCAATAATAAAAATCAGATAAAATTTAGATTTCTTTCATAGATATACTTGAATGTAGGGATGTTAACGTTTTCATTTTTCAGAAAAACGATCGTTTCGTTATGAAAACGACGATGAAAAATCGAAAACGAAACGATCGTTTTTGAAAACGATCGTTTTTTTAAAAAGTTCGTTTTTTAAAATGATCGTTTTTAAAACGATCATTTTTCAAAACGCTCGTTTTTCAAAACGCTCGTTTTTCGAAACGATCGTTTTTATAAAATTCGTCGTTTCGTTAACGATCTTTAACGACGACCCTTCGTTAACGATCGTTAATGACGAACCTTCGTTAACGATCATTAACGACGACCCTTCGTTAACGATCGTTAACGACGACCCCTTCGTTAACGATTGTTAACTAAGAGAGGAAACCGACCTGAAGGGCATCTGTACTTATCATTGAGTAGTTTTAAAGAAAATATCAAGGAGTTTTAACTCCCCCCACAACTGTGAAACTTCATGTAAGACGACATTCAATAAAGTTGCATGTAATTTTTTTTTCAAAAACGACCGTTTTGATAAAGTTCGTCGTTTCGTTAACGATCTTTAACGACAATCCTTCGTTAACGATTGTTAACATAATTGTCAATAAATTTTTTTTAAAACGATAGTTTTTCAAAAACGAACGTTTTTTTAAAAAACAATCGTATAAAAAACGGTCGCAAATCGTTTTAATACAAACGATCGATTTCTAAAACGATCGCTATTCGTTTTCTAAAAGTTCAAAACGAGTGGGTCGTTTTTAAAAACGATAGTTTTTTTTCCGAAAACGAAACGATCGTTTTGAAAACGAAACAAAAAACGATCGTTTAACGATCGTTTAACGATCGTTTACAAAAACGATTAACAACCCTACTTGAATGGTATATAAAAATTAAACAAAAGAAGACACGTTTACATCTGCAGGAATCCACTAAAAGACAAGTTTACAACCACTAAGAGACAAGTTTACATCTGCAGGAAACCACTAAGAGTCAAGTCTACATCTGCAGGAATCCACTTAGTGACAAGTTTACAACCACTAAGAGACAAGTTTACATTTGCAGGAAACCACTAAGAGACAATTTTACATCTGCAGGAATCCACTAAAAGACAAGTTTACAACCACTAAGAGACAAGTTTACATCTGCAGGAAACCACTAAGAGACAAGTTTACATCTGCAGGAAACCACTAAGAGACAAGTTTACATCTACAGGAAACCACTAAGGTAAGGAAAAAGGTTGAATAAATTCTGTACAATCGTCTCAGAAGCCTCATTTTTTTTGGGTAACCCTTTTTATTTACATGTTGAAAGAAGAACCCAAAAATACAGTTATAACCAGAAAAAAAGGAATGTAAAGACGACATTTTAGCAATACTTACGTGCATTTGATGTTGTTACAAAGCAACATTTTTACTAAACATTAGAAATAAGCCTGCCTTCACTGCACTGATATCTATCATGCACATTGGAATTTTTAAAGTTATAACTTAATTTTAAAATTCGTCTTCCTATTTCAACGTTTTCTGGTTCTAACTGTAAAAATATGTGTCAATGAGAATTCAAATTCCTGTGAGAGACCTCAGAGTGGCAATCCATCACTTGAACCTTTCCCTGAATTAATCTTGTTATTGTTTACTTTTTTGTTATTGTTTACCTGAAAACCGGTTTTCAACTTGTACCTGATCGGCAAGATATAAGCCGATGTTAAACCCTCCCGTTCTTCCAACTATATGCTTCATCTTTAAGAGTTTCAATCACAAACCGATAATTTTATTTTATTTTGGAAATTATTCATTTCTAAATCGAAAAAATCTTTAATCTGATTTTAGAAAAATTGGCAAACTGAGTTTTTTACATTCTCTAAAAATTTTGATATGATGTTGAGCCATTTTATGAAAATATTCTTTTTTAAATGATATTATACATAGATTAATAACGATACAGATAGAACAATAGATGTTGTTTTTTCAAGATTTAGTGGGGTTTCGTTCACAATAACCAGCTGAAGCAGAAGCACAAAGGAGTTTTGAAAAGACAACTTCCAGTGTTCTATCAGTATTGTTGTATCTATGATATTATAAATTAAAAGAATTAAAAAAAATTGTACTTAAGTCTTAAATTAGGAAAAAAAAGAAGGTTATAGAATTTAGGTTACAACATTGACAGCAGAAAGATGCAATAACCTCTATTAACCCTTTTTTTATAAATACTTTTCAATGAAGGCCTCGCAATCAAAATTGGAAAATTCTACCAAACCAAATTAAAGCTAGGGGGTGTGTATTGAATTAAATAATTAAATTGAAATAGGAGAAAAACATTACCGTCATACGTTTCCATTCAAAATCGCATTGTTTGACCCCTCCAGAACCAGTTATATGTCTAAACAATACTTTTTCTTACCATATCAGCAAGAGAACATGTTGTGAACATCGGGATATGCAGATTTTCGAATTAAGGAATTGAGTGTTAGTAACATTTTGACCTGTAACTTAATTCACACAATATTTAATCATGACAATTGACTCAATTCCTGTAATATTTCTTTAGTTAATTTAATCAATTCCTTTAACTAATTAATAAATAATTAATTAATTAATTAATTTGGTGCTCATAGTAATTCCTTACAGGGAAAACTTTGATTAAGTTATTATTATTATTTATTTTTTGTTACAAACAAAAATATACGAATAGACATACTTTCTATAACATATATGACATACAACATATATAACATTTGGAGAAGACGAGTCAAGTCATGATTGTCTTTAAAAATTATCCCGGGAGGGGGGCATCAAAAGACAATAATCCAGGACGTTTGGAGTTGGAAGAGGNGGGGGGGAATAACTGTTTATCCTTAAATATCAAAGTACCCATATTTGATATCACTCCAGTGCAAACAAAATTTCAGAACACAAGATGTAACGTCATATTCGTTTTCATTTTTGACACATAATTGAGAGTGTATTTTATTTAATTCTATTATGAATAATTAATGAAAATATTCGTTTTTCTTAAACTAAAATTTTTAAAATCTCAATACCCAGTTTATAAAAATACAAATGGACAAAAATCCCCCTTAAAAAAGTCTTGTATGACCTATCTTTTATCTCATTTTCATTGGAAAGCACCCCCAGATCGGCACAATTAAATTATAATGTTTTGGGAAAAACCATTTCTCATAACAACTAAATTGATCCAACTAGAACTTCTTTCACCTATAGTTATACGTTAGGTGGCGGTTTTTTCTAATAAAATGAAAACGATTTGTCCATTCAAGTTTTAATTTCTAATAAACTTTTTCAAGTTACAAGTTTGCACGTAAACAATGAGAAGCTGACAGCTTCTCCATGTTTTTATGTTTACGTGTGTCCAAGCTGTGTATTCCTGCTTGTTAGAAATCAAAATTGAAATAAAATGTTGTCTTCATTGTATTGATATATACGACAACGACTGTGGTAAAACTAACCTTTCCCTATAAAATACTTTGATTTGACCCATAGTGTGGTTTACTATACAGTACACACACTGCAGGATTTATTTTCAATTACTAAATACTAAATGATATGAGAGATAGCTAATTATTTCCCCCCCTAAAATGTTAACAAAAAATAAAAAAAACAAAGGAGGCCCTTAAAAATTAACTTGTTTGTACAGTACGTACACAAACAACCCCAATTTTTTTAAAATTGAGTTTTGCCCAGTTTGTCTGTTGTAATCAGTACACTAAACCTTTGTCAACATCTACTGTGTGTGATTCATGGGTACTGGAATACGGTATCCCAACGAGGCTCGCGCAGGAATGAAAGGCCCATACGGTACGGGGGTAAGATCCGTATCCTCTGACGTCACTGATTAAAACTATTGGTGGAGAATTCTCAGACCGTCAAAGAAATGCCAATCACAATCATGCGTATACTCGCCAGTGTCCACTTTGTGCCCTGTACCGGGTTATGACGTAGGTAAGATACAGAAGCTAGAATTGTATGACTACCTTACCCTATTCAAGTACCCATGGTGTGATTTGACCTAAAGCTTGTACAACTGCATATTACCTCCAAGTGCAGTACTCCCAATGATTATTCGATCTACATCTCATCTCGAGTGTTTCTCCTTCTATTCTAACCTAAATATAAACAAAATATAATTTTCTGTTTTCATCGAATAATAAATTGATAATTAAAAAAATATATTGAGATTATTTTGAAATATCTTTAAGAATTATATAAGGTTCACAACGGTACCCTTACAGCTTTGAGTAAAGAGGTATGGATTAGATATCCCCTTTTTTTTTAAACTGACTATTTTCTTTCGTGGCTTTTTGACTTTTGTGACATTTCTTTCTACAAAATAATGAAGAAAACAACAGACTTTAGCAGTTTTCAAGTTTTCTTACATATTACTCATCAGATTACGGTTTTAAAGGTACCGTTGTGAATTTGACAAACCTTGAAGTGGAAGTTCACTCAAAATTACAATGATAGTCCCTTTTGTGACAGACCCTTTTGTGACAGTCCCTTTTGTGACAGTCCCTTTTGTGACAGACCCTTTTGTGACAGTCCCCTTTGTGACAGTCACTTTTGTGACAGTCACTTTTGTGACAGTCACTTTTGTGACAGACCCTTTTGTTACAAACCCTTTTGTGACAGACCCTTTTGTGACAGTCCCTTTTGTGACAGTTCCTTTAACCCTTTTGTGACAGTCCCTTTTGTGACAGTCCCTTTTGTGACAGACCCTTTTGTGACAGCCCCTTTTTTGACAGTCCCTTTTGTGACAGACCCTTTTGTTACAGTCCCTTTTGTGACAGTCCCTTTTGTGACAGTCCCTTTTGTGACAGTCACTTTTGTGACAGTCCCTTTTGTAACAGACACTTTTGTGACAGACCCTTTTGTAACAGACTCTTTTGTGACAGTCCCTTTTGTGACAGTCACTTTTGTGACAGTCCCTTTTGTGACATTCACTTTTGTGACAGACCCTTTTGTGACAGACTCTTTTGTGACAGTTCCTTTTGTGACAGTGTAGCGACGAAAGGAATAAGACCAAATGAATAAGACCAAATGAATAGGATCAAATAAACTGACTGAATATATATTTATCAAAAACAGTATTTATACTAGATGCAGTATATCATAATCTAAACAATAACATGTGAAGTATGGAATATGCTGTGTACTGCATTCCGGGAATCCAGGGGCGCCACAACAGTCCCTTTTGTGACAGACCCTTTTGTGACAGACCCTTTTGTGACAGTCCCTTTTGTGACAGTCCCTTTTGTGACAGACCCTTTTGTGACAGTCCCTTTTGTTACAGTCCCTTTTGTGACAGTCACTTTTGTGACAGTCCCTATCATGGCAGTCCCTTATGTAAAATGGTGTAATAAAGACGACGTTCATTCCACACTTAGTTTTTGTTCTAACTGTATATTTCCCCTCGGTTGCATATTGTTTTTACAAAATAATATCTTAAAAAAGACTGTAAGCGTAATTTCAAGTAAGCAGCTTCTCGCAAAGATGGCAATGGTTGATTTACTAAGGAACCCTGAAAAGCTCTGTCTAATCAAGGATAAATTAGATTTCTATGTTTTTGTTTCTTTAAATTTTCTATTTGCGGTTTCTATGCTAAAGGAATTTATGCATTTCATGCAATTATAAGAAATAAGAAGCAATGGAGAAATTATCAGAGAGAACACTTTTCGAATGAGAAAAACGAAGGCATCTTCCACAATTTTGATCAGATTAAGGTTTCAATGATGCCGCTGAAAATCAGGTATTGCCATCTTTGCATTAAAGGTTACTTAAAATTAGTTAAAAAAAGATTGTGAAGACTACTTACCCCGGAATTGTATTTATGATCAACTATCTGGAACTTGGCATCACTAAAGCCTATAGAAATTCCAATCAAAATTATCAAAAATACCATTTTTCTGAAATAAATTAATTATGTTAAAAAAGATGTTGAGATATTGATAAAAATGTTGAAAATAACAATATTATAAAAATAGTTTGTATTTTAATAACATGCATATTGGATTACGAAAATCTTAAAAATCTTAATTAACATTTTCAAAACAAAATATAATTTAACTTGGAAGGAATGCAAGATGAACTTTGATATGAAGAGCCACGTGAAACTAAAGTAAATTTTCACGTAAGAATGAGATCTTTTCAGTTATAACTTCTTTTATGTGAAAGAGAAGTTACGAGGGTACAACGTCGTACCAGTTCTGTGGCATGAATTTGACCATCTAAACTTGTCTTATTGTAGAAGTAAAACAAAATGTAAGATGTTTTTGAAACAACCAGGTCCGTAGCTAGGAATTTTATATTTGTATCTGTATCACGTGACCAGTACACTGCACTCTCATTGGTGGGAGTTCTTGTGACGTAATACGTACTTAAAAATAATATTATCAATTATATTTGGTATAGTTTACCAATTGAAGTCAAGGAGTCCAGGAATGTCACCATTTTTAAGACTAAATTGGAGAAATTAGTCATTTAAACTATCTTTCTGTGCTATTAGGAACTGTGTTACGAAGCAACTAGATGAATAACTTATCGAAAAGTCATGCAGTTTCCAGAGGACACCAAAGACGTTTGCACCATGGACCAAGAGGTCTCCTGCAAACCACCACACAAGTAAACAAGTATATCTATTAAAAATAAAAATAAAAATTATGAAATAATAATCGGAGAGAACCTAAGTTACAATTTGGTTTCTCTGGGATATCTTCGTTTTCAGATTGGTTGTGTATTTGCTGAATATGATCTATTTAAACCTACGACTTTTGCTATACAAAATTGTATGTATATGAATTTCCGTATAATTTTGACACAGTTTTATATCAATTTCTCGAGACAGGAACATCAGATATAACTTTCATGGGTTGCGATCAAGAGCTAAAGTGATTAGCTTTCAGCCTATTTTCCCTTTACAGTCCCATTAAAGCAAGAAGTGAGTCAAGCCAATTTCTGGAAAAAACTACATTTGCCAATTGTTCATTACTTGAAATCCCAGGTTAAAATCTTTTTATTTTGATATCGACTAAATTTTAAATCGACAGTGTAAAGGATTTTTGTCTCTGTTTGTTAGAAGATAAGCATGCAATTGTTCTGTATATAACGGATATTAGAAGGCATCTGGAAAGTGTTTTATTGAATTATTAAATTAAATTGTCTTTAAAAGAACAATTTGAACAGATTGCACTATAGTTTCAGTAGAAGTAAATATTTCCATTTACGGACAGCGCCGATATAAGGATATTGAGATAGATAGAAAGATAGATGTTACCGCCATACTATTTCTATTGGTTCAGATTAAACACCAAACAATGACTGAACCATGATTGGATCAGGCGCTAATGGAATCGCATACAAGTCTAAGCGCAAGTTGACTTCACTCATTTTCTGCTTTCAGTTCTCTTCGCAATCACTCCTGTATGCGATTCCATTAGCGCCTGATCCAATAAAGGTTCAGCCATGTGTTTGTTGTCTATTCTGAACCAATAGAAATTGCATGGCAGTATCGTTTATCTTTCTATCTATCTCACCATCCAATTAGAGATGAATCCTTATATCGGTAACAGTGAATGGAAATATTTACTTCTACTGAGCTGAAAACTTTAGAATTGTGGATTTCGAGATAATGCTTGATCCTCTCTTTTTCTTAATATCGAGACTAACTTAATCTTGTACTTGTATCCTGAAAACTGGTATAAAATTCAACCAATCAGAGTCGCGTATTTGAAAGCGATAATTTGAAATTTGGCGCGCCATTAAAGATTATATACAGGACCGGGAGGGACTCTCTAATTTAGAAAAACCGGTTTTTTTATTTTTCTCTACTATATCCAAGAAAGAACGGTTTAAGAAGAAAATCAAAAATGTGTTCATTGGATACTCAGATTAACTAATCGGGATTAAGGATATCTCATTCTAAAGTTTTCAGCTCTGAAACTACAGTGTGAGCGGGTACTAATCAAATTAAGAGTTATAAAGTGTTGAACTCTGAAACTAAAGGTCTCTTAAAAATGAATTCTCCTACTTTCCTCAATTGTCTAAAAAAAACTGTGTAACATATTGCAAAACATGAGCAAGTTCACTTAACTGCAGATATCAATGAGATCAACTCTGGGTTGGGTATACTTATAACTCCGATAAATAAGATCAACTCTTGGTTGGGTATACGTATAACTCCGATAAATAAGATCAACTCTTGGTTGGGTATACGTATAACTCCGATAAATGAGATCAATTCTGGGTTGGGTATACTTATAACTCCGATAAATAAGATTAACTCTGGGTTGGGTATACGTATAACTCCGATAAATGAGATCAACTCTGGGTTGGGTATAACTCCGATAAATTCAGTTTAAACTGAGTAAGGATGAGTAAATAAGGATTGAAGCAGGGGAGATGTATCTATCTATCTATCCAATGTATAATAATATAACTAAACCCCAACATGTGTTGTTATCTGATAAATTTACAAAACAAGGGAAACCCCACATTATTTTGTCAAATTTATATTTTTATATTTTTATATATTTATATCTAGCCCTGATGTTTTTTGTTGATGAACTATTTGGTAAAGCTTGACATATGTAGTTGGAGGGGTAGAAATCATGGAGTTAGGAATACAAGGATATACAGTGGAGAGGTAGAAGGGTTTATCATGGAGCTAGGCATACAGGGATATACAGTGTAGGGGTAGAAGGGTTTATCATGGAGCTAGGAATACAGGGATATACAGTGTAGGGGTAGAAGGGTGTATCATGGAGCTAGGAATACAGGTATATACAGTGTAGGGGTAGAAGGGTTTATCATGGAGCTAAGAATACAGGGATATACAGTGTAGTGGTAGAAGGGTGTATCATGGAGCTAGGAATACAGGTATATACAGTGTAGGGGTAGAAGGGTTTATCATGGAGCTAAGAATACAGGGATATACAGTGTAGGGGTAGAAGGGTTTATCATGGAGCTAGGAATACAGGGACATAAATGTAGGGGTAAAAGGGTTTTCAATGGAGCTAGGAATACAGGGATATACAGTGTAGGGATAGAAGGGTTTATCATGAAGCTAGGAATGATCTATATTGCGTATAAGAGCTCGCATAAATGCCCAATCCTTATTGCGAAGTCCGAGGACGATATGAACTAAACATTAAACAAATTTAGCAGTTACAATTATGGACAAAGAAGGAGAAAAAGCGAGTGTTTTGAAATCGGAGGGGGGGAGGGGAATTTTAGGGATTTATATTTAAATTAACTCAAGTTCAAGGAAAAACGTTTCAAAAAATTTAGTTTTATTCTCCGTAAACTTTTTCTCTAAAAGTTTAAACCCTGATCCTCTTTCATCCCCTAGATTTAATCCAGTACATATGTATTTAAGATCCTCTATTACAAATAGAAGAAATAGTACAGTATAGACATGACATTTCGAGTCAAGCAAAGATTAACAATTTAACACAGAACAATTTAAATAAAAGGAAAACGTTAAATGAGGATAAAAACTACCCCCTGTCCCCTCCCCTTAAATCTGTGATACAGGGTTTCCCACAAAGGATGAAACTTTAATGACGACCTAAAACTCCTTAGTTTTGACGATTTTAAGGTTGTCTAAGATATTTTGTGCAATGTATGTACAATGTACATAGAAGGTAAGATGAGGGCATTTAAAGTTTCTCTCTTGTCCTTTTTTTCATTTTTATGTTTTTTTTAATACCCACATAGGTTGCCAAGGATCAAATCTGATAAATGTCTTTTTATACTTTTAAACTAAAACTGCAGACCACAATTCAGAAAAATACATAATCTTTCAAATTTGTTCCCATACAAACTATAATTTATTATCTACTAGCTGAAGGACCCGGCGTTTCCCGTGGAATAAAAAAAAAAGAATTTTGAAGAAAAAAAATTTATTTTTGATAGATAGAAATTATAGAATTTTTTAGCCTATGCTACCCCCAGAGTACTCATGGGTTCCCTAAAAAAAATCAGCCCATTCGGTCCACCCGTTTTGCCGGCTATAGGGAACATATATACGAATGTCTTGTTTTATTATATAGATTAAAAATGAAAAAATGATAATTTTTAAATTTTGTCGTCTCCCCTCTTTATCAGGACACCCTGCAACCGATTACATACAAACATATATTCATTGATAAAGCTAATATTTCAAGCATATTGTATTGACTGACAATACTGCATATCCCAGATATATATACTGCAACTTGGAAAATGTTTTATAAAATTAATTTTTTTATATTTCAACACTCGAGTAATAAGTTTTATGTATATTAGATCTTGAACTTTTAAGAACATTAAAAAAATTAAATGTTTAAAACATTTTCCATACTTTCCACGGAGATTCATTTGCACTACATTTTAGAAACGCATAGTAAACGTTAATTTTATTCCCACTCTCAAGCTTAAATTAAACTTGTAACATACAGGGTTAGAGACGACTATTCGGATTCTTTTCTTACTTACTTACTTACTTACTCAAGGTTCTATAAAGCTGCAATATTGTTCATTTCTTTCTGAGTTATACTTATCATTTAGGCAACCTTCGTCATTAAAGAAAGCGTCTCATCCAATGTGGATAACCCATGTACTTTATGTAATTTCAACCTTTTGGTTTGAGAACTGTACACTTCAAATAATAATGTTAATTAACCCCATGGGCACCCGTAGTACATTTGAATTTCCGAGCCGGGTCAATCTTTCCGGTCCCAGTTTGTACTGTACCTGTCTCTATGGACAGGACTAGCCTGAACAACAAGCTTGACGCGGTAAGACTTTATGCTTCAAATAGGTTGAATTTACTTTTATCAAAGGGGCAGAGGTGTATGACCCCCGCTTCTAACCTAAATCTCTGAAAAATCCTTGTCTTGCTAAATCATGTCAAGGTTATATTCAATGTGTTCAGGGGTAAATAAGGCAAAAAGTGAACTTTTCAATGCTTTTTATCAAACAATCATATGTCAGTTAAATGACAAAATAAAATTTCAGTTTTTAATTATTATCCATTATACATTATATTAAAGAGAGTTTATTGAGAAAAATGAAAGGGAGCTCTTCATCAATCATCTCTACTTTTTATTTAAATTATCAGTTTTTTTTAACACCCCGAAAAGGCAAGAACAACCTTGATTTTTCTGCTGATTAAATTTTCATATTTTTTTGGAGTGGTGGTTATTAATCTGATTCATGAGCCGATTATTTTTAGCTTCCTTAATTCTAAAAAATGCAATTAAACTGAAATTTTGTTTTTGGATTTCTTTTTTCTGTGTGTCACAAATTAAAAAGTGATGATGTATAAAAAATGACAACCTCCTACCAAATTTTAAGGAAAAATCGTGTTCGACCTTAATACTAAAACTTTTGATGAATCTATGGTAATTTTCATTTTATAAATCAAACTGCTATCCTATCATATCCTATCCTATCCTATCCTATCCTATCCTATCCTATCCTATCCTATCCTATCCTATTCTATCCTATCCTATCCTATCCTATCCTATTCTATCCTATCCTATCCTATCCTATCCTATCCTATCCTATCGATCCTTTTTTCCCTGTTATCTATTTATCTATCTGACTATCCATCTATCTATCTATCTATCTATCTATCTATCTATCTATCTATCTATCTATCTATCTATCTATCTATCTATCTATCTATCTATCTATCTATCTATCTATCTATCTATCTATCTATCTATCTATCTATCTATCTATCTATCTATCTATCTATCTATCTATCTATCTATCTATCTATCTATCTATCTATCTATCTATCTATCTATCTATCTATCTATCTATCTATCTATCTATCTATCTATCTATCTATCTATCTATCTATCTATCTATCTATCTATCTATCTATCTATCTATCTATCNCCCTAAAGCAGCTAAACCATTCTCTTTTTCACTCCTTCCTATAAACTCTCAACTATATTATTTTATTGAACAATTTATCACAATCTCACATGATTTTACAAATAGATTATTAATTATTACACTTTTTAACAATTATAAAGAGGCGGAATTGTAAAAGCATGACAATCTTTAAAAAATCTTGTGTTTTTTCTTGTAAATGCAGGGTGTCCCACGAAACATGACAGTTGGTAAATAATTTAAAATTTCTTCTTCCATAATTACCAAAGAGAAATAAAAATGTAAAATATGTTTTAGTAAAAGATTTTATTAAACAAATAAAATGCAAAAGTCTTTAATATCTATTACAGTATAGGGAAGAAGACATTCCAAATTATTTACCAACTGTCATGTTTTGTGGGACCCCCTGTATCTGGATGATTTAAAGAGAGTGTAGACGGAGTTTACAGTAACCCCCCATTTGCAGAGTGGCATGTCAGATTCACCTTTTAAGCCTTTAACTGATCAAGGATATCGCACTTATATTTGTTTTATAGAAATAAATATTTAAATTTACTTTCCAGAATTCACGGAAAGTATTTTTTATTTAATTTTTATTTAAAACGGTGTTTGACAAGGTTATAATACAAGGAAAGTTAATTGCAGATGTGTATTCTCTGCGTACATATCAAAACCAGTTATCTGGGTGGAATTTGTAAACAAGATGCATCAGTGTTTGTTTAGTATCCGAGGAGGATAAAAGCATTTCATTTTGATAATTTTGATAATTCACATAATAGTTTCATATGACCAGAATATCTCATTGGTTTTTTGTGAAAGATAGATCCCATGTCAGGCTGTGAATGTAATAAATCTAGGTCCCGATAAATCTCCCGATACTTGACTCTTAGTCTAATGTCAATCTCCCTGACTCAATCTCTAGCCAAAACTCTGGCTCTGTATACTTCTGTATAAATCGACTATTGCTACTATACTACTTTATTAATACAGGTAAATTTAAGCTGACCGGAATGGCCGATCAGGGTCAACATGAACATAGATAAAATAGAAAACGGAACATAGATAATAAAGATTGTACTAACATGATATCATAATTTATTACATGACATCCGTCTTGTGTTTACATTACCGCCCAGAGACAGTAAACTGCAGTACAAAAGATGCGTACTGCTCTGAAATCACTTTCCTTGTATTATAACCTTGATTAGGAGTAAACACACAGAGTGCTTTGCCATCAATTATGAGTCGAAATGTTAAAAAATGTAAATCTGACATTCCCTCTCTTTAAGGGTCACTTGAAATTACGCTGACATTCCCATAGAGAATAGAATATATATATATATATTATTCTATTCTCTATGGACATTCCTAAGAAACACAAATGAATAATTTCTCAACGTGGATTAATGATAATTCTGGTAAAAACTGTTGCAAACAATGTAAGTAATAAAACTGCTAATCTTGGTAGATAAAGAGCTCCAATTGCAGATACAAAGTTTACATTGCAGTAATCCCTAGTACAGAAACAAAACTGCGGATTCTAAACAAAAATTAAACATTATTAATATTAACTAGATAGATAAAGAGCCCAGTGAAGTGTTGCCCTTGCGATATAAACAAAAAACTTTTGATTTTTTAGCCTACGTCACCCACCCATGGGCTCCCTAAAAAATTCCGCCAATTTTGTACAGCTGTAGTTATATATAAGCGAAGAATATTATAATATTATAAAGATTACAAACAAAAAAATAGTATAATTATTGCGTCATGAAGTCTGGAAAATAACTACTTAAAGTTTTTTTTCAGAGGACTAAAATTAAAATTTACAATAATAAAGTCATAATAATTTCAAAGCAAATAATATGCGACAACTGCAAATTTAGGTTTACCCTCAAAGGATGAGATTTTAATAAGGTTCATTTTGGCCTTCTGTATTTATTAAAATCCTTAGTCAAAATAAAAAAAATGTTGATAATATTAAACAAACGAATTTTTAGAAATCGAAAATTAAATGAAAGACCCCATTTCAAGTCGACGACAACAAATCCAAGGAAAAAGTAAGATAGTGAGTTTTTTTCTCATAAAACAGACAATTAATTGTAAGAAAATTAAAGAAAAGTGACAATTTAAATCTAAAAAATTAAGACGATAATGAATTTTAAAGAAGCTTAAGGTACCAATGATTCAAAGAAAACAACAATAAATTATGAAGAAAGGCCAAGAATTGAATCAAGGGAAAAGGAGACGGATAATGATTGAAAGGATGAATGAAAAGATGCATGTTCAAAGATTTAAAGAAATGAAGACGACGTTGAATGAATTATAAAGAAAATTAAAGTTCAGATCATTCAAAGAAAGAAAAAGGACATTTAATTATGTTTAAGTTATAGTTGAACTCTCACCAAACATTTTTACGAAATGAAGACGACAACAAATTATAAAGACCAGTATTGGTACAAATTATTCAAAGAAATGAAGACGACAACAAATTATAAAGACCAGTATTGGTACAAACTATTCAAAGAAATGAAGACGACAACAAATTATAAAGAAAAGTATTGGTACAAATTATTCAACGAAATTAAAACTACAACAAATTATAAAGAAAAGTATTGGTACAAATTATTCAACGAAATTAAGACGACAACAAATTATAAAGACAAGTATTGGTACAAATTATTCAACAAAATTAAAACGACACCAGATTATAAAGACAAGTATTGGTACACATTATTCAACGAAATTAAGACTACAAAAAATTATAAAGAAAAGTATTGGTACAAATTATTCAACGAAATTAAAACGACAACAAATTATAAAGAAAAGTATTGGTACAAATTATTCAACGAAATTAAAATGACAACAAATTATAAAGAAAAGAATTGGTACAAATTATTCAACGAAATTAAAACTACAACAAATTATAAAGAAAAGTATTGGTACAAAATATTCAATGAAATTAAAACGACAACAAATTATAAAGACAAGTATTGGTACACATTATTCAACGAAATTAAGACGACAACAAATTATAAAGACCAGTATTGGTACAAATTATTTAACGAAATTAAAACGACAACAAATTATAAAGACAAGTATTGGTACAAATTATTCAAAGAAATGAAGACGGAAACAAATTTTAAAGAAAAGTATTGGTACAAATTATTCAACGAAATTAAGACGACAACAAATCATAAAGACAAGTATTGGTACAAATTATTCAACGAAATCAAGACGACAACAAATTATAAAGAAAAGTATTGGTACAAATTATTCAACGAAATTAAGACGACAACAAATTATAAAGAAAAGTATTGGTGCAAATTATTCAAATAATGAAGACGATAACAAATTATAAAGACCATTATTGGTAAAAATTTTTTCAAAGACATAAAGACGACAATAAATTATAAAGACAAGTATTGGTACAAAATTATTCAAAGAAATGAAGACGACAACAAATTATAAAGACAAGTATTGGTACAAATTATTCAAAGAAATGAAGACGACAACAAATTATAAAGACAAGTGTTGGTACAAATTATTCAAAGAAATAAAGACGACAATAAATTATAAAGAAAACTAGAGGTGCCAATAATGAATGTTGAAGAAAAATATATTTGCCAATAATTGAATTAAATGAAGACAATAATGAAGCATGAATGATGCAAAGACGAATCAAAAGTAATGAAGGAATTGAGGACAATTTATATCACAAAGAAAATAATTGTGGTTTCTTGACAACTTGGGTTTTGCAATTCTGTTTCGGAAAAAAAATTAAAAAAAAAACTTGTTAAGGTAGAAAAACGATGATATCTCCCCCTATTGTTGATCAGATAAAGATTCAGAGGGTACCATTGAGAATCTGGTGAGAAACATTACCTGGTCACCACACATATAGTATTCAGGAAGAGTCGCAGAACATCCCTTCACAATCAGTCCAGTTACTAAATTAAGATTAATACATTGGATCAAACAGAATTTTTTAAAATCTTTTAATCTTTAGAGGAGTCTTATTAAGAACAAAAATTATGTTCGAATATTGTACAAAAGAGAGAGCGTTAGAGATTCAGTTTTATTTCTAGAAATTTCTAAATTTCTTGAAATTTCTTTGAAAAGCAACTTTCAAGAGGCTAGGTTAGGTTCAGACACTTTCTGGGCCCAGCGCTGCGGCTAGGACAGGCTAGGGGGCCGAGCGCTGCGGCCATGGGTTAGGTTAAGTTATGGGGAGTGCATGCTTGAAATTGAAAGCAGGTTAGTTATCAGGAAAAGGTAATTTTGAGAACCTTTTATGAACTTTTGATGTCTCAAATTTATTTCGGTGAATTATGATAGCGCCTATGACATTTTTGTTAGACACTTCTTTGTGAGGTGCAAAAATGTCGATTTTGCAAGTTATATGATTTTTGCAAATTCAGTGAGATAAAACTTAGGAATATTAGAAAACCAACTGAATTGACTAAAATTATGATTTTAAATAGTGTAATAAACATAAAACACAGCAAAGGTGCAGTGTTTACAAAATTATTTATTCATAGCATAACATCAAATTAAAATAGATTCCTTAATTGACATATTCCTATTCAACAGTTTTATGGGTTTTACTGTATTTTAAACTAAAGACGCAGGATGTTATTTAACATAGTTATCCCAAGGTAAAATTTAGAAACAGAATATTATTCAAAGTACATAGTACTACGTACAGTGGTCAGCGTGTATATAATGATACAATGAAAACGGCTTTTCTTTTTAACCCTATCCCTGCTGGGGTACTTGAAAACCAATTCTATCAGGCTTTTTTTCTAAATTACAAGTTTACAAGTAAACAAAGGGAAGCTTCTCTTTGTTTCCATGTTTATGTTTATTACTACTGTTTGAAAGGTTTGTAGAAATAAAATATCGAAATCGAAAGTCGTCTTCAATGTATTGATATATACGACGACAGCTGTAGTTATTGTAATGATTTGTTGTAATTTAAAGAATCTTAGTATTCAGTGTTCACCTGATACTATTGAGCAAGCAATTTCTCCAGATTTACATGTCGTTGGGATTCCTGAACATACATTTAATAATATGAAAAACTTGATTATAGGCTTTTTTAAGCTAACAGTATTATGAAAATATCAAAAGGCTTCATGTTACCTAAGATTTTTTTTGTTTTTCATTTTTTTAGTTACTAACGCTTGTACACTCAGAGATTGTAGATGAGAAGTTGATATGGAAAAACATTTTTCGCATATGATGTTTGAGATAATAATGTGACTCCAGAAACGGTAAAATTCATATCTTAATAAATTGTCATCCTGAAACACCTCACTGTATCTAATAACCCCGAAATTCTTCTGAAGAAGTTTGATTTTAATCTTCTTAAAAAAGAATAGTTTAAAATGTTTTAGCTTATTCTTTATTTTACCGGTCCTTTGTACTTAGATAATGAAAAAAATGTCATAAAGAAACAAAGATTTACCTAAATTGTCGTTTAAATCACATGCCCCAAAAACGCTAGAGCAAACATAACACTAGAAAAAAGACATGCTTTTTAGAATTCATTAAGTAGATTTAAATCTTATTAATATTTAATCATTGTTGAACTTTTTGCGGTGGAGCGTGTTTCAGCTTCAAAATGAAACCTTCCTGAAAAGTTTCGGGGTAAAATTTTCTTTAAATTTTCATTTCATATTATAAACCGGATAATTTTATTGAGAGGATAATCATGTTCATCATTTTTTGTTGTAAAAGATATTGCTTTTACAATTGATTACAAGTGTTCATAGCATGGTGTGTCTCAATAAACATGGGAATTAAATGACAACTTCTATATCGTCTTTGTTTCAAGCGTGAATATTTTGTAAATATCATTTCGTATCATCACAGTTAAAATATTTAACACCAAAAATTACTGGTCTCGGGGTTTCCAAAATGTGGTCTAAAATTTTTTTTTTCAGAATGGGATCTACCAATTTTTCAAGACTGACGGAGATGTTATGAAAATTGTCCAGGATTCCAGTTGTTTTAAAAATCAACAAAACTATTCAAATGTATAAAATATTGGCCACATTCAAAGATACACTATATGTCATTTATCAAGTATCGTTAATCAAAGACGATAATCCAACCAAGTCATCTTTCAATTACCATGTTTATTGGGGGCAAACGCTGAATTCCAACCTTCGAGTGTGCGAGGTGGGGAAGACTTCACTGCAGATTTTACTTTTGTATATGACCACTTTTTCAACAATTTTCAATAAAATTAGTATTTACTTAGGGCTAGGTTAGGTTCAGACACTTTCTGGGCCCAGCGCTGCGGCTAGGACAGGCTAGGGGGCCGAGCGCTGCGGCCATGGGTTAGGTTAAGTTATGACACTTTCTGGGCCACCTGCACATTCGAAGATTCGAGTTCAGCGTCTGTCTGTATTGGGTCACCCTGTGCAAAGTATATAGTGAACACTCTTCCATGTAGCAGAGGAAAATATATCCTATTAAAAAAAACCTTAACACTATGTAATTTACAACCAAAACTCAGTTTTGAAAAGTTGTAAAAAATATAAAATGCCCTCTGGAATTTTCATTACAGGGTTTCGTGTTAAGGTTAAAATAAGCTTCATGGACAAGGCATATCTCAAGCTTCTTCATTTTTTATTACAGATAAACCCTAACTAAGCCATGCGTCAAAAAAATTCATCAAATGTCGTATTCTTCACTTTCTGATAATGGAATTTTGCAGATGTTTAGTTTTTTTAATCAAATGATTATATGGAGCTTTTTAAAACTGTTCTCCGCATATTCATGGCTATTTATGTATTTTCGCAAATACTGAGATTACCGTAAAATAGTACAAAACCCATTAAAAAATTGACAAGACGACATTTGATAAATATTTACGAAATATGGCTCATTTAGTGTTTCTGTTTTTTTTTATGTATTTTGGTTATATTTCTGTAAGAAACTGTAATAAACTTTATCATACAGTATCATTGAGAAAAAATACACATTCATTAAAAACCTGCAAACCGGGAAGTAGGAAGACGACATTAAACAATACTTAAACCGGGGAGTATAAAAACGACATTAAAACAATACTTAAACCGGGGAGTATAAAAACGACATTAAAACAATACTTAAACCGGGAAGTAGGAAGACGACATTAAAACAATACTTAAACCGGGGAGTATAAAACGACATTAAAACAATACTTAAACCGGGGAGTAGGAAGACGACATTAAAACAATACTTAAACCGGGGAGTATAAAAACGACATTAAAACAATACTTAAACCGGAGAGTAGGAAGACGACATTAAACAATACTTAAACCGGGGAGTATAAAAACGACATTAGAACAATACTTAAACCGGGAGTAAAAAGACGACATTAAAACAATACTTAAGCCGTGGAGTAGGAAGACGACATTAAAACAATACAATCAAGTTAAATGGGTCTGTTCACATTGTACAATTGCTGTGTTTAACTTTAATGTTTCTTGAACGATTAAAATTCTAAAAGTTGTCCTCATCTTCCAAACTGTACAGTACAGTACATAACATTACAGTAGAGTACAGTACAGTGCAGTACAGTACAGTACAGTACAGTACAGTACAGTACAGTACAGTACAGTACAGTACAGTACAGTACAGTATAGTACAGTAAAGTACAGTACAGTACAGTACAGTACAGTACAGTATAGTACAGTACAGTACAGTACAGTACCGTAAGGTACAGTACAGTACAGTACAGTACAGTACAGTATAGCACAGTACAGTATAGTACAGTACAGTACAGTACAGTACAGTACAGTATAGTACAGTACAGTGCAGTTTAGTACATTACAGCATAGTACAGTACAGTATAGTGCAGTACAGTACAGTATAGCACAGTACAGTACATTACAGTACAGTACAGTACAGTACAGTAAAGTACAGTACAGTACAGTATAGCACAGTACAGTACAGTACAGTACAGTACAGTACAGTACAGTACAGTACAGTACAGTACAGTACAGTACAGTACAGTACAGTACAGTACAGTACAGTACAGTACAGTATAGTACAGTATAGTACAGTATAGTACAGTACAGCATAGTACAGTACAGTACAGTACAGTACAGTACAGTATAGTACAGTACAGAAAAATATACCCGAAGTGCATCTGCTTGTTGTACAACGAGTAGAAGGAATCCAGTGATCAAAAGAAAACATGAAAAAAACATTTTTACTTTTCTGAAAAATTAAATTTCTAAATATATATGTAGACATAAAAAGAGAAGGCTTATAATTAGTTTTTTTAACATTACAGCAAGGAAATGTGACATATTCATGAAAGATAATTTTCGAGAGAAAATGTTTGGAAATAATCCAAATAATCCATTTTAGCTTGTCCTTCCTAGCTTTATATAGTGCTTTCTCCCCTGGCAGCAGCCATTTTATGTTTAAGTTGTGTGTTTAAAAATATGTCTTTGTTTTTAAAACTTAATATGACAGCATTTTCTTTTTATCGAATGAAAAGATTCTGAGTAAATTATATATCCACAGTTGGAGATAAAAACTCAAGAGAAATCAATTGTAATATATCTAATATGTTAAGAACAAAAATTATGTTCGAATATTGTACAAAAGAGAGAGCGTTAGAGATTCAGTTTTATTTCTAGAAATTTCTAAATTTCTTGAAATTTCTAAATTTCTTGAAATTTCTAAATTTCTTGAAATTTCTAAATTTCTTGAAATTTCTTTGAAAAGCAACTTTCAAGACAAGGTTGACTTTGAAGTGTCACAATGCCATCTGGCTTTAGGTTACTCACTTTACATACTTTTCTTTATAGCCCTCTAGGCATGTTTCTTTATAGCCCTCTAGGCATGTTTTTTGTGATTATGATTTTGAAGAGAGAGAATTGTAATGCTCTTTTTTAAAAGGAGTAATTGGGAAATTCTGAGAGCTGTGCAGTAGGTATGAAAAGGTTTTTTTAAAAGTGTGTATGCATAAGGGTGTGAACACTTTAACTCAGAGTGCCCTGGCCTTTTTTATTTACTCAGCTCTTGTGTATAGTATAAATACCAATAATTATAATGTATATAATATATGATAGTAAATATCTAATATATATATATAACTATGATGTATATTGTATAAAGTGGAATATACCAATATTCAACCATTTCCTGATACTTCCAATTCTTATCCAAGAATAATCTTAATTTTTTTTTTTTTTTTTTAAATGTTCTTGACATTAAAAAAAAAGTTTGCCACTCTGTCTTTTTTCTTCTTAAATATTGTAAATTAAACGGCTCCTATCTATCCCTGACTTTTGTCTATAAGCAATGCGACATAATAATATTATAAATAATCAATGTTTTGTTGTGATAAAGACAGCGTTGGCCAACGGGCATGAGAAATTATTTATTTCTATCTTTAATCTATTTTGATTTACGGTGGGACCTTTTAGGGATAGAAATTTCAGTGAAAATCCAAAATTTCTAATTTTGGGAATATTTAATATCTATTCTCTCAAAATTGACAAAGAGTTTTGCATTTTAACATAACATTTTTTTAAACGTATTCTTTAGTTTTTAATGTATTTGCAAAAAACTCTAAGTTTTGGACAGTTTTTTTTCATTCCACTGTTGAAAATATGACAGCTGCCATTTGGTACACGGGAAATGCAAGTTTTTAAAAAACACTGTTAAAATAAATATTGAATGAACAAAGGCTCTAGAAATTTTATCAAAATTGATTTGTTAGAAAAAAAGAGACGGAATTGAGTCTTTGTTACAAACTCTAATTTTCTAAACTCTTTTTCGATGTCGTAGACCTGAGATATTTCAAACTTAAAATTCTGTTAAAGATTAATTTTGGAAAATTTGGAATTTGGAAAACTAAATGTCCAGCTAAAAAATTGTCAAACTCTCGAACTCATTTTTAACAGTGAACAACATTGTAATTTTCTTGGAAATTTCGTGATATTAATATTCTTATCTATTATATCTATAGTAGGTTAGCTGGAACAAAACATTGAGCCTGCCTGCCTATCAAACTTATGTTTGTTTATAGTACATAAAATACACAAAGGAATTAAGCCTTTGCTCAAATTTTCGAATCCCTACATCTTTTCAACTTTATTGTGTAAATCTTTGATAATTCAAACTGAGTTTATTAGATCTAACCAAATTCAAAGTTTTAAATATCAGTGGTCCGACGGTCCGACCACGACATTGGGTAGCAAAGATATAGGGATTTTAAAATTACAGTTTGTGGCAAAGAATCAAATCCTTATATTTATAACATTTACATTAGTGGTTCGTCATTAAAACCTCTCTGGTTTTGATTTTTGCACACAAGAAAAGAAAAAAACTACAAAACCTTTTTATTCTCTTTAGTATCTCTACAATAAAAGTACTTATAACCGAGAACATAGAAATTTCATTGCAATTTACTCCAGTTTATCTAAATTGTTTGGTTTGGTCGACATTAAAAAAATTGCCGCAGAAAAAGGTTTAAAAATTGGAAAACCATCAATAAATTGTTTTAGTTTAATGATATGCGAAGAAAAACTGGTGTCAGAGTTCATAGGAATTAGCCACAATGAAAGCATAAATCTATTTCTGAAAAAGATTAAACTTCAAAGAGAACTCTCTCTAGCTAGACGGATTGTATTTATTATTCCTTACAGCTGCTTTGTAAAGAGTTACAGAGATCGATTGAAACCTATGATTTTTTCTTTACTTTTTGGTCTTTGGGTGGCGTTCAGAAAAAATTTTATTTTTCGCTCTATGAATTCCCGAATTGTTACGTCTGATCCGTCAATTTGAACTGTATATGAAAGGAGTTTAGCTTATATCGGGTTTTTATATCCTAAATCTTATTTTTGAAGAAAATCTATACTGTTATGCGTAGCTGATCGTTTGAACTCAGTCTGACGCACAACCCAAACCAAAAAACTCCATAAAGCAAGCCATTCCAGCATTCTTTAGTACCCCATACTACTTTTCGATTAATTTTGGATATAAAAACCCCCTTTGTTGTCGGAATCTTTATAACATTGTAAAAAAAAATATATTCGTGGAAGCCTGATTTTTCACTTTAGAAATATCAGCCTAGTATAACCGCCGTTCTTGAAAATATTTTGAAACTGTCAAAACACGCAGTTTTATCCTTTCATGTTCTGTTCTCTAGACGGACCTGACGTCACATCCGAAAATTCAATGCCGCGGAAAATTGTCAATATGCGATATTTTCACAGCATGTTCTATTGCGTACAAGTACTGTACACGACCAATCATCAAACATCTGTATTCCAGGGATATTTAAGGATCCTTTGAATAGGAAACACAAACTCAAAAAAAAGACTGAATTCATAAATATTATGTTTCATGTTTAAAATTGGAGTATTTCTTTAAAAGTTGTAAAATTTAACCCCTGAATGGGTATTATTTTCAACAAGTGGCCGTGGGATGGCACTCTAAAAACCTATCGTAAAAACGTAGCATTTCGTGCTGGGTCAATGAGCCCACCTTGTGAAAGGAGATAAGCCGTCTGTGTTGTGTAGTCTGTGAATGAAGTACACCAACGAAAGACTAAACTCAAGCACAAAAACGAAATTTAAACTTTAAGTCAGGTCGTGAATAAAGTCTCATGCTTTGTAGAAACCCCTTTTTTTGCATAAAAAAATATATATTATTTTGAATGTATTTGTACTTTTTAAGGGCCAAAATATCGTTGTTCTGATTTTACACCAAGAAGGTTATTATTTACAGTTTTTTCTTCAATTAGCTTAATTCCAAACTGTAGTTTTTTTCATTCGAAAGTTTATTGAATTTAATCTTGCAAAAAAAATTTGTTAAATGAAAAATTATGGAGTCACATCTGAATGCCATTTCTAGCTATTGTATCTTTTTAACCCTATTCCTTGGGGTAGTTTGACCCCCCTTGTAGTTTTTTTTACATAACTCAAAAAGTCTGAGGCTGTTGAAATTTTCTGACTTTTCCTAAATACCCATAGCCCTCCCTTTAGGCCTAAACCCGGGGTTTAATACTAACTGCATGAGGGATTCTATCCTGGTCTTCAAGTACCTCAGCAGGGATAGGGTTAATTAAACATATTTGAAATGGCATGGCCCCGGGCTTATCAAAATGTATATTCTATCATTTTTTGAACATTTTTGTTTGCAAACATTTTAAATTTCACTTGTGTCAGAAACCCTAAACTGGATTTTGCAAGAAAAATTTAAATTTTCGCAGATTTTAAATGTCGAGCATAAGAACTTTCATTTATTATTTATCATATTTGGACATCAAACATGGGATTAAGAGGGGGGTAAATTGTGGCCTTATCTAGAGCATTTTTTCTTTAAACAGTATAAAACAATACAAATAAATTCAAGGATATATCGAATTTTTTTCGTGGATTTTAAAAATTTTACGAAAGTCAAAACGTTTTGTAGACAAATTTTTGTAATTTGTAATGGGCCAGGTCACATGAGGTCCCAAAACAATTTTGGGCGCAATCAGTTCTGCCGTTTTGACGATTATTGGATTCAAACAAACAAACACCCACCCAGACAAAGTGCATATTTATATATATAAGTTTATTTTGTTCTGACAGTAATTTATTTAATTTTCAACCATTTTTATTATTTTTCTCATTGTGGCAAATTTGTTCACAAAACCACAGAAAAGGTTTTTTGTTAGTTGAAATTAAAAAAAACTGCCTCAATAGTTTTAAATTTTAAATTTCAATCAAAACATTTATTTTGAAAAATAATAATTATAAAACATTATAATTAATCCAATGATTAATTATAAAGATTACACAGAGAGATACATTAAGATGTTATTAGAAAAATTTGGGCTAATAAAAATTGTACATGTTTATGTCCTATAATCGTAAATTGTACAACCAGTATGCCTAGTTTTCAAAGTAATTTTGCTGTTTTTCGCAAAATTTTGCGATAATCTGTTTCGTGTAATAACCGAAAATGCAAAAATATGCAAAAAAAATTTTCTTTTTTGGAAAATTTTGCATTTTTTCGCGGAACAGATTAAGATTAAGAAAAATTTATCTCTAGGTGAGTATAAGCCTGGATTAAAAAGTTGAAAAGATCAAGAATACAATATCCAAAGAGTACTCCAACCCAGCCTCCAAACTCTGCAACAAACTCCCAGAACGTGTAGATGTACTCGCTCTTCAGAACCTGGATGCTTCGTGGTTTACGGATTATCAGAGATTTTTGTGCCTAATAAACCAAATAATGGCATATTAAGTAGTTAGATAGCAAAGTTATCAATAAAACAATGTTTTCTAACAAAGTTGTTAATCAGTTGCATTTTTGTATCATTGTAAATTGTAAGCACTCACAATAACATAAAAATGTAATTATTATACATAGAAAAGTCTAATTAAAAAAGAATGCTGAAGATTATCTAAAACAAAAAATTACCTTTTTTTCAGTGTGAAAGAGATCAACACTTAGAATGTCAGTTTTGCACGGATGAAGACATTTTCTTGCACCCTGCTGAAATTTATCAGAAATCTCTGCTAATTTATCTATGTAGAGTTTCACCAGCTTGGTGTTCTCATTTGGAAACTCTTCATAAAGATGGAAACAAAAGTCAGTATTGTCTTGTCCGGAGTTAACACTTTCTTCAACTGGTGGTAGTTTGCATTCCTTATAATTACCAGGGTTCCTAAAATTTGAAGATTAAGGATCGATTTTTTTTAGTTCTAAAAAACTCTTGACTCTTCTCTAATTCTGTAAATTATTTACTTTGCTTGTCTGTCTGTCTGTTATTCTGTCCATTTGTGTCCAACAAACATCAAAATGGACGAAATTATTGGGCCCAAATGTTGTGTGGGGCCTCACATGACCCCGGGGAAGGTTTAAGTAACATCAAAATTGGAAAAAAATTCCTAAAAAATAGTTGAAATTTTGTTTTTAAAGTGCACCAATTAGAAAAGAAAATTTGAAAATTATTTAACATGACCGACTTTTAGAGGAACAGTTAAAAGCTAAAATTATTTACAAGGAAGGGGGCACGAAGCTCCCTGAAAGCCTAGTCTACAAATGTACTTTGCTATGAAATGTATCCACTAAATGTCAAAACAGCCAAACCGATTGGACCATTAATTATTGGAAAATATCTAACAGTCAGAAAAAAGCATAAATTTCAAAGTCTTACTTCAAAAATGGGTAGATACATCCAAATGTATTATTAAACTCCTTAGCGATATACTCATCTCTGCATGAATCAAATTCTATTGAATTAGAGCAACTCTTTTCTTCTTCAATTTCTTGAATTTGTTTAGATTTCAACAATAGAATGTTGCTTTTAGCAAAATCAGTCTGCATTAGCTTCAGCTGTGTATTGGTTGTAATCATGCCAGGAGAATGTAAAAATATTACATCATCTGAATTTTCCCCACTTTTGTGAAAGATTTTTACTTCTCTTTTCTTAAAATTGATGCTTCTACATGTGTAAACCACTTTAGACTTTGCCTGCCAAGTATAAACATCAGATACATCTGTATCATATATCCATGGTTCATCTTCATGTTCCCTTGTATAAGCATAAAAGTAATTTTCCGTTGGAGTTATAACAGGCCATGAATCACATCGTGCACACATTGATATGGAAATATTAAGATTAGAGTCCACATCCATGTATTCCACACTAGTTCCTGTTAAACAACGCTGTAGCTTCAGTATAGAAGATCCTAGCTGCCATACCATAGCAAGAGATATCCCTCCAAGAATGACAAGAAACACAATTTTGCCTGATTTTTGCCTTTTTACCTTGCTTATGTTCTTAAAGGCAAACCCCAAACCTAAAACACTAATACAAGATTAATTAAGGCCAGATCAAAATTGCATAGCATAAAGATAGGGGAGTAAAGGCCAAACTCTGTGTCAAACCTGGCCTGCATGGTACGGTTTCGGTTTGCCATATTAAAGGTTGTCCGCAAGCTTGTGTCTGGGGCATTACATGTCAGTCTAAGCAGTTCCTGCTCAAGCTTAAGTAAATGGAACTTGATCTAACAATAAATATAACTAGCCATTCCTATCCAGGGTACAAGCATTTATCTGGGAGTTGCATTAACTGTACTATGTCTTTTTATAATTGTAAACCATGCTTGGTTCATGAAAGCTATCAGGTGTTTCAAAATTCATAATCTATCGTCATTCTCTACCTACTTTTTTACAGGATTTAAATTATTTGATTTCCAAAAATTGACAACATTATCATTTAAACTTTAACTTAAATTCACTCCATAAGTATTTTCATGTACTTCAGTATATACTTTGTTTTGGTTCCAAATGATGAAATGTTTGTATTGCATGTTAGATACCTGTAACCTAGAAGCAGTCCTGTCCAGCCACCTACTTCACTCACAAAAGCAATGAATCCATAAGAAAAGGAAGCCTTGAAAATTTAAATATTGATTTCATAAATTTTCTATTTTGGAGTTCCAGTAAAAGCTTAGAAAATAGAGTACTATGTACCTTATTAACAATTGTGGAAATAGGAAATTCCAAATCAAAGAAGATAGGGGAGTAAAGGCCGAACTCTGTGTCAAACCCGGCCTGCATGGTACGGTTTCGGTTTGCCATAGTAAAGGTTGTCTGCAAGCTTGTGTCTGGGGCATTACATGTCAGTCTTAGCAGTTCCTGCTCAAGCTTATTAGAGTGATTTCTAAATACTGATTCTTCAATTCCAATCGTCATTGTTTCATTCACTGTAATTCTTAACACCTTTTTAAAATTTGAGTACTGTAAATTTTTTATCAAGTTGTTTAAGATGCAGTCATCATATGTGTAGAGTCTGTTGTATCCATCATCAACAATATTGTGTTGGTCCAAAATTTCAAGGTTTAAACCAGTTTTTAAATAAACCACTTGTCCGTAACTGAGTTCATCATCATAACTAAAGAACTATCTGCTATTTGGTGTTTTAATGAGTTATTGAGTAATAATCTTCAAAATATCTCTATAAGTTTTAGTATGTAAGCAGAAAGTCAATCTTTCAATTTTAATTGTTCTTGCAATTTATTCATTTGGAAAAAGAATAAGTTACCTTGCAATATCAACAGTAGTATCTTTAATGAAAGTAAACCCCTGACTTCTAGACCTTAGAAGTTGACCAGCTAAGTGCACATACACAATCAGTGCTTTGTTGGCTCGAACTTTTACTGTCTTGATATTTTTCCAATTTGATAAGTTAAGTGTATGACAAGTCTCAATGTAAGTCCCGTATTTTGGGGTATTGATTGTGCAGGGAATATAACTGGAACTTGTACTAAACCTTGAATCAAAAATATCCACAGTTGACTCATCTCCCAGTGTCAGTTCAATCCCATCTATTTTTTCGCTGAGCTTTGTGATGTCATTCCAAAAGCTTGACAAATTTCCAAGATAGGTAAAATTTGTGTCTTGCGATAATGCTATACTATACACATTCTCCAAAGAACAAAACGAAACACCAATATCCGGAAGATTTTCCTCAATGTTCACATCCAAATTCGTTGGTTTTACTATCATTTTGCGAGAACAAGACACAAGTATGCCCAATACACCTGCTGTACAAACTAGTTGAAGAAATGTGAAACATCTTGAGATAACCTTTTCAAACAGTTTTTTAGTAATACAATCTTTCAAGTTGACAAATAGACCAAGAAGAGAAATTCCCAAAAATAGCCCAACCCATCCACCAAACTCAGCAATGAATGATATTGCAGAGTAACTTTCTTGCATCTCGGATTTGAGAATTGAAGCTGGAATGCTCATGTAATACCCCGGGATAACATCTTTTAATCTCAATCTTGGCATCAGCAAGAAGGAAAACCAATTTATTGGATTATTACTTATTTCTACTTTGACCTGGATGCAGGGTGGTACACATTTATGATAACTTGTTTGAAAAATGTTCAAAGACAGTTGATTGTTTCCAGAGACATTACAGACTGCACTACTCTGAATTTGATTCCAAAATGGGAACACACACTTATCTTGATGACGTTGATAGATCATACTTTCTACACAAGAATCAAAGGTTTCTGACAATTCTGAACATTTTGTTGCACTTGTAGAAATACGTTTGTGGACATCAATTTGAAGACTAGCTTCAACTATATGGTCAACATGATGTATCTTAGTGAGTGAATTTCTCATTTCTGTCATTAAATTTCCTCTTTTGTGCACATACATATACAATTGCTCTAGATTATAAAATTACTTCAGAGGCTTACTTTAAAGTATTGAGCCACGGCTTAAATTTGAGACCCAGCTCAAATACATGGTTGGTTCCACTTAAAATTGTATTCACTTTTTTAAGATTTAAGCCAGCGCTCAATTGAAAGCAGTATTTGGCGGATTTAAGACGCTGCTCATATTTATTAAATTTGTATACAGATTATATAATTTTCTATAAACTAAAAACCTACTACCTGCATTTTTAGTGGGATTAATTCTAAGTCTATAAAAGTTTGACACATCTTGATTCCAAGTAAAACAAAGCAAAGTATCATCCCCAACATACGGATACATTTTCATGCTTAAATTATTATTGGACTTAAATCATAAAACTTTTGTTTGTGTCATGTCTAATCTCAGAAACATTTTTAAAACATGTGAAGTTGTTCCTATTCATGTAATTAAACCAGTAGAAAAGGTGTCTTTCATTCCTTTTGCACAAATTGTCAGTTGAAATATGGATGTGCAGAAGAACAGAGTTAAACAGCCATATAAACAGAGGTAACAAATGACCCTATCAATATTTTTAAATCATGTTCACGCTAAAAGAATAGTTGGGGGAAGGAGGATTCATGGCTGCCTCCTGAAATTTCCTGATCCAAAACCAGAATAAGCTTTTCCAGAACAGTATTGGATTATATCTTTTTTGTACATGATATTAGTAAACTGTACAGTGTTATGATCCTGCATTAAATGATCGTTCTTCCTACTATAGCTAACAGATATATATACATAAGTTTGATCCTAATCAGATTCTATTTTACCTGAACCCTGATTCAAATGATGAATTCTCAATCTGTGAAATCCATGAAGAACCCTCTAATTGTATCCCATCAAATCCTTCCAGAAGTTCTGAAATATTCCAGAACCTACCGGACTGAACTAGAAAGGATTCAAGAGAGGTTGCATTAAATGGTTCAGCAGTTTTACAAGTATTCTCCTAAAAAAAAAGTTTGTTTTTGCTAATTAATTCTTTATTTGCTTATGTCTGAGTTTTTTTGTGAAATACCTTGTGTACATTTGGGCAGGGCAAGCTAACATTTGGTCCTTAGGTAAACAATAATCAGTCAAAGTCGATTGTATGTATAACCTTTTCATACTTTATATTTAACACTTAAAGTCATTCTTTATTTGTTTATTTTTTTCATTTCTTTACACTGTAAATTGTACAAGCATTATTTAGTTTTTTATTCAATTTTGATGGAATTTATCACACCTAATATTTCCCGTTGTAGGGTGATTAAGTGACTTTATCGCTCTACAACAGTGCGAAAAAGTAACTTTTTCACCCTGCCATTAAATTTTATAACTAATTTGTCTCATTGTAGGGTAATAAAGTTACGTAATCACCCTACAACAGGGTGATTAAGTAACTTTATCGCCTTATAACAGGGCGAAAAAGTAACTTTTTCACCCTGCTATTAAATTTTATACCTAATTTGTCTCATTGTAGGGTGATAAAGTTACTTAATCAAGGGTTCAAGGGTTAGGATCAAACATCCAAACCGACAGACCAACCGAGATCACTGATTTATATAAATCTAGGAGTTTTAAGCAATATTTAGATTTACATAAAAATTTAATTAACTACCCCCGCCCCCCCCCCCTCATAAAATACATTTAGACATTTTTACGATGATTAGATAAAAACTCCACCTACCCAGTGATTCTTCTAATTCTGACTTTATATTCAATTTCTTGCAGATAGAAAGCTTTAGGTCTGGTGCAGCTTCTAAACATAAATATTATACAGGTTGTCCCACGGAACATGACAGTAGAAAGTATTTGAGACATTCAGTCGTCAACCTTCTATCACTTGCATGATTCTTAAAACAATAACAACAACGGGATTTTCAAAATGTGGTCTGTCTTTTTTGTACTTTTATTAAAACCAATGATATTGATAATTGCGTTCAGATTTCAATTTTTTAAATAAAACCAAAATTGTTGAAATATGATTAAAATTGAACACATCTAACATATTGAGAGCACAAAAAAGGCAGACCACATTTTTGAATTTCCAAGACAAGGGGTATTTTGTGACTAATCATATACAAATGTCCCCTCTGGCCGGCCAAACTACAAAACCGAATGGGCTGAATTTTTTTGTGGACACTCATGGGTAGCCTGGGGATGTTATAGGCTAAAATATATTTTTTTTCAAAATATTTTTTTTCACGGGCAACGCCGGACCAGGCCCTACAGCTAGTTTAGTTATAAGGACGTACAAGTAATTATGGATTCTACGTAATGTTTTGCATTTGCAGGAAATGCATGTGCAAATTGCTTGAGGCACATATTAAATATAAACACACCATAAAATAGATATCATATGCAGTGGCAGTGTGTCCAAATAAACTTGAGTATTGGATGAGGATATTTAAATCATCTGTGGTGTTTTTCAAAAGCCAAATGTTGCCACAAAATCAAATTTGCTGAACCTTATATCCTTGCAACCTGGTGGTGTAAACCTTTTTTATTTTAAATGAAGATTATTTGATCTAAAAGAATTAATTGTCTAAAAAATTTAGGTTCTGAGACCTTCGGTTCCATAGATATAGTTATTGAAAATCAGAGTTTGTGACAAAGAATCAATTCCTTAAGTAAAAACGAAGATTGTTCATTTCCTCAGCTGTCTTTTTACTAGAGAAAGGCATCATTTAGTGAGTGGGAAAAAAAACATTTAAATACGAACAAAATTTCAACGAATTTTTTTTTTATGAACGCTGGTGTCATTTAGAAAAATTAGGGAACGATGAACAAACAAATTGTAATGTTCACAGAAATGATAAATAATCGTTTTTCTAAACGAACGGTTTAAAATTGTAAACGAGCCTTTGCATTTTATTTCAGTCAGACGATGAACAAACAATTAAAAAACTTGTTGTAGACTTTTTTCGGAAACACAGCCTAACATGATCTAATTTATCCCTGGTCTATCTTAGCTTTTTACCGAATGAACGATTTTAATTAACAAACGATATTACTGAACAAACAATGTCTCTGATCAAACGTTCTGTTAAAAAGCGAACAAAATAGAACGAAAATAAACAATGGTTCAGCTAAAGAAACAATTAAAAATCTTACTGAATGACTGACAAAAAGCGAACAAAATGGGTCAAATGATTGAATCAAAAAAAAAGAATGTGCCCATCTCTAATTTTTATCATAAATTTTGTCCATACTTAATGTTGCAATTATTAAATTGAAACGGACTTATCTATCTCCCGGAATGTAGTTGAGACAAATATAATAGATGTTTTTAAATAATTCTTGTTGAAAAGCGTAATAGTTCTGGTATGGGAAGTGCAAGTAGAAATGGGTATTTTTGAGAACGAACAACATTTTTGAGAACGTTCGTGTCGTTCTTTAAAAATAAACGAAAACAAGTATTTAAAGATTTTAAGTTGTTTGAACGAACTTTCAAAAGAGTGTGAAAAAACAAGAGTTTTTTTTACTGAGCGAACAAATTTATTTACCGAACAGTTTACTGAACGAACGATTTTACTAAACAAAATTTTTTACTGAATTAACGATTTTACTAAACAAACAATTTTACTGAACGAACGATTTTACTGGACTAACGATTTTACTTAACGATTGGTAATTGATAAAACAAACGAAATAGTTGTAAAATGTACAATCATTTTGAGAGCAAACAATAATTTTTTAAACGATTGAAAAAAAAACCGAAATAAGTCGTTCATGATGAATGAACGAAATGAAAAAAGCTGAACGTGTGCGTCGCTAATGTAAAGAAGTTTTAATGAAAAAATTACCTTGCAGTGGGATTTCATTCATCTGAGTTGACATTGGTGTTCCAGCAAACTTGCACGCTGTGTTGTATCCTTGCTTAAGAGTTATCCCTACACAGACAGCAGTAAACACCATCTTTACAATACATCTTTTCTTAGTTCTTTTTCAATCTATATACAGGGTGTCCCGCGAAACATTGCATCAATTTTAATACAATATTACTGCAACCATATAATATCTTTTATTTTTCATTACAGCCATTTTGAAATTAATTTTAATACAATATTACTGCAACCATATAATATCTTTTATTTTTCTCTTTGTTATCTAACAACTTAACAAATTATGGAAGAAGACATTTTAAACTTTTCACCAACTGTCATGTTTCGTGGGACACCCTGTATTGATAAAGCTCTTTCGTGGGATACCCTGTATTGTATATGATGATTCGATGCTTATATTTTTTAAGTTTATTATAGCTAGAATTGTTTTTGTGAACAAACAACATTTTCAGAGCATACAAAAATGTTCCTGAACGATGGTGTCGTTTAAAAAACGAACAACTTGGATCGTTCAGAAGTCTTTGAAACAAACTTGAAAGAACTATAGTTTTTTTACTGAACGACCAAATTTTTGGAAGAAAATATTTTAAAAGATAGGTCTTTTACTGAACAAACCATTTTTTCACAACAAACTTTTGAGAAGCAATCTATTTTATTGAACAAACGATTTTACTGCACGGATGATTTACTGAACGATCGTTCACTGAGCAAACGAACGAAATAGATGGAAAATAAACAATATTTTTAAGAATGGCACATTCGGCAGGACCAAATTAACCTATTTTATTTGGAACCCCATGGGTACCCTGGGGGTGACATAGGCTAAAGAAGTGTTTTTGGGTCGTTATTTTTAAAGGGTTAGGAATCAAATCCAAAACTTTTGAGGCTGAAATGTGAAGGCTAGGTTTAAAAATAAATGATTATGCTGAAACACAATAAAGATGGTTTGCCTTAAGTGTTCGTTTAAACTCAATAATCATTTTGAAAATTCTATATATCCTCTTTATACAAAATTCTATATATCCTCTTTATACAAAATTCTATATATCCTCTTTATACAAAATTCTATATATCCTCTTTATACAAAATTCTATATATCCTCTTTTTACAAAAGTTTTCACATTATTGAACTTAAACTTTCAAATGTGTATTCGTTTGTATTGTTAGTAACTAGGTGGGAATATTTAAACAGTCACCAAACCATAAATTTCTATTTACTTTGTTTAAGAAAACTTTACAATATATTGTAGAATAATGACATATTTAAACCACTCCTTTTCATCATATTTATACAGGACAACATAACCATCTAAAAACAAATTATTTCTATATAATGTTTTTTTTTTTGTCAGCATAGTTTTACTGAAATCTAAGTATTCCTACTTCTTTCGCACTAATTAGAATATGTATTTATACTTTAAATGGGATGTTGTAACTTCAAGTACCCTCTATGCAGAGATGTCAATGCCCGATTCACAACGGGGCCACCAAAAGTTTTGTCTGATTAAATTTTTAAAATTATAAATCAATCTTTATAGTTTGGAATTTTATTATTTCCTATTGTGAGGTCTCAAAAAAGTGATTAAGCGCTTTTCAATGCAGTGATAACCAGAAAACAATGGAATAGGCAAACGACATTATACAAATACTTAGATGTATTTGATGTGTAACAAAGCAAAAGTTTTACTTTATTTATAAAATCAATAATTTAAAATAACAAAAACATACGAAATTAAGTGTTTAAGGAGAAAATATTTGAAAACCTACAAAAATAGAGGTTGTGGGAATATTTACCCCCAAATCTAAAAAAAAATATAAAAAATAGAAATAAAAGGAATAGGAAAGGAGATAGAAAGTTACATGTTTATTGTTTACACTATATTTAATATAAACTTACAGTTGTAACAACAGTGGCAGACGATAATATCATTAAAGTGAAGACGACTTTCGATTTTCATTTTAATTTATATCAAACTGTTTAACAGTATGGATAGTGGATACACATAAACATACAAGTTAAGAGAAGCTGTCTATTTAAAAAGCTTCTCTTTGATTAATTGTAAACTTTTAATTCAAAAAAAAACCTTGTTAACATTCAAACTATAATAAAAGTCGTCTTCATTGTATTGATATAATCGCTTACCAGACAGTAACAGACTCCTCTTACATATTTACTGTTTGGTATTTATGTAAACGTGTAAGCTGTATATGAAGGGCCAAAAAAAAGTATAGTATGCGACATTAATTGTACGACTTTGTGACGTCGTAGTTCCAATTGTTTTTACTTAACGCATAAAGATGAGAACAGTAAAAATTTTTTCGGAAATTACAATTGTATTGCAGGGGAATTTAAAGTTTTTAAAAGATACTTAAAATGACCTTGAAACTGTGCAGCCCACCATAAATTCTCCATCACATACTCCATCAAAAATGTTAACAACTAGGCCGACTTTAAAGTGTCGCAACTCCTTGTCATTGATTTTACCTCCCTAACTCAGGAAGCTCTCATGTATTCATTTTCATTCATGTATTCATTTTTACGTGAGAGCTTGAAACCTTTGGGATCATTGTGCCCATGGGAGGTCCCTCAATTTGTCATCTTTTTTATAGATATATTGAAGCAAGTAAAATATCATATTGAGGCGATTAAAAAAAAGATTGTTTTGTATTTTGTTTATAGAAATATCGTTTCCTGATTATTAACCCTATAAAGACTGGGGGGTCTGAATCTATGTATAGCCGGGGGAAGCGTTTGGTGCCCCCCCCCCTAGAAAAAGGCCTTTGAGAATAGGTATAGGGTTGAAATGCATGTTCCTATACCAATTTTTCAAGGCCAGCTCAAAGAAAAAAAATTAGACCGATAACTTTAATAGTTCGGGTGCTAGGGAGGGTTGAAAAAATGCCTAAAAAAGGGTAAAAAAATAAGAGAAAAAAAAATTTGTTTTAAAAAATATCAAAGTGTGTGGCTTTTCAAAAATATAGGGTTTCCAGATATGTAACTTTAGTCACAAAAAAGTTATGGGCTATTTTAGATTTTTTTTTCACTGACCGGACTTTTTTCTGCTCTCTGTACCCTACCCTATAAATTAAAAAAAATATTTTTTACCAAAAAATCCTTCGAAGTACTATTCATCAGAAGTCACAAAATGTCACGGTCATGCAAAGTGTCAAAAATGAGAGTGTTAGGACAAAAAAAAACTACGGAGGGGCACCAAACGCCCCCCCCCCCCATCCTGTTTAGGGTTAAAGGGACTGTATGTGTAAATTAAAATGACACTCCATGCCATGGCAATGTTCGGTTCAAAAGGATACTTTTTAAACCTTTATCTGATAAATAATTAGGAAAATATTGTCGTTTTTTTCTAGGTTAAAAGAGGTTATTTGTAATAATTCCTTTATGCTTTTATGTCGTAGAAACCAAAAATAATAATTACTTTTCAAGGTTATAAACTTCTATATCAAATTCATACTTGATCAAACAAAGCTATAAAACTAGGTTACTACCGTTATTAATCAGACATCTTTGTATGAAGGGCCACTTGCCATTACGCATACAGTCCCCTTAATTAATAATTATCCATTAAAGGTCATGTGTTTGTTTCCATAGTAACAGTCATGTCAACAGTTAGACAGTTAGAAACTTTAGTTAATCCAAGGTTATAATGCAAGGAAAGTTAATTGCAGTTGCGTATACTCTGCGTACATATTAAAACCAGTTCTCTCTGGGCGGAATTTGTAAATAAGAATTGATGCATCAGTGTTCGTTTAGTATCCAAGGAGGTTAAAAGGATTAAATTTTGATAAATAATTCACACAATAGTTTCCTATAACCAGACTATTTCATTGTTTTTATATATGAAAGATTGATCCCATGTCAGGCTTCGACATCCATCTTGTGTTTACATTACCGCCAAGAGACAGTACACTGCAGTACAAAAGATGCATACACCTCTGAAATAACTTTCCTTGCATTATAACCTTGAGTTAATCATTCTGAAGTGAATTTTGTACTTGTACGTATTTTACTCGACTTTTACGAACCATAAACATGTAGTTCAGAGATAGTTTTGCATCCTTAGAGCCAATTTTAAGATACTAGGCTTTCAGGGCGCTTAGCATTATCTTTTTGTATACATTGTAAAACAATAAAAAAAATGTTAGCGGATTTTACAAATAATTCATGGATTTTCAAAATTTTATGAAAATCGAATTTTGTTGGAGGAAAATTTTGTAAATTTTAATTATCCATAAACCTTCCCTGGGGTCATGTGAGGTCCCACCTCAGAATATATATACTATAGAATAACATGTGGCACCTGTATTGGTATGACATTGTGAAGATGAAAAGTTAAAAAAAAACGTGGAGTAACTTCACAGGAAGGCCAGGTTTCTGGACTCCGGGAAAATTTAGTGTTGTCTGTGCGAAACATTTTGACAACAAATACGCTTCCGGACGAAAGTTAATTTACAACGGTGTTCCCAGTCTCCATCCTCCCCACCATCCACATCAACAGGAACAGCTAGATAATGGAGAGGGTGAGTCTTGTAGAATACCCCAATTATTTCCATTTTGTTTTGGTTTTCTGTTTCACATTTTGTAAAGAATCAAACTATCGGAAACAGTTTTGAAAATACATGTTTGATTAATTGAAGTAAAGATAAAAAGATAACAAGAAAAGTGAATCTACAAAATCCCCCCTAAGATTACTGAACATCTGGACATTTATGTATTGTACTGCATAACCCCCACAGTCCAACACTTCCCAAACCAAATGCTGCCACCTATATTATATATATTCTGAGGGTCCCACACAAGGTTTGGGCCCGTTTTGACGTTTATTTGATACACACAAACACCTAGACAAGCAAAGTATAGACCGAACATTCTTCCGAACAATATTCAAGGATTTAATATTTTTTTGTAAAAATATAAAATATGTATATATGCCAAGTCCTAACTCAATATTTTACAGATATATTAATTAATTATTAACGAAAACATTTCATCAAGAGAGTCAATGAATAGAAGAACTTGAAATTTTTAAAATTGAATACAATTTAGGGTTAATTTATAATTCAATAAAAATACCTATGACTAAAATAAATATTAAAAAATGCAATTGAGCTTAATCACATTGATCAAATATTATGGTTCTTAAATAGAGGGTAAACCTTTTTAAAAACATAGTCTTTAGTAAAAAATTCTAACAAAATGCACTTTTTGCAGCATACATAAGTTTTTTGTTATTAAATTTTTTTTGAATTATTTTGGTTTCAAATCATTCTTTTTGTTTCAATTTCGAATCCGACGTAGTACGTACCAATTTATAAATGGAGTAGGACTTGAAATTATAGTGGATACACTTTGGGAACATTGAAAAGTGACATAACATTAAAAGCTGTAAAAAGGTTGATTATACTCATAGAGAATAGAATATATATTAGAGTGGAGTTTACTAGAAAAAAATGTGTTAAACGGCCATTTTGTTGTACTGTTTCCATACTGCAGGTGTACTTCACATATTTGCGCTATATAACCTTTTGGGCCCTGGAGCATCATTTTATAAAAATCTAAAATTAATATTAAAAGAAAACCAAATTATGAAATAGGCTGGTTTCATAATTGACCAATGATCATTTCACATAAACTCTATGCCTTTCACTTTACAAACGATGATTTTTCGTTATAACTAATTCATTTTATAAAGTTAATTTAACAGCTTGAAAAATTCGAAATTGAAATGGATAGTCTAGGGAACATACTGTTTTAATGTACTCTACTGCATATAATTTGTGAACATTTACATGATTTGTACACTTTGAACTCCCTTTCAGGCTGAAAGGGACTGACAAAATTCATATCGAGGGATTTTCTAAATTCTACTCTAATATATATTCTATTCTCTTTGATTATACTCTATATACCCCACCCCCACCCCTCCCACATCACCCATCCTGCTTGAAGGGTTAGCCCGTAAATCTCCAGTCCTATCTAAATGTCTTTTCTGTGAAATCTGATGAAATAAAATGCCAAGATGGCCGCGGATGACAATAGGGTTTAAAAATAGTTTTCTCAAGGGCTCTGTTGAGAGTTTTAATGGATCCGTTATTAAATTTTTTTTCTTTTTCTTTCTAAATAAAGAATTTTTGATTTTCTTATTTTAAGAATATGTTTCACAGATTTTGATGACTTGAAAATTTAAAAAAACATTTTGTGAACATTTAGATTGATCGGAGCGTTGCATCAGGGGTTAATCATTTTCAGTTTTTCCTAAATTTTTCAAACTTTCTTTTTGATCGAGTTCGAAAGTCACACTTAAATATTGAATTAAAATTTTAGAAATTACAAAACCAGCCTTGTTATTTCGTAGCTACTTTAGTTTTGATTTTATGCAGTTTATTTTATTACGGAACCGTCAAGTAAAACAAGATTACGGAACCGTCAAGTATGACAAGATTACGGAACCGTCAAGTATGACAAGATTACGGAACCATCATAAAGTTCTCTGAAAAAACGTTTTCGAAAAGAAAGTCCTAAATTTTAGCACTTAAAAAGTCCGGTTGAAAAAAGTTCTAGAAATAAAAAGTCCTAGAAATAAAAGTCTCTGAGACTTTATTTCTAGGACTTTTTTTCGGGTTTCAGTATGATTTTATACAAAAACATCCCTGTTTGGTAAAAAAAATGTAAAAGGATGTTTTGAACCATGAAAAAAAGTGGCTTGATATTAAAAAACACCCCGGGCAATATTCAATATGCAGATTTATAGAAGAAAAGTCTTTTTTATGAAAAAGGCTTTTTTTTTCTTCGGATATATTTTCTTTAGAGTCCAAAACTAAACAACGAAAAATTCTTAAATTTTAAGTTTCAACTTAAATGCCACTCCTGACTTAATTTAAACCTGAATTTTAACTCTAGAGTTAAATATTTAACTCGACGAAATCGACGAGTTAATATTTAAACCCAGGATTCCCGTCTTGAAATCGACGAGTTAATATTTAAACCCAGGATTCCCGTATTGAAATCGACAAGTTAATATTTAAACCCAGGATTCCCGTCTTGAAATCGACGAGTTAATATTTAAACCCAGGATTCCCGTCTTGAAATCCCCCATTTTCCCAATTTGTCCACCAATCAATCATCATTCAGCAGGGGCGTACGAGAGCATTTCTGTAGGGGGGGGGGGGCACATTTTTACGCGGAGCGTACAAAAAATTTTTTTGTGCCCCCTCCCCCCTCGTCAACATTGTGCTCCCCCCTTAAAAACCCCTTTTTTGAAAAAATATTGATACTTTTAACCATTCGATCATATACACACTTCCATATTACAAGTGTTAAAATTATTTATGTAATTATGTAATTTATGAACTCATCAGACAATCCCTTTTAATACTGTGGTGTGAGCTTCAAGGAATGAAAAATATAGATGGAAACGTTTCTAAAAAACTATCTATATTTTCATAGAATCGATACATATTGTTTTATAAATTATGATTTCAAATATATATTTACACTGAAGCCAGTATTGTTTAACGCTTTTTTATGAAACTCTTTTAGTTAAGGGCAAAAGTGAGATTTAAAAGTATTTTTTTTTATATGATGTAATTATACTTAAATGGAATACATGCATAATTTCAAGTGACCCTCCTTTATATAGTGGCAGTGATGTACCTTTGAAACCTTCATTTCTCCATCGTTTCTGAAGCAAGAAATGCACAAGTCACTTTTGTAGAGAAACCACAAATAAAAATAATCAGTTTTTAAAATGGGAAACATGGGTATTTAATAAAATACTTGATCAGACATAGCTTTGAACGGTATTGACGTGAATCAGAATATATTTTATTTCTTTTCTTAATCTTTTAGTTCGGGTGAGTGCAATATAGAATGTAGATTGCCGGAGGAAGGGAAATGCAAGCAGATGTAATATGAAAAGAGCCCCCCCCAAGGGTGCCCCCCCTCGTACGCCCCTGGAAAACGGCATTTAATTTTACAATATCTTAAAAAGTGAAAACATTGATTGAATAGATTTCATGATTTAGATTAATTAATGTTTCAAAGGAAGAAGCAATCATTGAGTCAGTTTTGAATCATCAAATAAATCTCATGAACTAAAAATATATTTTTAAAAATGTAGAAATCTTGATTTTTTTCTTCTTCTGAGGTTTGTGTTGAAACAACAAGTTATTAATCATATACCCGTCTCACGTTAAACTAAAGTAAACTGCACGTTAGATTGAACTCTTACATGTTTTCAATCATATACTCGTCTCACGTTAAACTAAAGTAAACTGCACGTTAAATTGTACTCCTACATGTTTTCAATCATATACCCGGCTCACGTTAAATTAAGGTAAACTGCACGTTAGATTGAACTCTTACATGTTTTCAAACATATACCCGTCTCACATTAAACTAAAGTAAACTACACGTTAGATTGAACTCTTACATGTTTTCAATCATATACTAGTCTCACGTTAAACTAAGGTAAACTGCACATTAGATTCAACTCTTATATGCTTTCAATCATATCTCCGTTTACTGAAGAGTTATTGAGAAGAACAAAAAATGTTTTGAATTTCTAATTTGCCTTTCTCATCCTTGAACGTGAAGTTAAAACTCAAAAGTCTGAAAAAGATGAAAAAAGTGCTACTGCAGTACAAAACTCAAAGTACCACAAAAATATTTTTGTTTGCAAAAAGGTTAATCAACTAAATGAACAAAATAGATTTAAATCAACTAAAATATTTTTCTCTCTGTTATAGACAAATGTGAAAAAATGTGCCTTTTACAAATAGAGCTAAATACAATTGATCCTGTTCCTTCCTTTTAAAGATTCCCTGCTGTGTGTAAGAAGATCAGTATTTACATAAAGTCTGGTCAGTATATTCTTCAGTTGGATTCTGACCTTCATCCTGCGTTCACCTATCTCCTTCTCAACCCCTGATCCAGGTTTGAAGATTTCAACGCCTGATCCGGCAATATTGAGCTTGGAAATCCCTATATACACATGTAGACAGATACAGGTTTCATCGGTCCATTCATCCTTATATTCACTTCCGTATTCCGAGGAATGTTTGTTCATAACTCTGCGGTGGCATCATTAAGATCAGTCGTAATTTTCAGATCATAGAGACAATACTCGTTCAAAATACTAATTATGGGCCATAGATATGGCTTTGTTTACTTACATTACAACTGAAAATTTTGTGTTAAAATCACAATTCTTTTGCACAAATTAGATTAAAAATGTCTCAGTAATAGCTATGATTCCCAATCTCATGCATCTTACCTTTTAATTCAATATAAAGATATAATTCTTGTAGATATACATGACTAACCACTATAAATCCTACTGCTATAAAACATGTTCATTTTTAACAAAAAAAAACACACATTTGTTTTTAGTGTCAGTTTAAGGAAGCAAATGACAAAACTATTGCAACTTTCGAATCATCTGTGTAACACGATCTTATAAACTGTTGACAAAATAAAATTTTAGTCTCTATTTACTTACAGTCGCTTACATGTTATTTGAGCATTCATACCCACAGTTTAAAAAATTCAATTTTTTACATTTTTAAAAATATTTTTTTTTAGAATGAAGTCAGTTGTTCTCTCACTTGCACTCTGTTCCTGCATTCTAGCAATTGAGGTAAAACATAGCAAAGTATATATTTTCAAAAATGTTCATGTTCTTTGATTAAACCGAAAATTTGAACTTGATTAACCTCGCGGATAGTGTTGTTAAACTTCCAAGACTTCCTAACTGTTAGAAGTTAAGATTTGATTTTAGAAAACTTTAATATTTGTTTCCAAAAAAATTATCGCTTTTTGCAAAATGTAAGAAAAACAAAGAATTCCTGTTATTGGCCCCTGACAGAAAATAAAGACAAAATACGATCCAAATCTAACCAACGAAATACATATTACTATTTATACATTATTTTACAGACATCTAAATACTTATAAATAAAAAATAATTAAGCCAAAATTCGGCCGAAAAAATTCAAAAGGACGTCTTCAAATATAAAATAGGAATTTACTTTTAAGGCAAATGTAGATCTAGTAAAAATGTTCTCATTTCTCATTACAGTTCAAGAAAAATATGATTTGGTATTAAGTCACAAAAATGCAGCATTTTGGTTCGATTTTAAAGCAGTGACATTCTATGTTTGATTAATTTTTCAAAAATGATTTTTTGGGTTTCATAGCAAATAAAATTATTTAGATATTACAAGAAAAACAAATGCTTCAACTAATTTATATTATAAAATTTTAATTGTAAGAAAAAGAGTTTTAGAAATATAATGTTTTGAATTTCCAGGCACAGAGAGACCCATTGCCTGGGACTTACAGGATGGTCTCATCTGATAGGGTTTGTATCTTTTTGTATCAACATAAAGTGCTTAATTGACCCCCAATTAAGATTTTAGAAATTGATTAAATTTGATGAAAATGTCAAAAAAAAATGTTCTAAACTAGAAAATTTCTTGTCGTTATTCCAATTTTATAACTTTTATACATAGAATAATTTTAAGTAAATAAATCGTTTTTTTCCAGGGCCGGAATTTTATATACAAAGCGTCTCTAATGATATTGGATTATGTCCAAGCTTTTACGCGAACTTATTTTAAAATTTCTTAAAAATCTCAAGCTATGCTCTATCCAATATGATGGGCATTTGCCATTTTCTGTTGTGCGCAAATGCCCCGTAAAATTCCAAAACAGAGAGAGGGGGATTGAATTTTGTAGATAATAACATCTGTGGGATGCATTCGTAGAGACTGGCAGCTGGTGTGGCCGCAGAGTTAGGCCCAGAAAGTGTCAGAACTTAACCTAACCCGTGGCCGCAGCGCTCGGCCCCCTAGCCTGTCCTAGCCGCAGCGCTCGGCCCAGAAAGTGTCTTAACATAACCTAACCCTAAATAAATACTAATTTAATTATTTTTCTGGATCTACAAAATTCAATCCCCTCTCTCTGTTTTGGAATTTTACTTGGCATTTGCGCACAAAAGAAAATGGCAAACCCCAATATGATGTGGGACACTCCAATTGCATGTCTCTAAGGGGTGGGGGAGGAGGGGCAAATTAATGTTTTTATATGTTTTAAGTTCGACTTTTTGTTTAGTTTGATGACTATCTGCAAGCTCTGGGTGTGAACGGATTAGTGCGTAGTATAGCTGCAGGAATAGTTCCAACTAATGTTATTGAGATTGATTCTTCAGGGAGATATACTGTTAGGTAATAAATATGTTTGGTCGGCGTTTCCATCAATACCATGAAGACGACGTTTATTTTTCAATTTACAAGTTTAAAAGTAAACATTGAAATAATCTTTGCTAATTTACAGCTTCCCTTTTTTCCATTTTTTTAAGGCTTGCTTTTATAAATCATAATTCAAATAGAAAGTCGTCTTCATTGTATCGATATATATGACGATGACTGAATATATAATAAAGTAGTTATTTCTGTTTGTCTGTTTGTACATCCGATCATAATTTGAAAACCATTGACTGATTTGCTTTTTAAATCGTTAGAACCACGGAAATGTCCTTGGCTTGGTATAAAAAATCCTAAATTGAGTGGGATGACTTGAATAGAGAAACTTTTGTTTCCAGGCAAAGTCAGGTTCCCAACTAAGTATTGCTACATTGAATAGGGAAATATTATATATGTAGTAAAGTAATTTATTTTTATTATTAACTGATAGCTATTGCTTTTTCTGATGTTGTATTTTTTAAGGACTTTGACACCCCTAAGAAATTCTGAGATTTCGTTCCGGCTTCAGCAGCCTTTCGTTGAAAACACTTCAGATGGTAGAAAAGTTACAACAGTCGCTACACGCTCCGGTAATAATAATAATAATAATAATAATAATAAAATTAATAATAATAATAATAATAATAATAATATTAATGTGTCAGGTAATGTGTTGACCCTAAACCAGCGAGGGAGTGGGGGTCAGAAGAGCACAACGATTGTGAGAGAGATAAACGGTGATACAATGATCAACAGGCTCATTGTAGACAACGTGACCAGTGTCAGAGTGTTCAAGAGAATCAACTAAACACGTGACGAATGACTAAACACGTGATTTACTTGTTGTTTGCTACAAACTGTGAAACTCATATTATGCAATACAGTACAGTATATTACGGTGCAGTATAGCGTTCTTTTGTACAGTACGGTACAGTAAAGTACAGTAAAGTACAGTACAGTACAGTACAGTACAGTACAGTACAGTACAGTACATTACAATACAGTACAATACAGTACAGTACAGTACAGTACAGTACAGTATAGTACAGTACATTTCAGCACATGACTGTTCAGTACAGTACATCAGAGAATATTATAGCAGAATACAACATATAACAATCAATTAGTGCAGCGCAGTACGGTGCAGTACATATTGTGAATACGTGTTAAATGCCAGCTTTAAACAATGCTTGTTAAACTATGCAACTTTCTTTTTTGTTACTTTTATGCTTAAAATTATCAAAATTTTCGAAATAAAAGATGTTTTCTTCTTTTGAAATTAGTTTTTTAGTTTTTTTTTAATTCCTCTTGCCAGTGTTGATTAACATGTTTTGCTTTAAACTTCTGCGGGCCGTCAAAATGTTGCCTAGTGTAAGGAAAGCTATCTGTTAAGAATAAACAATTTTGAAACCTGCAAAATTTCTCAGATTTTTGTGGAACCAAAGGTCTAAAAAACATGATTTCTATTGAAAACATTTTTGCACTTCTCAATTGCGAAAATAAGAGGAGTTATTTAAAGGGCACGGCTATGTAAGGTAGTTGAACTGAGTATGCAGTGTTGTGGAAAGCTTCTTTCGGATTCATTTGAGACATATTAAACGTTTTAAAGATCTGTAAATCCTGAGTTTGAGCGCAAATTCGATGTTCAAAACTCCTTTGGGGGTGGATGCGTTTTCAGAATTAGTTTTTTTAAGTTATTAAATAACGTCGACATTAAATGTAAAAAAGTTCTACAATAAACTAGAGACGTCATGTATAGGAACATGTTGAGAAAATAAAAATTAATCTTTTCATCGAAAATAAGTAATCTTGTTCAATTATTAGTTTCTATTATCTCATTATTCTGGTTTTTCATTATTCACAAAGATTTTCGCAGATTTTCTAGAATTATTATTGAAAAGACGACATTTGAAGAATTTGAAGAAATCTGCGAATAAATTCAAAGAAAATTAGAAATTCAATATAATTATGAAAACGAAATAATTGATTTGAGCGTTGATTTATCGACAAATTTCTTTTGAGAAATATGTTCCTAACCATCCAATTAGATAACTGTATTATTATTACTTTATTTTTCGTTGTTGTTATTTGATAATTTAAAAAAACTAATTCTGAAAACGTATCCACCCCCAAAGGAGTTTTGAACGTCGAATTTTCGCTCAAACTCAGGATTTACAGATCTTTAAAAAATTTAATATGTCTCAAATGAATCCACAACACTGCATACTCAGTTCAACTACCTTACATAGCCTTTAAAACATGTTTCAAACCTACGGACAGTTTACTTTAGATTGACGTTTGTAGAATCTGTGTCATCATTATTATATTTGTGTAAACTTTATTGTTTTAATAGCCTGCCTAATAGGTAGAACAAATGTTAAATGGCTTTTAGTGTTGTAGTATTATAATCAAATATAGTGCATATCTAAAACACAAATCAATATTGATTTGACAAATTGGCGAATTAAAGTGGAAATGGTGTAAGAGGACTTCAAAATACCTATACAAATTGTTCAGAAATCTCCTACATGGTTAATAAGCCACATAGGATGCTACTCTAAATACGAACTAAAACTCGTCTAATATTACAATCCAAAAGTTAAGTTCAGATATAATTACGTTCATGTTGTACGGATTCATTAGTATAAGGAAACAGACGGTATAAATTCCTTAGGAAACAGACGGTATAAATTCCTTAGGAAACAGACGGTATAAATTCTTTAGGAAACAGACGGTATAAATTCCATAGGAAACAGACGGTATAAATTCCTTATGAAACAGACGATATAAATTCCTTAGGAAACAGACGGTATAAATTCTTTAGGAAACAGACGGTATAAATTCCATAGGAAACAAGCGGTATAAATTCCTTAGGAAACAGGCGGTATAAATTCCATAGGAAACAGACGGTATAAATTCCACATGAAACAGGCGGTATAAATTCCTTAGGAAACAGACGGTATAAATTCCACATGAAACAGATGGTATAAATTCCTTAGGAAACAGACGGTATAAATTCCACATGAAACAGACGGTATAAATTCCTTAGGAAAGAGGCGATATAAATTCCTTAGGAAACAGACGGTATAAATTCCACATAAAACAGGCGGTATAAATTCCTTAGGAAACAGACGGTATAAATTCCACATGAAACAGGCGGTATAAATTCCTTAGGAAACAGACGGTATAAATTCCACATAAAACAGGCGGTATAAATTCCTTAGGAAACAGACGGTATAAATTCCAACAGGCGGTATAAATTCCTTAGGAAACAGACGGTATAAATTCCACATGAAACAGGCGGTATAAATTCCTTAGGAAACAGACGGTATAAATTCCATAGGAAACAGGCGGTATAAATTCCACATGAAACAGGAAGTATAAATTCCTTAGGAAACAGACGGTATAAATTCCACATGAAACAGGCGGTATGAATTCCTTAGGAAACAGACAGTATAAATTCCATAGAAAACAGACGGTATAAATTCCATAGGAAACAGGCGGTATAAATTTCTTAGGAAACAGGCGGTATAAATTTCTTAGGAAACAGGCGGTATAAATTACTAAGGAAACAGATGGTATAAATTCCTTAGGAAACAGACGGTATAAATTCCTTAGGAAACAGGCGGTATAAATTCCTTAGGAAACAGACGGTATAAATTTCACATGAAACAGGCGGTATAATTTCCTTAGGGAACAGACGGTATAAATTCCACATGAAACAGATGGTATAAATTCCACATGAAACAGATGGTATAAATTCCACATGAAACAGACGGTATAAATCCCACATGAAACAGGCGGTATACATTCCTTAAAGTAGTCTCTAAGGATTAATACTTTCAGGGTAACCCGGAATAACCGTTCGTTGCTCTCCTTTGATAAACTAAGTTTTTCCGTCCGTCGTAATACAAAATTGCAAATTATATTTTTCACCTTTGCACTCAATATAACGATTTAACCATAGAGAATAGAATATATAGAGAGGAACTAAAAGAATCTTTCGGTATGAATTTTTTCAGTCCCTTTCAGCCTGAAAGGGAGTTCAAAGTGTACAAATCATGTAAATGTTCACAAATTATATGCAGTAGAGTACATTAATTCAGTATGTTCCCTAGACTATCCATTTCAATTTCGAATTTTTAAACTTTATAATGAATTAAGTGAATAAAAACATCATTTGATTTATAGTTATAACGGAAAATCATCGTTTGTAAAGTTAAAGGCATAGAGTCTATGTGAAATGATTATTGGTCAATTATGAAACCAGCCTATTTCATAATTTGGTTTTCTTTTAACAATAATTTTAGATTTTCTATAAAATGATATTCCAGGGCCCAACAGGTTATATAGCATAAATATGTGAAGTACGCCTGCAGTATGGAAACAGTACAACAAAATGGCCGTTTTACACTTTTTTCTAGTAAATTCCTCTCTATATATTCTATTCTCTATGGATTTAACACTTCTGTCATTCCAGCAAAGTTGATATCGGCAATCCTATCCGTTATCTTATTATTTTCTGTCTGTCTCACATAAACTTGAAAAAATGTCTCCCGCATTTGTTTTATTGTATAAAAGTAAATACATAAAATGGAAAGCAATATTTAAACGTTTGATTAAAATTCGTCATCATCATCTCCGGGCAATATAAAGAACTCGTCTTTCATACGTCCTCTGAAAAGAAATATAAAAATTAGATCGTAAAAATTTTGGGAACATAGTTTTAGTGTTTGCTGATCTTTTATAGGAATCGCATGTACATTGTACAGTAAGAACCAGAACACTCTGGAACATAAAGACAACTTTTAGACTTAAAGGAGGGGGGGCCGGGGGGCCAAAAATCATTCTCTAGGAATATACCAATTTATGACTTTAGATAATTAAACACAATGCACAAGCACTGTGCAGTGTAAACAAACCCGTTTTATTTTAAAGTGATATAGTTACTATTGAAACTATTTGATTTATAACAACAGCAAATTCACTTAAGCATTATTTAAATGTCGTATTCGTAGTCTACAGTTTTCTAGTTCTCGCTGTATATTCGCAAAGAAACTGAAAATATTACAAAAATAATTGGGCCAAATTGTCTGTCTATAAGCAACTTCTCTTTTAAATAAGGTATTTATAATACTTACTCTTCAAGTACTCCACAACATAATACTGACTCTAGAAGTACTCCACTATAAAATACTTACTTATGAAGTACTGCAATATATAATACTTACTCTAGAAGTACTCCACTATATGATAATTACTCTAGAAGTACTCCACAACATAATACTGACTCTAGAAGTACTCCACTATAAAATACTAACTTATGAAGTACTGCACTATATAATACTTACTCTAGAAGTACTCCACTATATAATACTTACCCTTCTAGAAGTACTCCACTATATAATACTTACTCTAGAAGTACTCCACTATATAATACTTACTCTAGAAGTACTCCATGTACTTACTCTAGAAGTAATCTACAATATAATGCTTACTCTAAAAGTACTCCACTGTATAATACTTACTCTAGAAGTACTCCACTATCCTGGAATTCTGGACCTCTAGGTGCTTCATCGTCCTCCCCCATCCCCGTCTCGGTATCTAGTTTACCATATCCTCCAATAAACCTGTCCATTCAACATTCAACAAACCTTATTTTTTTTATTAGTTTTCAAATTTGCAGAGGTAGCCTATGAGGGGTTGAAAGGGGGTTAAAGTTTTCTGGGTAACTAGGAAGAGGGTTGCCACTGCCTGGTTTAAGCACTTCTAAGATTTAACTCAATTTGATAAAACGTTTTGTTTTAATTTCATGGCGAAATAGGGAGCATCACTTTACCATTCCTTCCCCCCCCCCACCCCTGGAGTTTCATGACCAAAAAAATTGGGGGGGGGGGGCAGCCAGGCCGAAGGATTAGATAATTGATACCGCCTTCATTCCCCAAGTTTCATGTCCAATCCCATTAATTGACAATTGTTAGTTTTGCAAACTTCCTCATCATGCAATGGATAAAATCATATAGAATCAGATTTGTACGTGCAACAGTTGTAGGAATTTTTTTATGGATGGTCAGACATATTTAGATCGGAGTTATCCTTTCATATATGCAGGGTTAACCACAAAGGATGAGACTTCAGAGACGATTGTACGGAATTTGTTTAGTTTATTTCCTTACATCCTGACATTCAGAGTTCCTTGTAGGCCAAAACTGGTTTGTTTCTGTGCTTAATCATTTAGTAAACCATCAAAATACTCAATTGAGAGCAGAAACCAAAAAGAAAACTTTAAATTGTCATATTTTTAGAGTTTTGGGTCGTCTTTACAGTCTCATCCTTTGTGGGTAACCCTGCATGTTTCCATGGGCAGCTCAAAATAGTAAAATTTGAAATGTTTAATCAGAAATAGTATGTTCTAACTCCTAGTAGAGTAAAAGTATCGATAGTTTTTCAGACAACAAGTTTCAGTCAACTTTCCAACATTTTTGTATCAAGTAATTTCTAAATTTCTAAACCATTACACCCGCCTGCACCGTGCTTGTGATTCAGTCTGCCCCAACCTCAGCTCTTGGGTCTTTTTTTGAAGCCTCTCCAGCATCTTATTAAGACTGAGATTTGACGATAGATGGCCGAGCGCTGCGGCTCTAGGAAATTTTTATTTAGAAAAAAGTTTCTTACTGCATGATAAAAATGGCAAACAGTAAGATTAAGAATGAAATATATCAAATAATTCCATCAGTTTTAAACAGTTATGCCTCACTTCGAACCTAAACTTTATTTTTTTTTGGTGACAAAAATAAACTGATTTTGCGAAACTGTAAAAATATTCATATAAAAATTTATTCTAAAGCTTGGTTCCTGGGCTGTGGTAGTTTCCCCTAAAACATTAAAAATCATTAAATAAAGTTTTTTGTTAAATATTTTGATATTTTGCATATTCTTTGTGCGTCTAAGAGCCTAGGTAGACATATTAAACATTTTTAATAACAAAGGAATTGAGTCTTTACCACAAACTCTGGTTTTCTAAACCCTATATCTGTGCAATCTAATAGACCATTGATATTGGATTTTAGAAAATTTAACTTTGTGGTAAAGACTTAATTCCCTCTTGAATTTTGTTTTATACTTTTTGAGGTTTTGTGGTTAAACATTAAAGAGGAAAAGTCAGATAAATGCAAAATGTAACTTTTCTGCAAAGATATTATATATATATTGTATATACAGTTATTAAACTTACAAATACAAAATTAAAACTTTGAAATATAGTCCTAGCTATACAAAACTTTGATTGAATCCTTTAACGACCTAATATAATATATACTATGCTGAAGGGCCCAGCGTTGCCCGTGGAAAAAAAATTGAAAAAAATTGGAAGAAAAAAATTTCGAATTTTTTTTAGTCTATAACAACCCCCTGAGTGTCCACAATAAATTTCAGCCCATTCGGTCCATCCGTTTGGCCGCCTATAGGCAACATATAAATATAACTATGAAGCAATATATATGTATATTATATCAATGCTCGGTTTAAAAATTGTCCGAAAAAATTATCTATAAGGTACTGGTATGGACATTATTGAAATCTATCAAACATTTCTAAATAAATGATATTGATTAAGCATGAAGCAGTCAAATTGAAGAACCAAAAACAGTTTGAAATTTGACATTTTGGCTTGGTTGAAAATTGATCATTAAAATAAAGAATTATCATTGGATTCACATTTTATATTTAATATATTAGAATATGGGGTTGTAAATACACAAAAATCTTGCTTGGTAACTCCATCTAAAAACTAGGATTAGGGATAACTTTCTTTTGTGGTGCTGAAATCCAGGGACATATCCTTCCTACATTGTCGTGACTTCCAGAATAACTGCGCATTTTTTAGATTTGTTTGGAAGATTTGCATTTATTCAGATTCTATTAGAATATTGCATAAAAGAGTAAAAATCAAATTCCTAAATTCAACCAAGACAAAATTTCAAACTTCCAACTCTTTATACTTCTTCAATATTTGAACTACTCTTTTTGATTTTTTTAAATGTCCAAAAATTTTAAAATTGAACCATTTGTGAGTGCTTCCATGTCTAAAAAAAAGATCGTTTAAAATATAAGTATAAATAAATTAGATTTACGAATTACGTGATCATACCTGATATTTGGATTTGTATTTAAGACGAAGGGTTTGATATGCCTCATGTACTCTAACTAATTCACATCTAAATAAATTGGAATTGAGTCTGCCACTAGTGAGTTTTGTTAGATCAAATAATCTATAAGCTTAAAATATCAGGGGTTAACACTATCAAACTGCAAAGTTATAGGGATTTGAAAGTCTAAGAGAAACAATTTCTTTATAAATAAAAAATAAAATTTGAAATATGAATAGTTAAGACGACATCTGTATTTGCAGAACTGTATCACACTGGTTGCATAGACATACATTCAGCGTTACCCAGAAAGAATGAGACTTTAACAAAGATTATTAAACTTTTTTCTATTTCATGCTTTTTTTGTAAACTTTTATTTTGCCAATTCGAAGAACAACTGCAAAATCCAAATAGTTCGTTTAAAAAATCTAATCCTTGATGTGGGTCACCCTGTAACAAGCATTTAAGCAGTTGCAGGCAATGCAAAGATTGCAAAAAATGCAAGATTTAAAGTTACAGTCTGGAATTCCAGGTCAAAACTCCACAGTAGATTTTTTTGTCTGATAAAATGGACATTTGTTTAAACATTTAATATGAAATGTTTCTTATCTCCTATCATAACTCAGGAAGACCTTGACAGATTTGTCTAAAATGTTGACTGAGGAACTCGTTGAAAGCAGTGGAATGTTTTTAGTCTGCTTAAAAAATGCATTTGATCAACTTCAAATAGATTCTTTATAATCTATTTGGTTGACTTGGATATAGAAAGTTTAGATATTTCTTTGCAAAGTTGGATTCCTGAGTTAGTCATTATATTAAGGTCTTATGATATGTATTAAGTTATCTCAATTAATAATTTTTAGAATTGAAAAGAGAGCAAAACGTGCACTGTTAGAAAACCCTACCGAAATTATCAAGATATTATTGCGAACATTTGTTCAAAAATATCTTACCTAACATAGTTTGTTGAGTATCTGTCGAAATTCTAAAATAAAAGACCTTTCTTGTTCAAAATATTATTTTTTGATTATTTATTGATACAAGTGTCCAGGACTAACAAACATTAAATCTATCAATCTTAGAAGGATAAACAAACCGAGAGATAAATAAACAGATGGATAGATAGATAGATAGATAGATAGATAGATGAATAGATAGATAGATAGATAGATGGATAAATAAAGAAAAACACAGATTATTTTTCCATTTTATTGGTGTACAAATTGTTTCATATTTTAAACACTCCTCGGCAGCATAAGTTAGATTAGATAAACTAGATGAATAGATAATCTATTTTACCTCTGTTCTAAGTTTTTCCAGGATATCTGCTTGCTGCATAACTTCTTCAGGCAAATGTCTAAAAATACATAAGTAGATACTGCTACTACTACTGCTACTGCTTGTAATGAATCTAGACCCGTTGAAATCTCCAAAACCTTGACTCTTAGTCTAATGTCAGTCTCTAGCCAAAACTCAAGGCTCTATATACGTCTGTCTAAATCGACTATTGCTACTATACTACTTTATTAATACAGGTAAATTTAAGCTGACCGGAATAGCCGATCAGGGTCAACATGAACATAGATAAAATAGAAAACGGAACATAGATAATAAAGATTGTACTAACATGATATCATAATTTATTACATGCTACTGCTACTGCTACTGATACTTGCACTCCTACTGCTACTGCAACTGCTACTACTACTGCTACGCTACTAATACTGCTACTGCTACTGCTACTGCTACTGCTACTACTACTGCTACTGCTACTACTTCTGCTACTGCCACTGCTACTGCTACTACTGCTGCTATTGCTACTGCTACTGCTACTGCTAATGCTACTGCCACTGCTACTGCTACTGATACTGACACTGATACTACTACTGCTACTGCAACTGCTACTGCTACTGCTACTGCTACTGCTACTGCTAATGCTAATGCTACTGCTACTGCTACTGATACTGATACTGATACTGATACTACTACTACTACTGCTACTGCTACTACTACATATAGTATAACTGCTGCTACTCCTACAATTAATGCTACTGCTAATGCTACTACTGCTGCTACTGCTACTGCTTCTGCTACTGCTACTGCTGCTGCTACTGCTACTTCTACCTCTGTTTTTATTTTGAAATCTATCTTTAATATTAAAAGATTTTAAATCCAAACCATACTTTTGTTCTGCTAAAAGCTTTAAATCCCTCATCTCTTCAGTAAAATGGAGTTTATGCGCAAACCTTAAAAATAAACCAAATTATATTTTAGATAAGTTTGATTTTTGATACTTTTCAATAACTGCTAAAGTAGAAAAGATTTTTATTAGGGTTTGATATTAAAGTGATCTTAAGTAATAATTTTATCTTCTTTTAAAGACTAGGCTATCAGGGCGTTTAGCGCCTATCTTCTATTTCAGCATTTTCTCTTCGATCAAACAATAATAAATATCTTTGCGAATTTACTAATTTGTTTTCGTGAATTTTCAAAATTTTACGAAAATCAAACATTTTTGGAGATTATTTTCTGTAATTCTGAGCATTCATAAACACAAAATGAGGGTCCGATGGGTTCAGCCGTTTTGACATATCTAGGATGGATACAAACAAACAGACACCCAGACAGACAAGCAAAGCATATATATATTGATGCATGATATTGATATTGATACATGGTTATCGATTATAGCACTTATGAAATATTTATAGAATTTTCTTACGAATGGGAGAGAATGACAGGTCCTCTCTTGGTATCATCCAATCCTCTAAATACATAATTAGATTTAGCTTAAAGGGACTGTACGCGTAATTTACAGTGACCCTTCCAGGCAATGCCCGATTCACAACGGTACCCTTTGTCTGATCAAGTATTTAATATAAATCCATGTTTATAATTTTGAAAAGCATGATGAACCATGATGAAGCCTGACAATATCTTCAAAAATATTGATCAGATAAAAGTTTTAAAGGTACGGTTGTGAATCGGGCATTGCCAGCTTTGCATGGAGGTTCAATGGAAATTACGCTTACAGTCCATGTAATCTGATTCTGATCAATCTGAATAAAAAATTTCACTGCATTAGACACCTAGTCTTCAAAAAGCATGAAACAAATGACTTCTAGACTAACGCCTTTATTTTAAGCAAACAGTAAAAATTATTAAACGCTTTTAACATTATTAAACACACTTAAAAATTGTAATAATATTATTTGTATTCTGATATTCTTTTAGGGATAACTGAAGCAATAAAGAGAGAATTCGCAGTAAATAAAAAAGATAATTAAATAAAATTGTTAATATTTAATAGATTTGTACGTTTTTATTTCTATCAGATGTTTCCTGGAATCAAATGCGTATTAACCCATTGAAATTTTACCTTGGCAAATCACTCCCTTTATATATAAGTTTCATTATAACATTAATAATAATTCTTTTACCTTACAGTAGTTAATCCTAGTGCAGAGAGAGCCTAGACGAAAAACAAAATCAAAAATGGTTGTGAAAAAAAAAATATTTTCTTTTACTGCATAAATCTAGCCACTCCTTAAAGAGACTGATGTAAGCGTAATTTCAAATGACCCTCCATGCAAAGATGGCAATGACCGATTTACGACGGTACTCTTAACCCTATTCCTGCTGGGGGGGGGGCAATTTGACCCCCCCCCTGTAGTTTTTTTTACATAACTCAAAAAGTATTGGTCTGAGGCTGTTGAAATTTTCTGACTTTTCCTACATACCCAAAGCCCTCCCTTTAGGCCTAAAAAGCAGAGATAGGGTTAAAAGCTTTGTCTAATTAAAGGGAGTGACCGGCTATGTATGGTGGACAATTTTTTAGGATTCATTTGAGACATATAAAACGTTTCCTCAATGTATAATTACTGAGTTTGAGTGCATAGCCGACGTTCAAAATCATGAATTTGGATGGGTACGTTTTTAGAATCGTTTTTTTAAATTATAAAATAACGACGACAAAAAAATAAAGTAAAAGTTATACAGTGAACTAATGAGAAAATTATAGAAAATTATGATTGAATAAGATCACTTATTTTCGATGATAAGAGTTAATTTTTATTTTCTCAAACTGTTCCTAAATAACTAATTAGTTTACTGTAGAATTTTGTTTACATTATTTGTTGTTGTTATTTAATAATTTAAAAAAAGACCGATTCTGAAAACGTACCCACCCTAATTCATGATTTTAAGCCTCGACTTTGCGCTCAAACTCAGGATTTACAGATCTTATAAAAGTTTTATATGTCTCAAATGAATCCTAAAAACTTGTTTACAACACTACATATTCATTTAACTTACATACATTGCCGGTCAATCCCTTTAAGTACAAATTAAATATCCATATTTTTGTTTATTTTCATTTGTGGTTTATATGCAAAAGTGACTTTCAAGGACATTGATATCTTTAGGGGTCACTTAAAAATACGCTTACAGTCCCTTTAATCATTGAATGGTTTTTTTTTCTTTTTTGTTCTTCATGCTGCTTCTAATTTGATAAAGTAAAGATCATTATAAAGAAAAATTTGCTTTTACAAAGAAATCTAAATGACAGGGGGGAGTTTAGATGTGCATAGGTCTGTTTATAGGGGGAGGGGAAGGGAGGGGGGGGCCTTTCATTGAGATATATGAAGTTATCTAGTCTGACAATGAAATAAAAAGTTAGGGCTGTAAAAAAAATAAAAAGGGTGATTTTTATAAATTTCCAATCAACATAAAAGCTAGAAAAAATTGGATTTAGAATGAAAGCTAAATTTTAAAAGCTGACTTGATCATATAGCACATACAACCAAAGAGAATAGAATATATATTAGAGTGGAATTTACTAGAAAAAAAGTGTAAAACGGCCATTTTGTTGTACTGTTTCTATACTGCAGGTATACTTCACATATTTATGCAATATAACCTTTTGGGCCCTGGAATATCATTTTATAGAAAATCTAAAACTAATATTAAAAGAAAACCAAATTATGAAATAGGCTGGTTTCATAATTGACCAATGATCATTTTACATAGACTCTTTGCCTTTTACTTTACTAACGATGATTTTTCTTTATAACTATAACTCAGATGATGTTTTTTATTCACCTAATTCATTATAAAGTTTATTTAACAGCTTTAAAAATTCGAAATTGAAATAGATAGTCTAGGGAACATACTGTATTTGTGTACTCTACTGCATATAATTTGTGAACATTTACATGATTTGTACACTTTGAACTCCCTTTCAGGCTGAAAGGGACTGAAAAAATTCATACCGANTTATTACTGCTTTATTTAATTTTCAAATTTATGATATATTTAAATTTTTGGAGAAAAAAATCTGTTTACCGATGTTGCCTCCATAAGCTTGCTTCCTTTGCTTAAATATGAAGTATGCACCTTTCCCTTCTTTCCAGTTTTCTATTAATATTGTATTTTATGAACCTATACTTTATCATTATTACTCACTTCATCGTGAATTTCATAATGAACGTGCTATAAAGTAATTTCATCGTGCTATAATGTTAAATTAGCTGTACATTATAGCACGTGTGCTATAAAGTTTTGATTGGTTCCCGGATTTCTCCGAAATAATTAGGATATTTCCAAAATATTTTTTTTCAATTGAAATAAAAACACTATTGAAATTAACTATATATTTTGACATCTGCTTTGTTTTAAAGCTTATTTGATCTAGAAACAGCCGTTGAAATAAGACAAGTACACACACATTGTATAAACTACCTATAACACTACTATTTTGGCACGACGTGCTATAAAGTTTTTGGACTCTCTAAGACTCTGGACAAAATTAAATCTGAAAAGGCTTGAACCTACGAGATAAAGAGAAAATGTTTGTCCAAAACTTTATAACACTGCGAACCAAAATAACAGTGTTATCAATAGTTAAAATAAAATCGGTCCTTTTTGCAAAAGAATTAAGTCTTTGCCACAAAATTTTCTAATCCATTTATCTTCGTAACCTGATGGTGGATATGATATACTTCAAACTTGATCAGAAAATCTGAGTTTGTGGCAAAGACCTAATTCCTTTGGTATAGAAATTAATTGAATCTTTGACACAAAATCAAATTTTCTCATCACTAAGAGATAGGGATTAGAAAATCAGAGTTTGTGACTAGGACTCAATTCCTTCAATTATCTTTAAAGGGACTGTAGACATAATTTAAAGTGAATCTCCATTTTACAAAGTGTCGTGTCAGATTCACAATACTTTAGACAGCATTGGACTTGACGTTTTTCCACCTAAAACTTGATGATATTTCATTGCAATTTTCTATACAATTGAAAATGAAAGAAGTTGGTATAAATCACATTTTTTTTGACAAAAAATTACGATATTTTCCCATTTTAATTCGAAAAAAGAATAAATGAAACACTTTAAACGCTTTTAATTATATGTAGAGTCTCTTAAACCTTGTCTTTTGTGTTGAATTGATCCAATTGATCATCAAAATCATCATCACTTTCCAGTCTAGAAATCATTAAATAATTGATTGATTAATTGATTAGATGAATAATTGATCAATTTATTAATTGATTAATTTATTAATTGATTAATTTTGATTAATTGATTAATTGAATTGTTTAATTGATTAAATATTTGAATAATTAATTGAATTGATTAATTCATTAAATAATTGAATAGTTGATTTATTAATTAATTGATTTGGGGATTAATTGATTAATAGAATAATTGATTATTGATTAATTGATTGATTAGTTAATTGATTAATTGATTAACTGATTAATTGATTAATTGATTAATTGATTAATTGATTAATTGATTATTTTATTAATTGATTAATTGATAAATTGATTAATTAATCAATTGATTAATTGATTATTTGATTAATTTAGATTAATTGAAAAATTGATTAACTGATTAGTTGATTAAATGATTAATTGATTGATTGGATAATTAAATAATTGATTAATTGATTAATTGGTTAATTAAATAAATGATTAACTGATTAATTTATTAAATGATTAATTGGCTAATTGATTAATTGATTTATTGATTAATTGGATAAATAATTTGAAGAAATTATGAAATAATTGAATTGATCAAGTTATCGATTAATTAATAATTTCCTTTTATTTATCAATGATATAAAAATGAGAAACTTCCTGAAACAAAAATAATAAAAGGTTGAAAAGAGGATAAAAGGTAGAATAAAAGGAGAAATGAACCAGGATTTGGAACTTTGTTTTATCTTTATTTTGGAATATTCTGATCATAGAAGAGTCTGGAAAGAAATCAGAGACCCCCATACTCATCATATCGGAGTCGAGACTTCAAGATTGTCATTGGAGACCCCTCCAGTCTTATCCCTCCAATGAAAATCTTGGGGTCTTCGATGAGAGTTCCTTGGAGGTCTCCAATGAAAGGTGGTTTCTGATAGCGCCCAAATAATAATGCTTTCTTTCCAGGTGCACAGAAGACAGAGTTTCCGGTCTCAATGGTAAATAAAGATTTATTTTGGAAAGAATGAAAGAATAAATAAATGAATGGCTATCTACCTGTATAGCTCGGATGAAAGAATAAATAAATGAATGGCTATCTACCTGTATAGCTCGGATGAAAGAATAAATAAATGAATGGCTATCTACCTGTATAGCTCAGATGAAAGAATAAATAAATGAATGGCTTTCTACCTGTATAGCTCGGATGATCCACTACTAGAAACACTGTTAATTCTATATCTAGTCAGTGTTGCTCGAGACTTAATAAAACAATAATTGATAAATTAATTTTTCAATTGAATATCTAAACGCTTTTACAAGAGTGTGTAGAGGGAAAAAGGTAGTAATCATAAGAATGTAAAATATAAAATATTTTCATGGACCCTGAAACTGGGGCGTTAGACGTAATTAAATTGAGTTAAGATCCCGACACTCTATTTTCATCTAGAAAAATTTATGATGTCTCTGTTATCAAATCATAAGAAAAAGGTTAGAATAGAACTGTTGTGAATTTGACCTGAGGTTGACTTTAAGTTTAACTTTAAGTTAAAAAAGATCACAGGGAATTTTGGGGTTTGGTTGGGTGAACAGTTTTTTTTAGATAAAACAATAAAAATTATTTAAAGTTGTTTGACAAAATTCTATAGCCATGTTTGAAATAAAAAAAATGAATTAAGGCAATTCATTACAATCGATCTCTTTGATAATGTTTGGCTTGACATGAATCTAATAGAATTAGAGAAATTAAGCATAATATAGTATATCCAAGAAGAACGACTCTATTTTTTAAAATATCTTTTTGATTGGATTTTGGAAAAATATTTGATAAAAAATGTGTCACCTTTAGTCTCCATTTTAGAAACAATTGTTTGATCAAAATCTCCTCCCTATAACAGAAAAAAGGTAGAAGTGATAATTTAGATTGTAAAATTTTACCATAATTGACTCTATATCTACTGACCTACGCTTTTGCTTTTATAATATGCTTTAAAGGCTGTTTTATCAACAATTATATTATATAAAATGAATCTTAGAATATAGAAAAATCTGTATGGATCAAACTTTCAAACAACTCGTTAAAATTTTCAGAATGGAATGCATGGCTTGTTTAGCTATTGTCGATGTTTACTAGTGCAAAACATTCTTTGAAAAAAGCCCATCATAAATGTTACATGAACGTTCCATAAACGTTACATGAATGTTCCATACAGGTTACATGAATGTTCCATAAACGTTACATGAATGTTCCATAAACGCTACATAAATGTTCTATAAACGTTACATAAACGTTACATTAATGTTACATTAACGTCAGAAGGATGCTGTCTTCCCTTGAACACTATAGTATGCCAAGTCCATTAGCGCCTGATCCAATGAGGGTTCAGTCATGTGTTTGTTGTCCATTCTGAACCAATAGAAATAGTATGGTGGTAACATCTATCTCATATATCCAATCAGAGTTATGAATCCTTTAATCGGCGCTATCAGTAAATAGAAATATGTACTTCTACTGAAACCATGGTATGAAGATATACAAGGAACCCCGTTTATTTGTTTACAAAAACCGTACTGCAATTTCCAAGCGGAACATTGACAAAAGACTTTTACAGAGAAGGACTTAGTTTGTTTAATTTCACTATGATTCACACTAAACTAAGCTAGTGGGGTAGGGTTTTTTCATTTTCTTTGTTCATCGTTTGTGAACGACAAATTATGTTAGTTTTTTCCATCTTCAAAAAAGTGATTATTCTGTCTCAAAATTATCGTTCATTTTCCATCTATTTCATTCATTTTCTCACTAAATGATCTTTCAGTAAAAATGTTTGTTTATTAAAATCGTTCAATAACATTTTACGTGCAGCAAAACACTGTCGTTAATTAGGGTGTTTTCTAAAAAATCGTTTGTCCAGTAAACACTATCGTTCTTAAAAACCCTTTGGAAAATTTGATCGTTTATTTAATTTTGTTTAAATTCCTCAGAACGATCCAAATGGTTCGGCCATCGTTAGTTTTTTTCTGACGAAAAATTGTGTTTAATTCTCAAAAGTTTTGATCGTTCACAAAAACGTTTCCCATCTCTCTAATGATAGGCTGGGTATTGTAAATAGTCTGGCGGCCCCTTCAAAGTTAAAATCGAGCTGGAAAAAGATGGGGTGGAGCCGGTTCTCGCCGAGCGTCTCTGTGGCCAGTACAAGGGGTTGGGCCGGTTCTTGCCGCGTGTCTCTGTGGCCACTACAAGGGGTCGGGCCGGTGCGAATTTTAATTAACCCTAGTCCACCGTGAGTTGGACGTCCGCCACAATCTGCAGTACTCTCTGGATGTTAACAAGAATGTGAAAGTTCTCATTGTTTCTTCCATAGTTATTCTCAAGGAGAATTGAATAGAAGGAGGGGGCGATAGGGTTTCCGTACACTTTGCTGTGACGTTTTTGGACTGCTGAAGAACTAGTTTTTGCGTAACAACAATAACAAAGGCAGCCGATCTAATGTAAACAAACTAAAGTTAGTATACGGTGAATCTTCATCTAAGGCGCCAGAGATGCCAGATGTCTGTTTATCATTGGTGTTATTGTTTACAATCTTTGTTATTGTTGTTACACAAAAACTAGTTCTTCAGCAGTCCAAAAACGTCACAGCAAAGTGTACGGAAGCCCTATCGCCCCCTCCTTCTATTCAATTCTCCTTGGTTATTCTAAGGAATTTATTCACTTGGTGGTTAAAAAAGTTTCAACAAATTTTTTGACAAACTAAATGGTAGAAAACCAACTGAATGATATCATCTAACTTTGATTTGCTGAACCCAAAATCATTATAACCTGATTGAGTTTTCAAACTATAAATTAGATCATATTGTTAATGTTTGAAATATCAATGGAGTACAACACATGATCCGAATGCAATAAAAAAGGGATTGGAAAATTAGAATTTGAATATTTAAGATGACCAGCCCCCTTCCCCTCACTAGCTTGAGCTTACCTGGAATACACCAAGGGTCTTCTCTGAACTGCAAAATTATGCCAATGTTTGAAAATGGATTTCACAAACATTTTCTTTCTACACAAATGTAAATACAATCAATTCATAGATTTAATTAAAACCTTTTCTTCATAACAATTCCTGACAACCTCCCCCCCCCAGCCCCTATCCCTCTCCTCCATCCCTTTAGAAAATGACAGCAAAAATTTCTCTGGTAAGGTTTAACTGTGGTTGGTATCATTGTGTGTCAGAAAAAAAAGTTTCTGAAAAAAAACCTGGAAATTAAGACTTTGGTAAACAATTTTCTGAAGTCCTAGGACAAAATGTCAATGGAAATAAAGTCTTGAGTTTTAAATTACTGAGACTTTTTTTCCTAAAATAATTAGGTTTACCAATAAAGTTTTAGGAAATAGGATCACAGGAATAAAAGTCCTAAAGTCTTAAACGTTTTCATACACGAACTTTTCATCTATGCATTTGCAACTTGAATATACCAACGGGAATTTTTTGTAGAAAATCATCCTAAAACCATAAAAAAAAACATCCTAGTAATAAAGTCTCAAATTTTAGGACTTTGATATTAAAGACTTTATATTTCAATGAGTTTTTTCCATAGGACTTTTTTAATGCCAAAATGTAGGGCTTCATTTCCGGAAAAAAAAATTTCAAAGAACTTTTTTGCGGTTACCGGGAGGGGGGAGGTAATAATATTTTGATGAAAATTACCTTAATGCCTTCATTTCCTCACTAAGTCTGTAATCTCTCTCCTCTTCAGTTTCTATTCCATGCAGCACAGAATCCTTTATCTCTCTACAGTTACAGTACAGTACAGTAAAGAACCAAGTACAAAATAGGGTAAAATTTTCCTATATTCACCTTAAACTACAAGTAGAAGATCCGGCCCTTGGTACAAACATTTTTCAGGTTATTTTATCACTCTTTCATTTTTCTTTTCGTTCAACTTTGTTTAACTTTGTTCAACTTTGTTCAACTTTGTTCAACTTTGTTCAACTTTGTTCCACTTTGTTAAACTTTGTTCAACTTTGTTCAACTTTGTTCATCTTTCTTCAACTTTGTTCAACTTTGTTCTACTTCGTTCAACTTCGTTCAACCTCGTTCAACTTTGTTCAACTTCATTCAACTTTGTTCATCCTTGTTCAACTTTGTTCAACTTTGTTCAACTTTGTTCAACTTTGTTCAACTTTGTTCAACTTTGTTCAACTTGTTCAACTTTGTTCAACTTTGTTCAACTTTGTTCAACTTTGTTCAACTTTGTTCAACTTTGTTCAACTTTGTTCAACTTCGTTCAACTTCGTTCAACTTCGTTCAACTTCGTTCAACTTCGTTCAACTTCGTTCAACTTCGTTCAACTTCGTTCAACTTTGTTCCTATATTCACCTTAAACTACAAGTAGAAGATCCGGCCCTTGGTACAAACGTTTTTCTGGTTATTTTATCACTCTTTCATTTTTCTTTACGTTCAACTTTGTTCAACTTCGTTCAACTTCGTTCAACCTCGTTCAACTTTGTTCAACTTCGTTCAACTTTGTTCAACTTTGTTCAACTGTGTTTAACTTTGTTCAACTTTGTTAAACTTTGTACAACTTTGTTCAACTTTGTTCAACTTTGTTCAACTTTGTTCAACTTTGTTCAACTTTGTTCAACTTTGTTCAACTTTGTTTAACTTGGTTCTACTTGGTTCAACTTGGTTCAACTTTGTTCAACTTTGTTCAACTTCGCTCAACTTTTTTTAACTTGGTTCAACATGGTTCAACTTTGTTCAACTTTGTTCAACTTTGTTCAGCTTTGTTTAACTTGGTTCAACTTTTTTATTAATTACTAGCTGAAGGGCCTGGCGTTGCCTGTGGAAATAAAAAAATTGGTTTGGCCAACTCTACGCAATATATATATATATATATATATATATACGAATGTCTTGTTTTATATCAAAGATNTTATTTTGTTTAAGGAATAATTGTTAGTTATTTTTCTTAAGGAATAATTGTTAGTTATTTTGCTTAAGGAATAAAATTTTTTCTCTCAAAAAGCCAATATTTTTTTAAAATATCAATTCAGTTAAAAAAAATTATTCAAAATGTAAAAAGCCAAAAATTACGGTTTAGATTTCTATCTCGTAAACACTAAACTGGAGTTTTCCAATTATCCAACAATTTTTCGAATTTTTCTGAAATTGATTTTGAGACGATTGTGCAACCTTTTTTTTCTTAAATTTTTGTTAGAAATAATTTCAAGTCGTCGTTAAAATCGCACCCTTTGTGAGCAACCATTTATTGTATGCGTCTAAATTTGTACTTAACAAATTAAAGATGTCAATTGATAATAATTAACTTTAACCTTTCACCTGTGAATTTTCGCGCAAATAAATCCTTTTTTTCGGAAACTCAAATTTTGACTTTTTATAATCTTTCTGTACTGGTCAAAGGTATTGTCAAANACCTTCCATAGTCAGTGTAACACTATTAGAAACTTATCTAACTTTTAGGGATACTTGACTCCACTGTTATAGGTTTTATCACTGCATTTATATAAACCAGAAATTATATATATTTTGCCTTGTTTATCTAATTGTTGAAAATAAATAATTTTGAAAGTTTTGATTTTTGAAAAAACTTTAAATTTTGCCTTTTAAAGTAGAAAAATTATACGAAATAATTGTTGTTCTTTTTAAATTGTAGAAGAAAAATTATTGCAAATAACACAACATTTAAAAGCTATAAAAGTACAGAATTTGTTATAAAACATAAACTTTCAAATGAAATATTCTGGCTAAAAATGTTAAGAATTAAAATTTCAGAAAGGGACTTTTTACTGTAGTTTATTTAAAAATAAACTCTTTCATGCAAAACATTCGGCTTAATTGCTCCCGTTGAATTTTTTTCATAAATTCA